TACTATCTTTCCTGTAGTATTTTTTCCCAACTTTCATGTGGATTTCTTCCCAAACTGAGACAATGTGTATCAGTGCCATCTGTTGACTCCAAGTAATATTGCTCCATTGCTTTAATAGCTATGGGAAAGAACATTTGATGATACAAATTTGTGCAGAATGCAAAAGCAGGGATGAAATAAAATTACATGGAATGTATATATATAATTTTGAAAAGGTACAGGAGAAATTTGTGCAGCAGGAAAACAAAAGAAGTCTTTCAATGAGAGATGCTTCTTGGTGTAAATTAAAATAACTTTTGCATAATTAATGTGTTTTTACTGATTATCTGGCAATCAAGTCCCCAGTATAATGGCACAAGAAACTAACAGCAAGTACATGTCAGGTACCAAGGCATTTTCCTGCTCTCCAAAACCAATTAAACATTTATGCCTAAGTGCTCACTAAATCTGGGCTAAGATGTTTTACTTCTCCTAGGATCAATCTTACTAGAGGTAATAGTTTCAATTGTTAAGTTCCTTCAGAAGAAATTCAGAGCCCAGTAAACAACAGCCAAAGTAATTCTGAGTTTCCATAAAATCTCCTGAAATGTGAGGTCTGAACAGAGCTAAGGGTATCTCTCTGAAATATGTACAAAGGAGAAAGAAAATTCTACTTTTTAAATTACTGTATATTTTTTCTGTATTTTTAGAGCTTTTCGCACTTGTTTGTGTGGCTAGAAAACATCTAAAGTGTCATTAAAACAAAAGGAAGATAGGACTAATCTATGTCCAGTATGTCCTTAGATGCCTTTATGTCCAATCTAGTTTGCAAGTTAGTATACTGTAGGGAACAAACCAAAAACAATGGGTAAATCGGGGTATTAAGAATGGAATGAGTCTTTACGCTGAACAGTTAGAGATTTTAATGAACCTTTCAAAGAAATAAATACAGCCACTTTTAAATTGTCCTCTCCCAGGCTGCATTTTGACTATGTAAGCACACTGTACAGTACTGTTATTGGTTAAAAGGGATAGAAAATTTCTAACAGGACATTGAAATAGAAGGTTCATAACAAAAATAAACTCTAGCATTCCCAAGCACTGCCAAAAAAAAAAAAAAAGAAAATAAAAAAAAGAAAGAGAGAGGAAAAAGGAAAGCAGTGCTTTGCTTTTTTGACTAGGAAGAAATATGGAAAAAAAGTGCAGCAAAGTCTGGAAAAAGAATGTCCTGAGAAGTGGGACTGACAATGAGCTTTTGACTGACTGCCCAGAGCTGTGACTCTGTCTTTTCTGTTGCTTGGCAACTCCATGTTATCACAAAGAAACTGACATTAAGTTGGAACAGCCTGGATATGGTAATTTACGTGGGAAGATACTCTTGCAGTGGGAAAACCATTTTATTTCTAGTTTCTGTCAGCGTAAGTAGGTTTCACATGATGAACTGTAGTACATCCCCTGTTGGGTGCATTTTACCTAAAAAGGTAAAGAGTGACTCTGCCTTGGAAAAAGGCTGTGCAGAAAAAAACCCCAAAACCAACAGAACCCCCCACCTTGTTATTCATTAGACCTGCTCCTAGAAATGTCTACTCAGACATTTCTTCTAGTGGTAGTGACAAACGCTTGTTTTCATATCTGTCTGGATTCAGTGCAGATTGGAGAGATGGAACTTGATCATTATAATTTATACTATTACATTCCCTAAGAACTCTTGAGATTTGCCTAAGACTTCACTGTCTTATATAAACATTAAAAGATGATCCTCACTTTATCTAATAGTCCTTTCTTTTGCATTGGCAGTAGTTAAGTACTCAATTTCAATTGCACTTTGTTTTTGATTTGTTGAAAGAGGAGGCTGCATGTGCAGCAGTTATAGAATAACTTGAAGACTGTGATGGAAGTAATGGCAAGAGCATGTATGTAGAGCAAATATTTTTGTGAAAGCTTTGAGCCGTAAGGGATCTGTAATCCATAATGATGTTTTTTGTGTTTGGGTTTAGGTCTAACGTTTAATTAGAAAAAGAGAAAGCATAGATTACTTAGGATTTAATGCGCAGCCCTTTTTTCTTAAATGTCTGGCTTATTTATACTGAACCACCACCACTGTCTCTCTGCATTTCCATCCTGCATCATTTCTAGTAATTTAACACCATCATGCAGTCCTACAAGTAAGGAAGCACTTCACATGTCTTTAGGACTCCTTGTTCTGGCTTTGGTCAGCAAAACACTTCCTGGCTCCGGGCTTCTCTCTATTGCAGAGTTAACTTGAAATATAACTCAGCTTTGCCCTTGGCTCAAATCCCAACCATACACAAAAACTTCTGACTTGAGTATGTTGATGCTGTTCAGCTGAAGGGATTGGCCTGGACTGTCAGGCACAGGCAGCAGCTTCAATTAGCATAGCTAATACAGCTACTCGCTCCTGCTTCAAGGACTTGTCTTCATTGCCAAAAAAGGTGTATTTTTACTGTGGGATAATTAGCCTGATTTAACTATCCTTATTTAAAATCAAGGCCTCCATGTCTTTTCTTACAGTGAAGACAATGTTCCCTATTAACTCAGAGTGTCCCCTTTTGCTGATATTAGGTTAACTGAAGAGGAATTAATTCTGCAATGAAAAGAGCCCACAATGTCTTAGACATCAAAGAGTCTAAGACCCAGAGACTGCAAGCGAAGTCCTTCTCTGTACCGAGTCCTGGTGGGGAGGCAGCTTCCTTGTTCACTTTTCATTTGGCCAGATACAAAATGTATCAGCTTGTATCCTATCTACAAAACTAATGAAATTGTCTCCTTTTTAATTTACAACATCACCTCCAATAAATCCAAAAATGCTCTGGGCTGTTACCTGACTTGGAGGGGAATAATTGTTGTACTGACTCAAGCAGCGAGCCTGGCTTAATTAAAACACAGTGTATTTCCCAATAAGGTTGTGACCAATTTTATTCTGACTGCAACCTAAAACAACTTTACAATAGAATGGAATAGATGAACTTTTCTTTACCTTGAAGCTTTCAATACTTTTAAACTGAATTCCCCTGCTAAATCATGGAGAAGCTGATTTCCTACACCCCCTTACCACTAAGCAGTTAGTGACTAACTCTACTCACTGTAACTATTGTCTTCCAAGCTAACTGCTGACAAATACCATCTGTTTCTTAAGCCCTGGCATTAGAGTAACACGGAACTTGCAAGGCAGTCTTCCACACCTTGTGTTCATTGCATTAGCTCATGCCTGCTGTAGAGTGTTTTCTATGCAAAGTAGCAGCAACCTCTGGCTTGTGGGCCATGCTAGACTAGGGACAGCAAAACTGTAACACCTCCTCTGTGTGGCAAAAAAATACCTCTACACTTTCTGTCATCTGGGGTTGGGTTTGGTTTTATTTTAGTGTTTTTCGGAGAGCTTGGTCACTATGACCTTTATTAAGAAAAAAACATACAAACTGCTTCCTATAGCACCTGTATTTTCTGTATGCAGTGCTCCTCACCGGTGAGGAAAATTTGCTGAGTTGTTTTTTTTTTTAATTCTTGAGTTCTGATGAAAAAGGAAAAAATAAGGGTGCAAATGCAAGGAGTGGTTAGGAGTAAACAGCCAGCACCTTTCAGGAGTACACTGACCACAGGAGGGAGCAAAGCTCTGGGGAGAAATGCTGTGGGCACAAACCAAGGCAAGGGATCCTCCCATTATGGCCAAGAGGAGCTCTCCAAGAGGAATGCTGGGAGCCAAGAGGAGTTCCCAGAACCGGGGAAACTCCCATCTTGCCCACCATGGCTTTTAGCACCTGCAATTAGTTTCATCAAATCATAGTCTCGGAGAGTGTCTAAAGGACCATGGGAGTAAGAAGAGGAGTTTAAACATCTTTGTTCCCAGCACTACCCAAGTGTCCCATATAAGACTAGATGACTCGGTGGGTGAGATATATAGCTTTTTTATTGCATATCTGTCTTATCTTTTATTTTTATTTCATATCTGTCTCAGGTTTGTGATGACTGTAGGACTGAATTCCATTAAAAATTAAACCAGAATCAGAAGCACTGTTATTGGCTCATATTAATGTTATGAAGTTAACTCTCTCAAGTAGTTTCTATAGTTACAGCTGCTTGTTGAATTGCAAGGATTGGTACAGAAATGAACTGGAAAGCAAATTAAAATAAGAAATAGTAAGTTAACCTTGGTTTTGTTTGTGGTAGTGTTATCAACTCTGAAAATACATTTTTCCTGCACCAAGGTGCAGGAGACAGAAGAACCACAGAAGCTGTAGGTGAATAAACAGACATATTAAGCCAAGGTACAAAAGTGATTTTTTTGTGCCTAGAATTCAAAATTAATTTACAGGCTGGAGAACCAAGAGGTATGGAGTTAGGAAGGTAGTAGATTTGAATTTTAGGTACTAAAATACCAGTAAATCAAAAGACGACGAAGTATTCAAATCTTCTAAATGTAGAAAAAACCAACACCCCACAAACAAAAATATCAGCAGAAACCTTTGCCCCCTCCAAGAACATTGAGTATGACTCATGGTTTTGTGAATTTTGATGGGTGGAGGTACAAAAACTGTTCTATCCGCTACTGACAGATGGTAGGATTCTTGGTTTTAAAAATATGAAAACAGCTTGATCTCATGTACCTTGGTTTAAAAATAAAGCTTTTTTTATAGCATGTCTCAATTTTGACAACCGCACTGAGCCATAAATATTCAATTCCATGTATAAGCACATTTTAAAAACCTAAACTAGACTCTTATTTTAGAGGTAGGCTGATCCTCTGAGTTTGTGAAGTCCTCAGGAAAAGGAGTCACAGCTGAACATAATGGCTCTTTGTGTTTAACTCCAAAGTTTGAGTTGTTTGTGGGTTCATCTTTGAATTTAAAAATCCATTTCCTTGTTTGGTAACTTTCTGAAATTTATTTCAAAAATGTGGGAATACCAAATTATCCGTCTTTTTGAGATGATAAGCCTAGAATAAATCTGCAGAACTGAAATGCAATTGAATCTGCAAATAACATGATTTCTTCTTAATGTTGCAGAGCACAGATAACTCAAATATATCTATAATTGCTCAAAACAAAAAGTGCTTTGACAATGATATCGTTTGCTCAAAGAATGTTTTCATCACTGTTGGAGACACTGAGATTTATTTTAGTGAACCTTCTGAGAAGCAGGTTAGTTAATTTCTTTCCTTTTTGGGTTGCCCTTTAAGATAAGCATTGCAAATTTACAGCTTTAAAGGAGCGTGTTTTTGGAAAGCGTCTCTCAGTCTGAGTTAGTATAATACAAGTGCCTAGGCCCAAATAAAGCAGCAGGTACCAGGACACATCTTTTTTTTTCATTGCTTTTTTCAAGTTTTACCTGTCCTACAAAGAAGACTGCTCAAAAGTCTCAAGGAGTTGAAACATATTGGCATTTATGAGTTTCTTTCCACTTGGTTTTGAAAGAGAAACCAAAGTAAAAAATCAAAGTAAACTTGAAAAATTGAAAAGACAAAATATCAAAGTATTAAAAAACATTTCTAGTAATATTGATTCAGCTATATGCTAAAGATCAAGTATTCTTCAATATACACTTTGTAGATAACTGGCTGTATACCTTGGTAGAATTACTTTATTAGATCTTAATTAATATTCATTTCTGTCAGAAGACCTTAAGGGGACAGGAAAACAAATCTAAATATCAGCTTTGGAAGGCTGGATATTATACTGTGATACACTTTCCAGAACAGGACATTACAATTCTGTGGGATAAGAAGACTATGATGCATGTTAAAGTTGGACCTCAGTGGAAGGTGAGCCAAAATAAAAACCTGAGATTTTGTGTAGCTTCTCTATATCACTAATGTGATCTCTTATTGAATAATTGTGATTGTCTTTTCTTCAAGACTAGCTTTCCCAGTGATATAGCTGTTTATCGTGGTGTTCAGCTGCTAGCATTTCCCAGGTAAGAAGAGATGGAGAACGTGGCTTCTGAAGAGAAACAGTGGTTCCGACATGCACATTTACTCTGTTGCTCCACACGTTGCAACCTTGGAGACAAGCAGGGATTCAGCTCTGACTCAAAGATACTTTGGGGGCTGGAAGGAAGAGTTAGTTTTGAGTTACCCAGTTCACTGCATGTTTTCTTAATTCCATATTTAGTGAGGGGGAAGACGGCAGGTTTATAGCACAGATTGGATTAGATTGATGATGGAACTGCACCCTGAGATGTAATAGAGGCTTCTGAGATGAAGAGATGTAGTCATATCTTGGGTTTAATTTAAGAAGACAAGACACAGGAAAGGATTTTGACAAAAACTGACGTTTAAACCTAATGGGTATATTGAGACAGAGTTCAGCCATGATTCAGGGAAGAATACGAGGCTCCGTCTCTTGCCAGTTGCTCTTCTCTTTTCCATTCCTACATCATCATCTATCTTGGTGTCTCTGTAACTCAGTTTTTGGGTCCTGGCAGAATAGCCTTATATGTGCATTTCAGAATTACATTTCTGTTTTGTTTCAAACATGAACACATGTATCAAGATGGGGCTCTTTCAGTAAAAGAAAAGAAAGCATACTATGCTAGAGTACAGTATCAGATTTTTCAAAGTGTAAGTCAAAGCTATAATGACCATCTAATGTGGTATTAAAGCAAAATTATTACAGGCTTTTGTCAAAATAGCCATAAAATACTTACTTCACCTACAAGCTGATTTATCATCAATAAATACACAGAATGAAAAGAAAAAAAATCTCCTGTTTTTCAGTAAGCTGGCAGGGAGGTGAGTTCTACAGGTTGCATGCAGGAACACAAATAATTCCAGCTCTTTCTGTTTCCAGCGACTGTTTCTTCCAGAAGCTGCAGTTTAGTTAGATAATGTCTGCAGCAGACCTTAAGAAAAAGGAATTTATTAGCAGGAGCCACAGCACTTTAGAAATCTAACTCTGCTTTTTACTGTTGTGCAGAAATTTCTATTTTCCTATATATTTATATATGCATGCATGTATATATACTTTTTTCCATCAGCAGCACATGCCCAACACCAGGAATCTGCAACTGTCTCTTTTATAACTGTTACTACAAATATTCTTGCTATTGTGAGCTAAAATTAGAAGCAGCAAGTTTTAATGACAATAACTAGTCAGACTTCACAATCATGAGGTAATTCACCTTAACTTTTGACTTTTGCACTGGGTGCACTACTAAGCTTTCAGAAGAATTATTACTAGATTCCAGTCCATTTTCACAGGCAGACAGTAAGAACAGGTTCTGGAAAACAAGAAGAAATCCACTGATTTCTCTTAATAAGATATTTGCAATATGGAACCGTAAGAATAGTAGAGTGTCAGATATTTTTAAAGTATAAGTCAGAGTTGCATTCAGCTTTTTCAGTTAAAAAAATGTTACATTCCATGTGTGTAATTGTACCAATTATTGACTGTCAGTTATAAGAAAAAAAAATTGTTCTTCTCTTCCAGGGTAAATTGGCAGGTTTGTGTGGAAATTTTGACAAATATACTTCAAATGATCTGACTACATCAAACAACATGGAGGTGAGAAATGCACAGGTGTTTGGAGACAGCTGGGTATTAGGACAGGTAAGTCCCGTGTCCAGTAAAACATTAGAGAAAAAGATGATAATTTTAATTTATAAATGAGCACGGTATAAGCAAATGATGCACAGATATTTTCTAAACTTATGGTCACTGCATAAGAGGATATTTTAATTTTTATGTCTGTAGATGTGAAATGTGTTAAGGTCTTACGTTGTAGCAAACACATACTGAATTTAAATGAAAGCAAAAAATCTCTTCAGGGAAGAATATGTTTTCCCCTAAGACAATCATTATAGTTGTCTGGATTTCAGTTTTCTACAAAGTTAGGTACACTGCTTCTGTTATTTTTGATTCATCCCAGTTTTAGAAACAAATGTAATTTCTCTGGTGTTAGAGGCACCAGGATACTGAAAGTAAATTGAACCTGAATGCTGGGAAAAAAGGTCTAGAAAAAAGTTTCTTTCTGAACACTGAAAAAAAATGATTTAATTTAGTTGTGAACAGAAAATAAACTGACAAACCAGAGGTGGTGAAGGGATGGGAGGAAAAGGCTCAGAACAGCAACAGACACAGCCAGTATGGAAACTTGGTTTCTGAGGGGAAGAAAGGGGACTGTAGAGAGTGGATGATGCAACTGGGTTTTATAACACAGAAGAATAGGTATTTTTTTCATTTGTGCTGAAATGATGTAAAGTTTTATAACCTTGTGAACCTCCTGAAAAATCAGTATTTATAAAACACTCCTTTTGGTTGTCTGTCAGAACTAGTTTTTAATTTATTGTCTCCTTGACACAGCAGGAAGATGAACAAATATCTCTTACCTCATGAAAGAATGCTTTGGAATAATGATTTTGAGACTTTTCTGCATCCATATCTCCCTTTGAATGTGTTTTGTCCTACATAAAATGTTTAAATTGTGTGAGCAAGCAAAGCAAGTGTGTAGTGTTGGTATTTATATTGCTCATCTAGAAGGTCGTAGATAAACAAATGTGTATGAAGTGTGCGAATTTTTCTTTGCCATTTTATCGGTTCAGTGACTGCTTTAAAAAAGTGTGTAGTGTTTGCATAGCACATTAACTTCTAGGGTATTAATATATATATATATATATATGTATTTGTTAAATCTTGTGTAATCTCCTGATCTCAGTGTCTGCCGGAGCACTTAGGATCTAAGTTCAGCCTGGGCTCTCTGGTAGCCTCTGCTCAGATACTTCATCTGGCCCTGCAGTAGGCCTCAGGGATTTTTTCAAAAAGGACCTTTGGCCTTTGTAGTGATGTATCCTTTACTGTAAAGGAGTATTTGATAGCTGGAGGCCTAGAAGCCAGTTCTATTACTGGCAATCATGCTTGCATTAGCGCTGTGAAGCCTGGGATGCTTTCAGGGCTTCTCCCTTCTGGGAGTGGCACCCCATCCCCTCGCAGTCATGTCTGAGCAACTGCACAGGAGGGCAGTGTAGGTGGACAACTGCACTGCAGCTAAGGCTGCTTTGGGGCACTCCAGTGATGCCTATGGATTCATCATTACACCCTCCTGGGCTTCTCTGCTGCACCAAGAGAGCATGGATGAACTCACATTCTCTGAGCTGAGTGTCATTTTGTTATATTGTTCTGTTCATTTGTTTTTCTTTTTGAAGAGAGACTTTAAGTGAGGGAGTTGTATCTCAGCCGTTTTTGAGTTATCATGATGATCTTTGATTCTACTTTTTTTTTAATGGGTTGCTCCCTTCCTACTGCTGCTTCTTTATTTGAACTTTCAGGGCTAAAGCCATCCGCAGTGTGACTCCATTTAAAGTCAGCACAAAACCACCCAGGATGGATTTGGACCATGTATTTGTTTGTGATGTTACAGTTGGTTGCTCTGGTAATGATTATAATGTGTCACAAAGAAAACATTTTGTCTTGATGCACTGAGCAGACAGCAGGAACATTTTAGTACTTCAAAACAAAACACAAAGATTCTTTTTTTGTGAAAACGCTTTCAATTATAACAACAAATCAGGGAAAGAGGACGATGAAGAAGATAGTATTTAAACTTTTGTTTTCCAATTATGCAAGTATTGAATTATATGATACTATAGTGTATCTGAGTCTGTGATAAACACACCTAACTATAAAATATTTGTGGCGTTTTTGCTTGTTTTCAAGTGCAAGAGCCCAAATGAAACGCTGAGACCATGTGATGTACATCAGAGCAAGTTCCCTTATGCCAAAAAGGAATGCTCAGTTTTATACAGTGATGTTTTTGCGCCTTGTCGCAATGTGGTAAGTTTATTAAATATCCAAGATATTCTGTCATGAAAATAATAAAATTACAGTAATTAATTTCTTCTTGCCATTCCCCTCAGTCTGAATGTCAGGGAGGATACAGAGCAAAGCCCTGCAAGTATCTCTTTGAGGGTGGGCTATATTTGTGCAGAGCTCCTCATTCCTTTCAAGACTGGAGCCTATTTCATAATAGTGATAACTGGGAGTTGTGAGTTAGTAGACTGAATAATGAAAGTTATGTTCTCTTTAGATTTTATTCATACCTTTTATTTATATAGTAGCTAAATTTTTAAGGCTTTTGTATATATTGCAGAATTCTAAAGTTAAGAATGTAAAGTTAAATATGTGTAATGTACCTACAGCTTATCTCAAATGGTGTTATTTTGTTAATTATCCTGTTCAATATAGAAAGAAATGTGAGAAATCAAGATTTCAGCTTCAGAGCTATTGATATTTTTAATTAGTGGACAGCTCATCATCTTCTTTTTATCAAAACTGAGGCTTGGTGTCCTTGTTTTCCCAATACCTGGCTGAGCCTGGAACTTGAGTTACAAGAATGTCCTTAGGTCAGTCTAGACAAGATGGGGACAACAACAGCTTTTGTGGTAATCTTTTGTTCCATTTTAATCCACCTTTTATCAATGCAAAACATGCTTTATACATTTTTCCCTATTTCTGATTTTAGCTTCCCAAAGGTATTTAGGCACTTCTTTATACCTGGGCAAGCAAGAACCACTATAACATTTTGTCTCAGTCTCTTATTTTCTTTAGGACTATTAACACTAAATACTTAATATTAGATGTCGCAGCTGAACCTTCTGACTTTCAAAACTGAAGTTTGATATCAACATGGTTAGGCATTTGCCTGTGTAGGAGGTTGCAGTAGCTTAACCCAAGAGATTTATTAGTGTTGACTTAAGTTACTATGTAAAGAATTTTTTGAGCATGTGCCTGAGAACATAGTGATGAGTGTATTTTAGAAGTGACAAGTAATAAATAAAAATGGAACTTTTGAGAGTTTTTAAGAAGCTGTATTATCACAACTCATAAAGAAAGATGTTTTCTCTTGAATATTCATTTTCTATATCTTATCCATGTTGTGATGAAAATTTGAAAACATTACGCCAAAAATTTAGCATAATTATGTTAAAAAATATATGTCAGGTGCAAAACATAGTCAAGTATTTTCACACATACATTTGTATCTTCTAGGGGACAGCCTGTAAAGCAAACATCTTTCATGTGTTTTTAAAACCTATTTATTAGCATGTGAAAATACAGCTCCTGCAAACGTAATGTAAAGTGACCTCCTATCAAGGGCATCTGCAGGACTGCTAGCTACAGGGGTGGAGAACTGGGCGCCAAGGAAAAAGCCCAAGCAGAGACTGACACTGGGGGCATGGAAAGGATGGAAAACATAGATGTGGGTTTCAGACGTGCTTGGAGCAGCACTATTACTGTTGCTCCTGCTCTGCGGGTGATGGAGGATCCTGCTGTGCATGGAGGGAAGCTCCTACCTGTGGGACACGTGGCCTCAGAGTTCAACTCAGGCTGGAAAACCCAGTTTTCAGGGAGACAAAAATCTTGCATTTCTGGCTGGCAGCAACTGATGGATTGCAGTTGCCCAGTTAAGCACTGAATTCAGCAGAATCTAAGGAGCCTCAACACTTGCAGAAAAAAAGGTCTTCCTCATGATTCCTAAGCTCAGTAAGAACTTTGACCTAAGGTTCCCAGTTTGTCACAACAGCAGGATATTTCTGACCCATGGAGAGATGCTGTCCTGCAGGCACGAGAGACAGGTTGAAGTCTTTGAAGCCAATCTGCTGTTTAGTGATTCCTGCATAGCTACTGCAGTTGTTTTCAGTGGAACTAATGCTCGTGTGCGTTCTCCGTGTTCTCAGTGGTATCCCTGTTTTCAAAATAAGAAAAAGAATGAAAGCAAAATGGCATCACTCTCTACTGAAGGCAGAAAGTCAATCTTGATCGAGTCCTTGACAGCTTCTAGCAGCTGCCAGCTGAGAAGCTGCCTCTGTGTTAGATAAGTGCTGCTTTGTTGCTGTGATGGTATTTCTGTAATCTGACGTGTGCCATTTGAGTGCTTTACAGCTGAGCTAGACCAGAGACTAAACCGAAGAAAAGCATTGCTTTAAACATTTCATGTGTTGAGTAAGAACACTGTTTTGGAAACATTGCTCAACATTATAAAAATGATGATTTAAACTCAAGGAACAATGTATCATGTAAACCCATGAAATAATGTGATAGTATTTTAGAATGAGGATATGGATTTCTGATCTAATGAAGTTTTGGGGGCAAATTATATTAAAATCTTGATAAGTGCAGAAGTATTTTTTTGCAAAATGTCGCCAGTGTGCTTAAGCTTTCTTTCTCTGGGCAAAACCCTCTCTACAAATTATTACTTTAATTACTTTGTTATTTTTCATGCAAAACTGACAGGATGACTATAGATGGCAGTATTTGCCATATAAAAAAAAGCAGAACATCCATCTTCAATATACTGTCCAAAATTGATGAACAGCAGGTGTGTGGACAGACAAGTTTGTTGGTAGTCACTGGCTGAAATTTTCTTTTGACATGTAACGTAGGTATAAGCCGATCATTTAAACTGTACTTTTTGTGTAGGAATATGCCCAAACTTTGGAAAATACCTTATTTTTTTGTTTAATTCTTTCAGTCAATCCAGAAGTATAACTCCTGCTGAAAATGCTACAACAAAAATTCAAACAGCTCATGCATTTAAATAACCTCTTTTTCTCTTCCTTTTTTTATCCCCCTACAGATTGATGTGACTTCTTTTATCAAAAATTGTCACACAGATACATGCAACTGCAATCTTGGTGGGGACTGCGAGTGTTTGTGTACAAGTATTGCAGCTTATGCCCACAAGTGCTGCCAGCAGGGAGCAGCAATCCACTGGCGATCTCCTTTGCTCTGTGGTGTGTATCTGGGCTGGCCATGCACCAGAGCTCATCTCTGAGGCCTTTGGCCTTTTTGCTGCCCAATTAGACAAATATGACAGAAGTAGGTGGATAATAAACGTACTTCACATTTTTCAGGCTGTCTGTGTGTTAGCTGTGCTAGCCTTATACACCCTGCTGTCTTACTGAAGAGGGGTGACTGTGCTCAGGGTGTGCCAGTGCAGAGACTACTGGAAAGGCACCTTTGTAACAGATCTGGGGTACATCCAGTGCTCCGTGTAGGGCTGCAGAGATCCAGTCCATTCTTCTTTTCATTGGCATCAAGAAGAGTTCTTAGCTATAGAATATTTCATGCTTCAGGTCTGCTGTCCCAGCACATCTACTGAAATACAGCTGTATGTCATTGAACAAAAGCCTAAGGAAATAAAATCCTTGGCTGAAATATCTTGTGGAAGATGAAACTTCTGCTGCTGAAAGTGAACTTTACATTTTTTAGGATGCAAATATGCATGGATTCTCTTGCTACTTTGTAAAAATAATGTACTTTTTTCTTTTTCTTTTAGCTTATGACTGTGAATATTACAATCAAGGTATGTAGTATTTGATATTCCTGCCTTAAAAACTCAGTTGAATTAATTTATGGGCTTTCTCTTGGACTTGATGTATGTAGTTTTAACATTGCTTCTATTTTTAATGAGTAAAGGTCAGTGGCCCAGCTGTGTTGAATGATCTTAGTAATCCCTAATACCTCAAATAATAACCTCATAATGTTCAATGTGTGGGTGGATTAATCCACCATATAGCATATCACTGAAGTCAGGGAGAAGCTCTAGGAGGATGTTAGCTTATGCTTGTACTGTAAATTTCAGAACGGGGACCTACAATATTTTGAAATTGATATGTTTTGGGATGTATGCGTGAGTCTCACAACTACTGTACTCTAAAAAGAACAGTACCTTAGAATGAGAGTGGTACTGATTTAATAAAATGAACTCCTGTGTCATCCCCTCTAGTATTTGGATACTGCGCACATGTTTTGTAGGGAGCAAGATGTTGAAAGGAAAGGGAAACTTGACTAAATGCAATGATATGAATGTGAATTTTAATTTATCTTTTTTAGCAACTTACATCCTATAATGAGCATCATATAGAGATGATTTGTTTCTCCTCCTGTCTGGCCCAGTAGAGTAGTAGCATGTAGATTTTCCTAGGTATAACCGAATTTCCACAATTACTTTGTAGCGGGGAATTTTACCTTACTCAAAAATGTTTGAGGACGTGGTTTAATGGTGAACATCGTGGTAGGAGTAGGTTGACAGTTGGACTTAATGATCTTAAAAGGTCTTTTCTACAATTCTACAATTCTGTGAAAAAGTAGGAAGGAGTACTGGTTTTGGCTTGGATAGAGCTAACTTTCTTTGTATAGTTAATATGATGATATATTTTGTATTCATGATGAAAATGGTGTTTTAGTTACTGCTTACACAGTATCAAGGCTTTTGCTGCTTCTCATGCTGCTTCTCATGCAGGCTGGGGATGCACAAGAAGTTGGAGGTGACACAGGTGGGACAGCTGACCCTAACTGATGAAAGGGATGTTGCAGAACATATGATGTTGTGCTCAGCAATAAAAACTGTGAGGGAAGTTTTCTGGATGTGGTGGGTTGATCTTGGCTGGATGCCAAGGTTCCCGCCCAGCAACTCTATCACTCCCCTTCCCAGCCGGACAGGGGAGAGAGTAAGGTGGGAAAACAACTCATGGGTTGGGATAAGGCAGTTTCTTTAAAGCAAAAGCAAAGTGGAATCTTGTGTGCGCAAAAGTGAAGCGAAGTGAAAGACAGCGGGGTTTATTCTCTGCTTCCCATGAGCAGCGATGGTTGGCCATTCCCGAGAAGCAGGGCTTCAGCACACATAATGGTTCCTCAGCAGGCAGCTGTGGGAGATAATGAATCCCTTCCTTCCCTCTCCTTGCCTTAGCTTTTATATCTGAGCTGACATCATATGGTCTGGAATATCCTTTTGGTCAGTTTGGGTCAGCTGGCCTACTTGGGTCACCTCCCAGGATCTTGCTCTCGATTGAGAAAGGAATGTTACAGTGTTGGTGCTGTGCTCAGCAGGAGGCAAAACACTGGTGTGTTATCAACAACCTTCTGGCTACCAATGCAAAGCACAGCACTGTGAGGGCTGCTATGGGGAAATGAACTCCAGCTCAGCCAGACCCAATACACTGGGGCATATGTTGCTTAGAGCCCAGTTAGGCATTGATTGGGTGGTGGTGAGGAACTGGGTTTTTCACATCACTTTTCTTGCAATTGTTTTCCTTTGTTTCTTTTTCTTTCCTTCATTAAAAACAAAAAACAAACCAAATTAAACTGTCTTTATCTCCACCCATGAGTTTTTTTCAGTTCTTCCCTCCTGATTCTCTTTGGGGGTGTGGAGTCAGTGACCAGCTCTGTGGTGCTTAGCTGCCTACCAGGCTTAAAGTTAAGGACAGCATTATGCATGTTTCCACTATCAAGTGAAAACAAGTGGAAAATTAGGACTTCAGTTTTGTATGTTATGCAATGAGGATTTTTTTTTTCTATTTGATTTTTCTTCCCTTAGGTCTTGGTGAAGGACCCTATATTTTGGCAAGTTTTGGAGCAAATGACACAATTATTGGGGCTAATGTATCCAGTAGAAGGATATTTCCTCTGCCTAGAACCGGAGCATATGGAAATGTAATTTTCGGTTTCATGATAACTCCAGGTCTTTTCAAAGATGAAGATTTATGTAAGTGTTCTCAGCAGTTTTGCTAATGGCAATGTATACATCTCAAACTATCTAATGATTTTTGCAGCATCTTCTAAATCTCACAAAATAGTCTAGATATTTTTAGTTATTGGAATAAGTGAGGATGAAGAGGCCAATGTCAAAACTGAGGAATTTAATTTTTATTTTTTTTTTAATATTAGAAAACCTCGCCGCCAGATTTAAAGCTGACTTCTCAAAGACTGTTTTAGAAATATAAAAAAATCCAACCAAGTGAATAAAATACCTTTATGAAAAAAAAAATTACTTTGTATAACTGGAAAACTGGAAAATTTTGCACATGTATATAGCAATTATCAACATTGTAGGTCAATGCAGGATATTTTTGTCTCCAGTAAAATCAATTCTACTTTATCATTTCTTCTTACTTGTTACTTTCACTGGACTAGAAAATGTGCAACTTAGAATGATCAGTCTGTTTTCTGCATTGTTAGTAAGCATACAATGTAGAAGATAGTTTCTTAGCTATTCCTAAGCTCTATTTTTCACTTATCAAAGACTTACCCAGACTATACAGCCAAAAATAAATATGTTTAAATATTTTTCCTTCTGTATGTATTTTCCTTTCTTCACATATATGCCATTTGTGTCAAGTAAGTCAATATAGATTTTTTATTATTTTCTCACATAATTTAATTTGTTGAAAAAAATCCCAAACTCTCAAAGTAGAAAAGGTCTGTCTTCACAGGAAAGTGAAATAACCTTAAAAACATTTGAATTTTTTTCAGTGGGGAAATTAGGTTTTTAGATGTGATTTTGAAATGAAAAATACATAGAACAAAAGAATTAAATCAGTCTTGTCAATTCTCCAACTGATGTAAAGCAGAAGTAAAATATTCATTATATCTGTGCAGTACACAGGTAGTTTTCATATCCGTGAGGAATGAGATAGTATTCATGTAGAATAAAGACACTTTAAGACTTTATTCAAGTTAAAAATCAAGTTCTTTCATTTTCAGAGAATTTTCTTCACTTTTGATTTCTGGCACAGGCAGAGCAAATAGAGGGTCAAGTCTCTTATTTGGCAACAGGTTTTCTTACTGTATTGCTGGATATGACTGTATGTAAAAAAACCCCTGACCTCAAGATGAAGTCAAGCATGTTCATACAATTTGATGTTATTTACTAATGAAATTTGGGTACCCCTAAGTTGTCAGACATTTGTCCAAACTTGAGAAAAAACTCCCAATTTGAGCAAGTTCCAGTCTAAGTCTGCTTATGAATAATTTTGAAGGCTGTTAGCAGTAGGCTGAATGTAGTTTTGATCTAACTGATTAGCTCCCTGGTGGTTCTGGATTATATGATCAATCTCTTTTAGACTCTGCACTGCATTTCCAACCATCTTTTGTGTAACGTAAGCCTGAAATATTTTTTTGTAAAAAGCGGGTGTTTAAAAGGAGCCACTTAAAAGCCAATATATATAATTTAATCTCAATTGTAAGTTGTTTTCTGTGAAAATCTTACTATAATTATTATTTTTTTCTCCTCTGGAAGCTCTCTCTCTTGTTTCCCTGGAATCTGCTGAAAGACCAAACTACTTTCTGTACGTACATGACAATGAAACCATTGGGCTGGAACAGTGGCAGGCAAGTGCCTCCTTTCAGAGACGAGCCACCTTCTTCCACCACCGTGGTCTCTGGAGTCCAGGGCTCAGTGCCTTTGAACTGCACAGTAAAAAAGGCTTTTTCATCGTTCTCACCTCATCTAGTGTTAAAGTGGCAAAGTACAATGATTCAGAAGAATTCAAACATTTCAGTAGCTTTAGCATTGAAGGTAAATTATGCATAATCCCCAGGGATAAGTATTCCTTTTCTGCTTGCCTTCAGAGCACTTGTCTTTCATCAGCAATAGTAAAAAATTTTGTTATCCTGTTTTAATTCCTTTCTTTCTTTGTCTTTCATTCCATCTCAAAATGCTATTATTTTTTAATTTTTGCAGATGATGGTCACTTTATCTTTGAACTACATTTTCATTTGTTTACACTTTCAAAACGAAATTCACATGTCAGAAAATGATGCATGTTAATATTTCATTAGTGATGTATAGATATTTAGATATTTATAGATATAGATATTTAATCTTTTAAATAAATTGGGTAATTGTATTGCTTCTGCAACCAACAATGTCTTCACTATCTTCAACTAATTTTTAAGGTTTGTAAACAGAATATATTGTAAGAGTAGCTGTTTTTATTGTTGAAGCTTGAAGTGTCTTCTAGCTTGAATGAATCTAAAATACTTGAAATTGAACAAAATTTCACCTATTTGAAAATTCTGAAGCATTTGTCTATTTGGCTTCCATTTTTTCATCTGTCTGAAACCAATATATGGTTTAGAAAAAGCTATAAATTTATGGTTGATTGACTATACAATCAATAAATAATACCCTTTCCTTCTTTCTCAGAACTTAGTGCTTCTGTGCCTTATAGAAGGATCTGTGAATGGCGATATGAGTCTTGTGCCAATCCTTGTTTTAAGACATGTAGCGATCCTGAAGGAATAGCATGTAGATTCCTTCCTCCGTAAGTAAAATTAAGCTCATATTGCTACTGTATTGTTTTTGTAATATGCATACCATATGCTTTATGAAGATTACTGTACTCGCAATATCCATTCATTTTTACTCATCCAGATTTCAGTTTCACTCTTGTGAGAAACTCTCACTGGTCATATAAAAATATTTGTAATAAGCCTCTTGTTTCCCACGGTATATATTCCTGTTTATATGCGATATTTCAACACAAGAGGGTTAGTATTTAGCCAAGAGGATTAGCTTCTGGTAGTGGTTAAGTAGAAAGCTATAAAATTAAATGAAGGCTATTTCCTTCTGTGGATTTATATTCACATCCTAAACCAGCATCCCGTGATGATAAAATGACTACATCTTTCTGGTGTTTATGTGACGGAGATCAAAAACTGCAGGTAAAGTAAGGGAGTAATGCGCCCTCTCCTGTGAGAGGAGGGAACTTGTATACTAAGAGGTAGTCATTGCCATTAAGAGAGTGATTTTACACGGGTGATATTAGCTTGTGTCTTAGTGACGAGATTTCCTGTCTCCGCAGTTCTTCCTTGGCATCTGTGGAACCAGAACAAACTAAAAGAAAAAAACACCTAAAAACTGAAGGCACAATGTGTTAGAAAAGAAAGGATATTTTGAATTTCAGACTACCTTCCTAGGCATATGCAGCTTATGATTTGGAATATTAATAATATTGCTAATTTTCTGTGTTTGTATTCTTAGTGTTTTCCATATGGGCACACTGGTTGTTAATGCCATGATTTTCTTATTAAATAGTTCCCCCAAAATGAAAAAATATGGGAATATATGGACTTCTCTGTACTCTCCTATGCTGAAAGTACACAACAAAAGACTTTCTATAGAGTTAGTCTAAATATTTTAATGTTTCAAATGAACATTCATCATTCTTTGGAAAACCTTTCTGCTTAGGGACTAAGCTTCCACCTGGTTGTGGGAGCAGCTATCATGTTCATCAGCCTATTCAAAAGAATCGACTATTAACAATTTAGAAACAGAACTGTGCTGTTCAATAATGTTTTGACCTTAAAATGCCTCAAAATTCTGTGTTTGCCATTACATTAGAAAGTTCTCAGAGCTTTGATAGGGGAGACATTTGATTTTTTTTTTTTTGCCAAATAAAATACTTTAAAGTTAATTTATACTTCCACTGTGGCTTCAGAATTGACTATAAAATATTTTATAGGGTTGAAGGATGCATGCCATACTGTCCCAAAAACATGATCCTCGATGAGGTCACACATAGATGTGTTTATCCAGAAGACTGTAAGTATATTTTATTATACTGGTCTAAACTTGTACCTGACTCTAGAGATCCCAGGAAAGGCTTAATCAAGTGTTCATTTTTAAAACTAAGTGCTTTTTCAGAGCATCTTTCTGTTGAAGATTGTCTCTCTGGGACATAGACTCAATTCCCAGTCCATTCCCAGTCCATTCCCAAAATACAGCTTCTACATTCAAACAAGCTATATTTAAAACTGAATTCTTTAATTTCTCTAATTGTGGGTTAAATATAACCTTTAGGCATGATGTTATACTCATGACAACTGTATTTGAGTATATAATGCTAGTATATTACACACATATAAGAGAAAGATCCCAAATGAAAGAAATACTGCTGTGGCAAAAAGTTCATTCTTTTCAGATGGCGGGACACCACTAACAAACTCAAAACATCTATTTCATAAGTTCTACTGTGTAATGATACCACATTGCTTGCTTATTTTGGAGGGTACAGTATTCTTTTAATATTAAAATTAAGTTTTAATACTATGTCTTATTTTATTTTACAAATTTTGAATTAAATACATTGTGCTTGATATTTACTAGTAAAAAGTTTATTCCAAATATTTTACTGTTTTGGATTTACTGAATTTTCTATGGTATTCCCTTGTTGTTTCAAAACTGCTCTGCGAAATCAAGATTTTCACTAATAATAAAAAATTAACTTCTTCATTTGCAAAGAAAATTTGAAAATTGAGTCATCTGAGTTCCTCAAAGTCATCAGGCAACCCGGAACCATTGGCAAGCTCTGATTTGCTAATATTTAAATGGGACTTGAGTAGAGATAGATGTCGCTGTTTTGCTTTACTAATAATCCATAAAAGACAGTGAAACATGCATTTTTCCTTTTAGGTATACCTGTGACACCTACAGGATCAGAAATTGGAACAAAACCTTCATGGTTAATCTCTCACACAGATGCTACCGTGGAGAGATTTCCTCAGACACCTCCTTTATTTGTTACTTTGGTGAATGAACCAACTCATATCGGTGTGACAGACAAAATAACCATGGAGGCAAACACAACTTTAAGGGGAATGAATATGTCAGCACAGTCCATTACAGACTTTTACTCATTGGAATCATCTAACGCAGCCACCTATTCAACATTTTCATTACCAAGTACAGTGAACCCTTCTGATGTACTTCACAGCACAGCCAGCTCTACTGTCCCTTCCAAACTCATCTCTTCAACATATTTTCCAACTCTTCTTCAAGCACCAGCAGTCATATCACATACTGTCAGTTCTAATACATCTTTAATTTTACCTATTACAATAGCAACTCCAACAGCTTAGTGCAAGTCCAATTCCAACACATTCTGCGTTATTAACACCCACCTCCCTAGTGGTAGTTCCATTTTCACTTGAAACACCAACCACTCAGCTAGGAACAGTTCCCCTACCTCAGCATTAACAACTTTAACCTTCAACCCATCTTTTGTCACTTCTGAGCTGTCTGCAGGAATTGGGAAGGGTAAGAGTCCTTCAGTAAGTAATTTTAAGGAGCTGAAATATCCTCTGAAGTGTCTTTGTCTGCTTTGCTGGCTGGCAGAGCAACTTTCACAAGACCTGTATTTCTTCTAGGTCCATGGTTGACTATAAGCACATCTACTTCTCCTATATCTGCTTCGTCTGTTAGAACGAGGTCTTGCATTGATCAAACTGCAGTTTACCCAACATGGTTTTCTGCACTGACTTCAACTGGTCCTCAAATTCCTATGACTACTAGATTTGCTAGCTCTGAGATAAGTTTTCCTCAATTGATCACAGTCTCATATTTCAAAACAGCAAAGCCCTTGTCTAAAACTTCTCTGATATCATTAAATGCAAGTTCTATGGCTAGTTTTTCTCCAAAGCCATTTTTATCTTCAGTGCAAATTTTGATGACTGTTCCCAAGCAGGCATCTCCATTAAAAAAGGGCAGTATTTATGCTGCTCTGCCAGTAATGACTGTATCTGCACCTCAAGTTGCTTCTCAAATCCCTATAAACACTTCAACTCCTTCTGTAACATGCACAGTATCTATAGCAGTGCATTCCTTGATTACCTCCATAAAGCCCAAAGTTATGACAGCTGTCACTGTTGCCTCCAAAAGTGTTTATAAAATACCTTCTGCAGCTTCCATTCCTCAACTCACTTCAGAATCTTTGACGTGTCTATGGTAAGAAAAGCCTCAAGAGAAAATAAGTGTATAATGCACACTGATTTCAGTGTCATCCACTTCTAAAAAGCCAATGAAATCCATTATGTCTACAGTCTTCCCTCTCAGGACATTGGTATTACCTCTAAATGCTACATCAGTAACCACTTCAGAAATTACAGAGTACCCAAGCAGTTCAGATACGGAATTGAGAAGTTGGCTCAAAGTTCAGGCACTTTCATTCATAAAGATCCTTCTCTTACGAGGTCATCATCTTTATTTACAACCTTGTCATCAACATCAGTACCATCTTATGTGACATTTCGGACTACAAGTTCTTCATTGATTCCCACAGTAGATAGCACTTCATCACTAACACAAAATATAACTGCTACTGAAGAATCAGTTTCATCTCTAGATACACAAGGAATGTCAAAAATTCCCGTTACAGATGTTCTGACTTGTGTGGATTTTTCTAAATTCACTTTAAATATAAGCCCTTCTACCAACCTTTCATCAGCACTAAAATCATCCATTTTAAAGCCCTCTTTACTAATGCCTAAAATTTCTGAAGCCACTTTAGAAAGCCAGCCCTCTATGCCTTCACCTCCTCCTAAGACCACTCATATCTCTAATGTTTCTCTAGGAAAGCAGAGTTCTTCGGAAGAAGATGGAAAAATATCAGCCATATCAGCTGGAATCATCACTCAATCCACTACACCAATGATCATGAACACAACACTGAATGCCACATCCTCAAAAGTACCTTATATTTTTGCAAAAATACCACCTAGCTCTTCAGCCAGTTTATTAGTTACTTCAGGCACTACTCTAGTCTCTAGGATTACTACAAAAACCACTGATCCTTTTGTTGCTGACTTGGATTTTTATACGACTTCAGCTTCAGTTCTTACCACCACAGAAACACACAGATCTTTGTTTACAACTGCAGTAACTCAAGCTTCCCAGAGCACTAAAGAAACTCCAAAAATTATTGTAATGAAAACAACTGGTACTACAAGTCCATTATCACAGATGAAGAGTACCTCATATACAGTTTCAGAAGTTAAATACTCAACCTCATATGAGAGAACTGTGGAAATTTCACAAGGTGGTCAGACTTCATATGAGCAAAGAAATTTTACCAAGATAAAGGCAACCACAACTGACAAATCTTCCCTGCCTTATTTGCCATTAACTGCAGTCCAGAGTTCGCTTTTTTCAAGAAATACAACCTCAGTAAAAAATATGTCTCTTTCTGGAGTCTCAGGTCTAACAACGTCAGATAGGTCCAAAATCCCAACACAGAAACCGATTAAACATTATTTTAGTTTAGCAGAGGCCACAGAGAGAACTAAAATAGGTTTATCTCATTCTAGTGGTGGAATGGCTCTACCTTCCTCTTCAGAAACAACAGGTGTAGCTGACAAGGCTTACTTTGGTACGATGATGCATACACTGATGTCTACATCATCTGAGTGTGTGGTATGATCAGTTTTACTTGTCCCTGTATGTTAAATTGTATATTACTTTTTAGTCTATTCTGTTATGCTACATATGTAATACCAGAGATTTTAAATAGTTCCTATTTTCTATTTAATTTGTATATTTTTAAATACCCCGTTATGCTTAGAAGACAGTTTTATTGTTGCTCTTACACTGCCCCAGTATGTTCTACAGCTTGGATGTATTACTCTGAAAAAAAAGGCTTTAAAGCTATATGCTTGTTCTAAATATAACTAAATATATTACTGAGGTGCAGAAAAAGCCATAATCCATGGAATTTTTGGGTTTCTGCATAATCTCACTCTGTCTTTCCTTTTCCCATTTGTTTCTTTGATATATGGTTTAACCTCATGGGAATGCATGATTTTGTGTTTCTTAAAGTGCTTCAGATTATTGCTGACTATAACGCATAGCCTCAATGGATAATGCTTCTTGTAGGGTATTCCACCAAAGTTAGATGGAACAGGACAGGTGTGCTGTTAGATGGAACATGTATTGTTGCCACCTGTTACAACCACACAAATGCAAATCATTCCAAAATAACTGATGAGGGGCAGGTAGATATGCTGATACTCTCTCAGAGCAGGGGGATGGACGAGTAATTGTTTTGACTTCATAAGGGCAATGAACTTAGAGCTGATTCTGGTTGTGTTTTTTTTCCTTATATGACAGCCAAGATACCTTGAATCTGTTGACAAATGTAGCCAGTATGTATGTGTTAATATGGGTTGGATGTTATACAATCTTTCAAGGAACTGCCCTAAGGATGTGCAGAAGCCAGATTGTGGTTTTCGAGGAATGCCTGTTCAAGTTAACACTGATAGTTGTTGTCCAGAATGGGAATGTCCCTGTAAGTCACTGTTTTATTTTTTAATAAAATATAGTGTCTTGATCTGTAAATTTCAAGTAATAAATTAAGGGTTTAATCCAGTGGGAATATGAGGTTGAATACTGCAATGAATTTAAAAGAGCTATTCATCAGCAAAACAGAATCAAATATACTGAATGTTTTGGTATATTTGAATTGACATTCAACCACACTATATTATAACATTCAAGAGAATCAAAATATTTTGTTTTGAATGAAAATATTGAAATGACATCTGCCACATGAACATCAACGTTTTCCAGCTGAGACATTTCAGAATTTCTATCAGGAAAAGTGTTAAGATTCCAACATTTTGTGAAGAAAAAAAAAATTGCTAGTGTTTTCTGAAAGACAGAACCCCTCAATTTCAGTTACTCTAATTGCAGTTTTTACTCATGCTTAGAAACTGCAGAAATTGGCAGATGAGTGTCTGCCAAGGGAAAAAAAAAGGCTAAAGAGAAGTCATATTTAAACCTTGCAGTTATTGATTAATGGTAATTAGCCAATGGTAATTGGTCATATCACACTTTATATTTGTTTCAAGATCGGACAGAAAAGTTCCCTGTTATCAGTATCTCAAAAATATGTACATTTTAATGCATATATTTTAGCTCACGCTATACAGATTCATTGACCTTGCCTGTAAAACATTGGCTTAGGTGAAAATTTTCACCATTTTAAACATTCTCCCCTATCTTGGGCATACAAAAGTAGGTTAAGATATTTCCGCTGAGTAACCTAAGCACTTGGTTCTGCTTATGGCTCAATATGCTGTCTGCAGAACAAGGTCATCAATATATATATGAACGAATATGTGAAAGAAAATAATGTTAGAACTGAAAGGTTTTAGAAATCTCCTGTATTTGGTTTTGTGTTAACCTCATTAAATGACTTTTTTAGGTCAATGTTCTGTACTGTCTGAACTGAGTATTATTACATTTGATGGAAACAACATAGCCCTCTGCAATATGGCTTCCTATATTTTAGTCAAGTTACCAGGAGAAATTATTGTAGCTCATATTGAAAAATGTCCTGCTAATCAGGTAAGATTCTTGCATTTCTGCAATAATTGTAATAGTTTCTTGAATTTTTTTGTTATAGGTATGAGATTCTGCAAAAATATGTCAATTAAAACTTAGATATAAAAGCCATACCCATTGCAAAATGGCAAGTTATTTAATTTTCAAGGAACATGCTTAATCAGGCTGTCTAGACAAAAGTATTTTGTCTCAGGTTAAATAGTAATTGTTTTGTTATAAGGAAATTCAAATGTAGGTTACATTTAAATTGGAAGAGGTGCCATAACTTCTGAATCTTCATGTCTCCTTTCAGGCTCTTCACGCACAAGTCTTCTTGTGGCCTTGAATTTATACTTTACCATATGGTCAAAATACTAAAATATTTTGAATAGTCACAAAAGATATTTTGTAGATTTTAGGAATGTATTAATGACATTGGGATTACTGTGGTGAGTTGTTCTTTGTAGTTGTCTAACTCTGCATTGCCTACAGAGGGGATCTGGCCACTTTATTTTAGACTGCCAGTTAAGGTCAGGTCAGTCTCATCCTTAGAACCTATAAATACATTTCCTTTGCATTGCCTGTAGTCATAATTTATGCAGCCCTTGAGCAACTGGCTTGTTTCCATCCTTGGATTGTGGATAAACAAGTAACTGATGAGGAACTTCAACAGGCTTGTTTTCCCTCCCATCCCTCTTTATTTACTCTCACTGGGCAACTGTATACTTGAACTTTAAGACTGTTAAGTACAACAGTCGTGCACTGGTTTAGAGGTTTTCTATTAAATTGCTCTCTTCACTGTTACAGTCAAGAGGTGGGAATGTAGAACACATAGGCAGATGACCTTTAGAAGTCTATAGCTGTAGTTCTTTAAGAAATATTTTTTGAAAGAACCTTTCAGCATGTGCACTACTTTAGCTGGGAAGTGTGTATTTTTAATTATTTATAGGGAATATATTAAATTAGTGTAATTATTTAGCGTCTTTGAAGTTCTTCAAAGACGAAGAAAATAGTCAACTTATTTTTGATACATAAAAATGCTGGTGATTATCATTGCACTTCTAATTTTTTTTAATGTTTTCCAGAGTGCAAATTCAATAAGAAAACTAGTAAGTACTTTTTTATTCTACTAATTATAAAATGCATTAATGTTACATATATTGATAAAAATTCCCAATAACACTGGCACAGAATTAGAAAAACAACAGTAATTAAACTCATTTGTCACTTTTCTTTCAAGGTTCCACCTGCGAGCACTTCAGGGCTCTGTTTTAAGAAATTAAATGTCACAACACCCACATGTAAAATACTTATCAATCGCTTAGCAAGAAAAGTAAGTATATATCCACAGTATGTACACTTAAAAAATAGCTGGAGAGCTACTCTGTTGTAGAATGTAGTAAATTCAAATTAAAATTATATATTACAGGAGTAGGACTAGTTTTGCAGTTAAGGTTCCCAGTAATTTATGGTATCCTAGGAGCAAAACAATAAACATTCCTGATACCATTCTTCACTTATCTGTCATTTACCCAAAATAACACTTTAAAGTTCTTTAGAGTTTTTAAAGAAGCTGCAAAAGAAGTTATACTTGAGATTGTATTTTCAGAAACCCTAAAACTGAACAAAAAGTGTTCCAAGATGGGATAAACACTAAATCTGCCCTTCCTACTAGTCAATTACAAGTCAGAACAGATAACGTTGAATAATTGGAATTAGGTTTTGTTTTATAATACAATATATGATAAATAAGATTTATTCCTTCCTTATTTAGAAAAGATTTTTTTTCTCATGCCTACTTCATTTGCAGTTATAGGAAATGACACTGATGGGAAGCTCTGTGTTGCAAGCACTGTGACTGTTGTATGTGGTAGAGGCTGTAAAAAAATAACTTTCTTTATTAAATAGGAATACATATAGAATAGATAACTGTAATCTGTTTTTATTCCTAAAATGTGTTTGGTTTATTTTAGGTAGTAGTGGATTCTGTAATTCAACCATTACCATTTTCAAAAGAAGGACTGAGTATTCAGGATACTGGTGCAATGTATGTCGTTAATACCCCAGCTGGTATTAGCATCAAGTGGGCTCATGTTACAGGCATCATAGATATACAGTATGGATTACACTCTAACACATCGATGAAGACAGAAGGACTTTGTGGTGAGGCTATGGTCACAATTTTTTTCTTATTTAATAACTTCCCATTTGAAATTTGCAACTCTCTTTTGTGCCTGTGACCAGCTGTCCTTATAACTCTCCTTGTGACCCTCACTAGCTATGATGACAATCCTATGTGATGTGGGCTTGTGAAATACTGCTAATTAATACCTATAAATTAATCATTCTGTTTTGAAAGCACTGCATGCTAATAAAGTACTTTCTAGAACAAGTAGTGATCAGCACATTGTATCTAAATAGCTTTAAAAAAAATTACTTATTTCTGCCTGTTTTTAAGAATATTGTTGAAGTGAAGTAAAGAAAAGGGAAAAATTTTCAATGGAGAAGTGGCTGCTAAAGAAGTTCAGGTAGTGACAGTATATTTCAGTGATTATGGAGAAAAGAGTAACTGTCTGTTGTTAGCAATGTCAGCTTATTGCTATGCAAATACTGAAAAAAGATTTTATCTTGGGAAGGGCTCAAGTCTCCTGAGGATAGTGAATCTCAATTTAGACCTCTTGAGGTTGAATCTAGGGTCCAAAACTGTGCTGAGTTGTCTCAGACTTGAATGGTAAATTTAGCATGTTTCAGGCTTCCCTGATAGCCTTTTTATAACTCTACCCGGATGAATAATATGGAGAAGTGTAAGTAGGTATTTCAGAATTGCTTTAATTCTATCATAAATGTTCCTCTTCTGGTGCATTGTAATTTTATACAGTCTACCCCCCATTGAAAAGGAAACCGAACTTTTTATGATCTTTTAAACAACTTTTAGTTTTAAAAGCAAACAATGCGATCCAGATATGCTTTAATTATAAACAAATCAAATCTTTAAAATCGATCGCTATATTCTGATTGAACAAAAGGAAAGTTCTCCTAGATCTAGGGAGAGAATGTGAATGTTGGCCCTGCATCTTTTCCCAGTATCATGCCATCCTCTTTATACATGTTGAAAGAGTGGGATGAAATGAGATCAAATGTAGGAAGAATTATAGAATAGTCATAGAAGAGTTACTCTTTGTGCCATGAGAAGATACAAAGAGGAAGACTTTGCAGACAGATCCAAACTTCGCTTTAAAGTGCTGCTTTACTTGATATTTTGCAGGAAAATCTGAAACCTTCTTTAGCTCTCCTTTCCTATTCTCTGCTGTTAATTCCTGATGGGGATTCTTCAGTCCTCTCCCTTTCATAATAGAGAAAATTGTGTGACTATTTGGTACATCAGCTTTATTTTTAAAAGCTGTATTGATTCTGTAATTCTGTAATATGACCCTACAAATTCTAACTCCAGCAGTTAGTGATTTGCAGGAAGAAGCAGAAGAGTTAAGAATAGTGGAATGTTGTGCTACTGTCAAATGCTTCTTATCATGCAGATAGCATCTTCTGTATTTCTCCATGCTGTCTGAAAGAATAACAGCCTGTCACACCAAGCTAGCCCAGTTCTAGTAAGGGACCCTGGAGAGCATCAGACTGCAGGACTGGAAGCACAAAGGCGAGGGCTTAGTATATGGTTAATGGTGCAGAAGGAAAGTGGAAGCAAGATAGAAGACTGCCTGATCAGTTCTGAGATATAAAACACTAGTATGAAGATTAAAGTTTTGGCATTAGTCACTTATTATGTGCTTATAGGAATCATATTTTAATTGATGAATCAACAGAATACCTACAATAATGAATTCAGATAGCCAATGAATGTCAGGGGTCTAGGTGTTTTTTTTTCCAGTGATTTTGTATTAATAAATAGAGTAAGAACCATATTTTCTCTTGAGAAAGCAATTTGTTCATCAAAAGATTCTTTTCACAACTTCTTGCATTTAGAATGTTCAGTTAAGTTTCAATACATGTCAAATCATCGGCGACAAGCAGTTAACTTGAAAGCCTCTGCAGTTACTCACAAGGAGCTGACTGCTGTTCAGTAGAATGAGATCAGAATCTAGTGCCATATCAGTGAGTTGCTACACTCAACACCACACTTTGGTAGCAGCTTTTCTCAAAAGTTAATTAATTGTTGGGAAAGGTATAATTAGCTGTACTGCATTATCTGCTTGTTTTACTTATCCATTGAGGCGAGAACTAAAGTCACAAGCAGAAGGTTGGAACTACAGTGGACATATCGCTACTTTCGTTTATAAACTCAGGTGACTAAGTTGCACGGGTCAGCCTGACGCAATATTAATCTTACCTTATTAAGTGCACTTTTCTTTCCCAAAAGTAGGCATATGGCATGTTTGTTTGTGCTTTGAATATGATGCTCTGTCTGCAGGGGTGTGTAATGGAGATCCTAGTGATGACCTGAAAATGCAAAACATGAGCATAATTACAAATATGGAGGAAATTGAAATGTTCATTAAGAGTTGGGAAATTGAGAAATCACTTGATGTAACAACCAGGAGGCCAGTAAGAAACTGTACTGAAGATAACTGCACATACTGTATGGAACTGTTAAACAGAAGCATTTTCATCCCTTGTCACAAGAAAGTGAGTACAAAGATCAGAAAAATTGCAGGTGCAATTCAAATAAAAGTTGTATAATTAAGAAAAGAGTGAGAGACATATGCACATTTTTTGTGTTCTGCTTATTTTCATATTTCAGTTGAACAACTGAATGGGTGGCTCTAATGCCTCCATCATGTTGCCTTTAGTACTTTTGTCACATTGTCCAATGTAAACACGCATTTATATTGATCCCTGTGCTATTATGCTGTTTTAAAAATTATTTATTTTTAAATAATTAATAGGAAATTCTCAAAGGAGAGACACCAGATCATCATGTCAAGACAAATACGTTCCAAAAGGGTTGTTTTTATTAAATTCTTGCTTGGGGTCACTGGAACAGAAAGCCTTGTGTTTCTCCTGCATACAACAGTGACTCATGCAGTCTGAGACTTATCTGACTAAGGAAATTTCCAGTTAAACAAATTTTGACCTAGTCACTATTATGTTGACAATTTGGTAGCATTTCTTACAAAAATCGTTATAATTTGTTTCTGAAAACTGTACTTCTTAATGATACAGTTGTAACATGCAGCCTGCCACTAGAGGTGGGTAGTGCAGCACAGCAGATTCCCAGAACAGAAAATGAGGAAATCCCAAATCTCTGAGGTCCGACTTTCCCCACTTAATTAAAAATAAAAAGGATTAATTACTCAAGTGTCTTTTTCTTCTCAGAGATGTGTTCAGATTCCTGATTTACTTCTTGCTGTTCTGCCTTTCCACCCTTAGTCTGTGTTGTGTTGCACTTTGGTTTTCATCACAGACAAATGCTGTTAAAAATATTGCAGGCAGCTGAACCCCTTCCTTCAAATTCCCAAGACCACTCCTCACTTTTCCCAGATAGAAAAAAAGGGAGGGAGTTCTTCTGAAAAGAAGGAGCTATATTTGCCGCAGAAACTTAGTGGGAGGGAGCAATGGTAAGCAGTTTGGAATCAAGAAGGGAGAGTAGCACCAGTGCAGCACAGTAGTGAATAGGCAGAATGAAACAAAATTTGACTTTTCCACCATGTTATGAACTTATGCAAAAGGAAACAACAGAAGTAAGAAAGGTTGCATCACCTGCGTTTAGACTTGGTAGCATAGGCTATCAGGTCCTACAGACATAGAAAGAGAGTAATAAATAATTCATTCAAAGCAGGATTTTATGGAAGGTATATCAGAAATGTTTAGCTGAGATTGTTGACTTTTAGTTGACAGGGTTATACTGAAAAGCTCTTGCAAGTAGTGTGAAAATCTCCTTAGGACTGCGTTCTGTGTTTAGTGATAAGCATAAAGAATTCTAGTTGTTTAAGTTTTGTAGAATGAGTGTTCTGAGAAAAAAGGAGTTTTTTAATTTAGGCACTACTAGTGACTTTTTTCCTCTTGGGGCTGTATTATTTCTTGTAATTAATGATTTATTTTAATTACATAAAGTCCTTATACTTTTTAGTTCCCAATTGCAATATGTTCCTAGGTGTCACCACAGGAATTTTGTGAGAAGATGTGGATCAACAGTACTTATTTTTGGAATTATGAGTGTGATGCACTTTCTGCGTATGTGGCTTTGTGCAACAAGCACAACATCTGCATTAAATGGAGGACAGCTGATTACTGTTGTAAGCATGTAGCCATATTCTATACACCATATGTCTTTAGTCATGAGGTTTTTTAGTGATTTAGTGTTTAGTGATGAGTTAAAAATATACTAGTTTCTATTATTATTGTAAGTGCTATCTCATTTTATCACAGCATGGGTAAATTTGGGTACAAGTTCTTAAGATGTATTGTTTTAGTCAAAGTGTCATGAATGAGTTTAATCTCAGTCAAATGACTTGCTTACCTGAAGTACTGTTAAAAGTATAAATGCCTACTTTCTGTGATACAATCATTTTTTCTTAGTAGCTATTTATACAATGAAATGCTGAAAGAATAACAGAAACACTCAATGTCCTGTTTTTATTTCTTGCAGCATTGAGTTGTCCTGAGGGCAAGGAATACCAGCCTTGTGTGCAACCCTGTGAAGCCAAGACATGCTTAAATAAATGGTTCTATGAAGATTCTCCCTGCTCCTATTTGAGGGAAGACTGTGTTTGTAAAAATGGCACCATTCTGCATAGAACAGACTCTGATCTTTGTATACCAGAAGAAAAATGTGGTAAGTACATCAGAACAGAGTAGTTTTGCAGATATGATGATATTAACCACAGTTCAGTGTAAGAGTTTAGGTTCTGTGCCAGTCCTCAGTAAGTGTGAATCTGGTAGAGGTCCATTCAACAGGGCCTTGCTGTGTCTCAAGATACAGCAGTTTATGCTTTCAGTTCAGTTCCATTTAAGACCCAGTGCTGATGCACTTCTGTTGGGGAAAAATGATGGTCATTCTTCCATACCTCTGAAGCTTTTCTTCCTCTAGTACTCGGGAGCAATAGTATGGGCAGGTTCTGTCTCTTGCCTTCACCCATTTTCATCCATAGTGAAGCATTTGTTCCTTGGGGCTTTTAAGGTCATCATCCTTCCTTGGATTCCTTTATCATAATGCTTGACAGACTTTTTATTTTATGCAATACTTTTATGCAATTCATGGTTGCTTACAGAAAATGGAGCTGTCTGCTTGTTGAAGGGATGTAATGGGATTTTTCTTCCAGCATGTACAGATAGTAAAGGACAACCCCGCTCTGCTGGGGAGAAATGGAATGGGTCCATGAGAAGCTGTTGCATGTATGGATGTTTAGAAAATGGAAGCATTGTTGCTGTAGAACCTGAATGCAATGAGGATCCACCACCAGTCTGTGAAAGAGAAGGAGAAGTTATTGTCAGTGTCATTGAAGAGAGAGCTTGCTGTCCCAAGAAAGTTTGTGGTATGTACCACACTTGTTTTCAGTAACAGAAGTGTAAGGTAAGTGCTTAACATTCACTGGCAGCTGACAAACTTTAGGCAGGATTCAAGGTAACATTTTTCAGAAGTCATTTTTAGGTACTTGTGGCTAGTTGGGCCAGGAATTCAGGCTTCTTTTCTATATAAGAACTGACTTGCTGAAATAAATTTTTTTCTTAGAAGTTCACCAGTTAAACAAAACTTCTGTCAAAAATTATTTTTTAAGCTCTTGCATGGAATTTAGAATATATATCAATAATATATATATATATAAATAATAAATTGATATATATTTGATAATAGAAGTACCTTGGTAACTGGGGCAGTCATCAGACCCTGTTTGCTTTCCTTACTAGTGCTTTGGTGTGACAAGCAGTATCCTCTGATCTACTGCTGTTTTCCAGATGTGGTTTTCTGTGAGCTGATCACTGCATACTAATATTCTGTCTAGCCATGGTTGTTAGGAAAAAGAATAAACTTATTGCTCCTAAAACATTAAGCAAAATGTACTTATTTCTTCTTAACATCTTCAAGGAAAAGGAGAACAAATGGTCCAGCTGATGTGGTGCTTTTGCGCATTAGATACCTGTAACCAATTCTGTATTGTCAATTTGCTTAGAGGAAATCAGTGGGACATTTTAGCTGGCTTCAGGTATAGGAAGCAGAGCAAGTAAATACCTGTTTTAGGAGGGATATACCTGCTTGCTTATGTTGAGCTCAAAGGTCTACACGATGGTATGGAGTGCACTTTAAGCTGTCTTGGGCTGCTCTTATTTAGTGGATCACTGTACTAGATGGTATAAATATCTTGAGCTATAGAACTTGCAATTGTATCTGTTTAAATACAATAAAATTGATTTTTTTTTTTTTATTCCACAGAATGTAACATATCATTGTGTGATGCCATTATTCCAACATGCAAACCCACTGAAAAATTAGTGGTAGGCTACCATCCCCTGTCCTGCTGTCCACAGTACCGATGTGGTAAGGGAAATACAAATGCACAGTTACTGGGAAGTTTTCCACACTTGCATTGTATGTTGAAAAAAAATTTACATTATGAGTTGTTTTGACTGTTAACAGAATGGGACACCATAAATAGCACCAGGCAATGAGATATGGTTTTTGTCCTCATTCTCCAATACTTTTTTTGTGTTTGAGTTTTTTGTAATTTCTGATTTACAGTCAATTTGGGGTGTTTTATTTTACTAAGTAGATCAAGAATATATTTTCTTTATCTTTTTGGTATTGTCTCAGTGACCCCTTTTATGATAGTGTTTTGCATCCTACAGAATGTGATCCTTCAGTTTGTTTCAATGCTTCCCAGCTGGACTGCAGAGAAGATCAATTTATTGTTGAAGCAAAACAGGAAGATCCTTGTTGTTTCTCACAACTCTGTGGTAAGAAGCCTCTAATATTTTTATGGAGAACTAAGGAATAGTCAAAAATTACAAAACCAGACAATAATTCTAAACCAAGTAACTTAAGCCAGGAATTCTTGGAGAAGTCAGTGAGACTTCACATGGATCAGGTTGACTGGAGCATAATTATTTTTGAGTTTGAGGATCTTTTCTTTCCAACATAATTTTGAACATCATACTTGAATTTTGTTAAGTTTTTATATAAAATCCATGAAAGTTCTGTTATATGAGTAATAAACACAATATTACTTGTTATTTAGTCTGTTAAATGGAATTCACATGTGCTAACTTTTTAGTATTTAAAACTTTGTAAATGTCTGTTTTGTTTTTTTTTTTAATATTTAGTTTGTGAATCCTGTATTGAGCCTGTTCCTTTTTGTGATGAAGGGGAAATTCTCACTGTAGACCTTAATACCATACATTACTGTTGTCCCCATTACTACTGTGGTGAGTGTAACTGTTGTCAGTTCCAAATTTAGTAAAAATGACAGACTCTGTGTGTGTGTGTAGATTTTTTTGATTCAGCATTTAGGGTAGGCTTCAGATATAGACTAAGAGATCTGACTGAAGGTGTCTCTATTTGAGGTAGATTCAAAGTTCTTGGTATGCTCAATGGTGGTCTAACGAGGCTAAGTCAGCGGAGTCTGGAGAGGTTATTTAGTTCACCAGACAGAATATAGTTATTTTCAGGATGATCTAAATACTAATATATTAACGTGGAACTGAATCCCATGCTTGGAGTGTAAGTATACTATTGTTCGTATATTAAAACAGATTTAATAAAACAGCTTTTGTGTTGTTGTACCTCTGTTGTACCATTCATTAATGCTTAGGCAGTTTCTTTGCACTTTTAGCTTTCAGGGGAAGGAGTAGACCAAGGGCCCCAAAAACTGCTGGGTTGATTACTTTTCAAACAATGAGCAGCCAGAAGAAAAATATTTGCAGTGTAACCTTGTCCCTTTCATAGCCTCATAAAACACATAAATTGTGCTATGTGTTCTTAAGTAATGTCTACAAGTATAACTGCTTAATTTAAATTGACTCTTATGCTGCTGCAGTCTTGTCCTATTGCACTCTTGCAGTGTAACTTCAGTTAATTAAATTGTCTTTCACAAAGTTTGGAATTTAGTAATTTTTACTTCAGTTTTTTCTGTGTTTTGGTCCTTTCCTTTTCCTAGCACTTTTGCCCAGGTGAAAGTTTCTGCAGAAGCCTTTGGCATTGTTTTTTGTCAAATTCTGGCATGTTTGATCTACGTCTTAGTGTATGATCTTCTTTCAAAGTAAGCCCCCTCTGATAAGAGAGGCAGGCATTTTCTTGTTAGGGTCATCTCAGGATGGCATTTGCTCCCTGTTATCTCATGGGAATGTGCTTTACAGCACATTTGTATCTGAGAAGAAAAAACCCCGTGTTTTCCAAAGACTATGATTTTAATTGTCTTTGGTAATAGTTATAATCTTGAGTGATTCTGAAGTAGGAAGAATATTAAATGAATCCTGTGTGATGTTTTCTGAAAATTTAAGCATGTTCTAAGGCAACTAAAATCACTTTTGAAAATCTTTGTTTGTTTTTTTAGTTCCAAATGTAATTCAGGTGCTTAAGAAACACAATCAAGTTTATGTAACATAACATTATTTAAAAAATAGTATGTCAAAAGAAATGTAAGCTGGAAAATATGAAGTAAATTTAAGTAAATTCTCATACGTGTCTTTTCCCCTCATTTAGTTTGTGATGAAAATCTTTGTTCTGAGCCTCCTGTGATTTGCACAGATGACATGACACCTGTGAAGAAAAAAATACTTGGGCAATGTTGTCCAGAATGGCACTGTGGTAATTATTACTTTATTCCTTAGTCACAACTGTTAACTAAAGCTAACAGTTAGCTAACTGATTAACACGTGGTTTTTTTTTTCTCCTCAGAATGTAATTGTGAAAATGCTACTATGCTGACCTGTAAATTGGTAAGCGGTATTTTTAAGATATTTTTATTAATGGTGTTCAGCCCTGTTGGTCTTCCCTTTATATTCCTTGTTTCAATTAGTTGCAAAGGGTGATGAGGCTGACCATGGACAGGGTGGTACAGCCTCCCAGTCCCCAACTCAAGAACGTGATTCAAACAAGTGTCAACTATTCCATGGAGAAATTTCGCTTTCTGTGTTGTAAGATGTCAAAAGAAGAAAAGCAACTGTAATATTGTCCTGTTCAATGTTGACACTAAACAATATGCTGGTAAGGTTTTCTACAGAAATAGTTCCCATTTTTTAAAATAATTAATGAGGAATGAGTTTTATTAGCATATATATTATCTGGAGAAACTTGGTTTTTCGTTAATCATTTATGCTTTAGATGACAATGATATAACATTATTGAATTTAGCTAATAGGAGAATTCATAAATATGTTCCTCCTCATGTAGTTTGTTGTAATAGGGACTGTGATCTGGAAAATAGTTATGAATAAATGTTCAAACTCCTGTTATAACCATAGTGATGATATTTTCCATATCAAATGTCCATATGTGAAGACTGCATAACATAAAGTCTAATCAGGGGTTTTAAATTTGAATTTCACTTATTTTTTGGAAGTAAATTCTTAGAAGGCAATCTTTTACTGATATGGGTATTATTGAAATAACTTTGTATCTCAGGAAAATAATGCTTTTTATTTACTCAGCTGTTCTTATGCACTTGTACAGAAAATGAAGTGGTTTTTTCTGTTTAAAGCGATAAATACATTGAATAACTTTGAGTGTGCTACTGTTTCTTGAGTACATTTTTCTCTTTTATGAAATCAGGGGTGGAAGCGATGAAAGTAATATTTTACATTTTTAGAGGAAAATTGTCTGCTTGGCACTACATTTAATTGTACATGACTTTGCAAACTTTTATCTTTTTATGCTCAGGGAGAAGTTAAAAAAATAGATAATAGTGTTTCCAGTGCCTGCGGATGCACTCACTACATTTGCGGTAACTTTTTCATATTCCTTCTTGTTGTGTTTTAGTTTTCAGCAGAAAGGGCATGCAAAGAAAGCAGAAATAGGACCACAGTAACCTTCTCAAATATAAATGCTCCTTTGTCTTGATTTGATGTTTGTCCACCTAGTTATGCAATTATACTCTCTTTTCTGGATATGAGGCTTTGTCTGCTAGCCCATCCATTTTGTGTCAATTCTTGCGGGGTGTGGGAGTGTTGTTAAACTGCCCGTGCTTTCAGAGTCAGGTACAGTCTCTCTGGTGAGGGGCATATGGAAAGCATGTTGTGAAGTGCAGCTGCATGTGAGCAGTACAACTGCTCCTAGTCTACTTTCAAGCACAAATGAGACACCACCACACCAGAGCAACAAACCTGTTCAGCCAGCACAAGAGTAGGAAGCCAGTCTTAAGATCAGACCTCTGCTCCCTTCCCTCACCCAGCTACCCTATGGTAGACGAGATTTCAGCTGCACTGTGCATGGGGGTGCTGGAGGTATGCTGCAGTCCTGACAATAACCCAGGCTAAACTGCCTCAAGGAGCAAAGCACACATTTATGGTACAGCTTGAGCAGATTACTGGCCTACAGGTAATGGGAGACATACTAGTTTAATTGACAGAAAGGCTACATTTTGTAATGTGCAGAATGGTTGAATGTCAAATATTAGAACTCTTTAAAAGTAAGAACACCACATTTTTTTTTTAACTTCCATTGTAGGAACACTATCAATTTTAGGCAGTTTTGCATTTTGTAGGATTTTCTTAAGTTGAATTATACTTTCTCCCCCTCTATTTTGGTAATTTAAACCATAAACAGTCAAGTCTAAAAGTTAGAATACTTTTGCATCGGACTTTGCCCTACTTTTGTCTTACCAGTGATTCTGTTAATTTGTTTGATGATTTTTTTGTCCCCCTCTGGTAACATTTATTTCTTTCCATTTTAGAGAAGGATGATGTGTGCATCTTCCAAGAGGTCACAGTACTGAATCCTGGACAGTCAATAATTCAGTACTTGGATGGAGACCTTTGTTACACTGTACAATGTTTACAAGAAAAAGATCAGAACACAGGATACAATGCCATGCATTTCACAATGATGAACTGTTCCCAGCAATGTGAAGCTGTGAGTATTCTTAAAATACAGGAATGATGCAATTTGTAAGCACAACTGCACAATTAGGATAAAAGTTTTAGTGAAAACTTTTGCTAGTCCTTTAACTCAGCAAGTATGAGAACTTAACAGTGATGATGTGTACCTTGTGTCTACAGGATTATTTTTAGAGGAAGGTTCTATCAGCATGTGTAAATGTATCTATCTGACCATCCATCCATCCATCCATCCATCCTTCCATCCATCCTTCCATCCATCCATCCATCCATCCATCCATCCATCCATCATCCATCCGTCCGTCCGTCCATCCATCCATCCATCCATATGTATATTGCTTTTCTTGGTATTTTTAGTTTTAGAAATCAAAGAATTTCCATATCTTATATGTTTAAAAATACTTGCTTGGTTTTTTTCTTTCCTTTCTTTCCAGCATCAAATATATATTCCTTCCTTCAGTCACCATACTTGTTGTGGTATGTGTCAAAATGTGTCCTGCTCTTTTCATACAGAGAATGGAACACTTGTTGTGTATGAGGTAAGTGTCTTTGGACAGAGATAGGAAATAACTATAATAATATAATAAATAAGTGTCTGACAGTCATTTCTTAGTTAACTCATGCTGTCAGTCTTGCTACATGCCTCCTTGCTGCTGTTTATACACTTAGAGACTATTTGTGATATACGATAGCAAGAGTGTGTTTATTTAAAGACCTGCCATTTCACACTATGTGAATACCTTATTTCATTTTATTGCTCATAATATTTTCTGTAAAGATATGTAAATGTCATAATTTACTTAAGGTTGGATATGCTCCAAGTGCAGGGAAGGGTTCAAATTTTCACTCTAAGTCATGTACTGTGATTTAGATATGTTCGGAGCTTCAGAGTTCACATCAGGACTCCTATGTCCCCCTCTTCTCAGGGCCACTCTTCTTGTTCTGGTTACTACAGAAAGGAAGAGTGCAAATTGAAGCCCTGGGGTTCAGGATCTTGATGGTGTGTCAGCATCCCCATACATGGAAATTTAGATGTGGCCATAACTTGGTTCATGCTTCCCATTGCTTTCAGAGCAAAAGAAACTAACAGGCACAGAGACTTTTAATTCTGCACTAGGACACCCATGCTGAACAGCGTGCTGGAGAATAGAACCATGGCTCCAGGGAGGAGTAGCCACTGGTAGTTAGAGGGTGGTCTTTCTCCTTGTCACCTCTGGATGGTATGCAAGACTTTTCACTCCAGTAGGCACTACCGCATGAGGGCACCAGTTTTAGAGACATTTGAAGTTGTAGATAAAGCTGAAATGTTTTGGCTTCCCTGACAATGGCTTTGGTTTATATATTCAGGAAGGAAGCACCTGGAGCTCCAACTGCACCAACTACAAATGTGCTAAGACTGCTGCGGGGGCTATCATACTGGGATCAAGTGTTGTCTGCCCCCCGTTTAATGACACTGACTGTACAAAGGTTTGTACTTTGGGTGAGGTAAGTGATAATAACTGCTCTGGAGTTTGGCTTACACTTGACAAGGCATGCATAGCTCATGTAGTTCCTTTAAATTAAAAAAGTGGTAAGTAAAAACATGTAAACTAGCAATTTGCAGTTATTTGCTATGCTCCTGTTTGCTTTTCAACTGACAAAGTGTCTGTGAGCAGTATAAAAATTTGGTTTGGGTCTTGATAACTGCTTTTAAAATATTGTGGAATTGGAATCATGCTTAACATACCACTATATAAAGTGCTAATCACTGTGTCTTAGTTTAGTTTAGAATAACAATTAGCCAAGTTCGTAGTGCACATAGACTATATAAATCAGATCAAGCAATCCAGAAATGCTGCATATAAAAGCCAGCCATATTAAAAATTCCTTAAGTTGTGCAAAGATTAGGAAGATGACAGAGATGACAGAGTATATATAAACTTTATTATCTCTTAAAATAAACTTTTTGTAATAAAAAATATCATACATGAAAGGGTATCTACCTACATCACATATCTAAAAATGTAAATGTGGCATACCCATATAACCTTTGAAGAACGTGTGTTCTTCACATACATTGCATATTTGTTTACAGTTTAATTTCTAATTTAATACTTCTCTAACTTTATAATACTTATAATTCTTACACTTGCAGTATACCATATATTTAATATAAACTACAAATAATAATAAATATATATGTAGAGAGGGTAAGTACCATTATAGCCTTGACTACAGATTATGAATTTAGTACAAGTCCTACTTATCCGTTGCATTTGTTTAAAAAAATCCTGAAGAAGGTACACTATCTAAAATTAGTGTCTGTATTACTTTGACTTTATGCTTGAGTTTCTTCCTTGGAACCATTTTGACACCATCTATTAGGATCTTTCCTTAGTAATAATGGTTAAGATTTTAAAGAATGGAGCCCTATAATTAACTTCTTGAGTCAGTCTGACCTGTTTTTCAGAGATGTTGAACATAGACTTGAACCAGTAGCTGAGAAGAAAGCTCTTCTGACAGGCATCTCAGGATCATTCAGGAATATGGATTTAAGTATCTGAGTTTAAGTGCTCCAAAGTTCTCAAACAGCTTATTCAGTGATTTTTCTTTAATGATATAAATAATGTATGCTCGCATGAAAAGATAGAAACTAAAAATGTCTTTTGTCTGCTGTTATCTTAAGAGTTCTATTCGTGATCTGTTGACTGCTTGATATGCAGTTCTGGGCTATACACATGAATTTTTTTAAACTATCCTAATAAGTCTCAGTGGTGGGGAAATAGATGTAAGTGGATAATATAAAAATACGTTTACAGAAACTAAGTGATTTATTCAAAGGAGACTAGATCAGATGCCAACTGAACACTACTGAACTTTCAGCAGTGATGAGTTCATTTTCAATTTCAAAGGTTGTAAAGAATTTGTGAACCAAACCTTCAGCTGACACATATCTGTGTAATTCTCTTCATTTCAGTGATACTACTTTTTATTAGATGAGCATCTTTAAAACATGGAATATCTTACCTTTTCATCAGGCACAGTGTTTTTTGCTATATTCCCCTTTTATTTTCCTAGAATGGCGGAATTGTGCAGACGTATAATGATGGCTGCTGCAAGACCTGTAAGTGATGAAGGCTGCAATATGTGCTAGTTTGGCTTTGATTTTGGAGGGCTTGTTTTTTAACCTCAGTTGCTGGGACATAAAGAAGGAAAAAGCATGCAGTCCCCCTGCAAATCACATAAAAATTGTTGTAGTTACCTAACTACTCTTATTAAAAGCTATTGCTTCATTTGGCTGCTGACTTGGTGATTTTTAACATTATTGTTCTGGAGTATAACCAAATCTCTCCAAATATAACTCATGGAAGATTAGAAGTTATCTCAATTAAAATAATGAACAAATTCTCTTTCTTGCTAAGATGGCTCTAAAATATTGCCTATATGATTTTCACCATAAAAGATAAGGACTTTTTCCCCCTAAAATTGATTCCTAATTCAGTGACATTTTGCAATATGTCTTCAAACCTACTGATTTATTTTGTATCCCTAATATGTATTTTCTAGGGCCAAAATACTGGAATACTTTTTTAAAAATCCCAAATGAGGAAAAGTTATAGTAATACCGAAGATAGTGACTCTTATATAAAATCAACTTTTTAGTAACTGGGAATATGTACACATTTTCTGACTGTGTAACTTTAAAATTTGATGAAATGTGACTCAGGCTGACATAAAGATTTCATAATTTTTGCAGTTTTACAAATTGATTGAGAACAAACAGGTTTTTGCTGCAGTTTTGACTAAGAAAAGTTTTATTACCTAGGTATATAATTATTTATATATAAAAACCTGTTGTTGTATAAAAGTAATTGTGTAGAGCAAGAACATGTTCAACACTTCAGAAAATCCTCACCCTCTTTTTTGGCCATTTTTGTCTTCAACATTAGAGTAAAATATATAAGCAAATTAGTTTTTGGAATTTTTGTAGACAAATGTTTACTTAATAATATTGACTAGCAAGTCACAGACTTACAACCATATACTATACAGTTATTACATAAAACTGAACTGCAATGTATTTTATATAATTTGATGAAAAAAGGGAATATTGATATTTATCTAATACAGAGTAATACCAAGTTATGCTAGTCTTAAAAAGTGAACTGTAAATGCTGATATTCTATTGTATACAAAATGTAGAAGATAAAGAGTATTTTAATACAATATAGTACATTTTTTAATGAGAACCACCATAGAGAAATAACACACCAAATTGTGCTACAATCTTAATGACAATATTCTTTCTCTCATGAGATAAGCTGTGTTGAAAAATATTTAACTTCCCCTCAAAATTAGGTTGGCTTTTTTTAGAAACTTAGTCTTAAGAATTATTGACTATTTGTTTACTTTTGATCAGGAAGATTTATAATTTTGGCCATGTTCTGTGGCCTCAGGAAAGGCATTGTTATACTTCAGAAATACTCGCTGAGGTGGCTGCTAAAAACCCCAGATATCATTCAAACAATTATATGCTATTTTATTTTTATTTTGTTTTATTTTTAACTAAAAGCATGTGCCCTGTGGTGAAGCAGTTAAGAAGAGTACTTACAAATAGAGCTTGCAACACGTTGGGGTTTTAATGGGGACAAATAACTTTTCTGAAAGACCTTGATTTAATGCATGCAAAGTGAGTGCATATATTTAATTCTTACCTTGCCATAGAGAGACTCATTGCAAAAGTTTGATTTAAAAGTAAGCATCATTCCAGTTTTGTGTTAATCAGGAGTGTAATAAAGTTTAGGCCATCTTTAGTGAGACTTGAAGCAGCTGCGCAGTTTCTAAATTGTAGAAGACTAACAGGAAAGCTCATCATCTTTTATTAAAAGAAAAATTGCAGTTGGCAGTGTAAGAATTAATGAAATGTCATTTATACAGAAATGTTTTTATTTCATGAGAATCTTCTATTCCTAATGATTCTGCCAGGTTCTGGATTGGGTCTATTACCCTTTGCCATTAATCCAGTAGTGCCTACTGATAGTATTAATTGTGAACCAGGTATTATTTTTAATACTGTATTTTCCTTTTTTTGATAATAGTGTAAGCAGTACTTGATATATATGTCATAGCTGTCATCATCGTTAAATGTTACCATGCATTTAATGGTTCTGGGCCTGATACTGAGAGATGCTGATCCTCTGTTGGTTTTCTAAAGCCTGGTTAAGGTTCACTGCTCAGCACCTGTCAGAATTAGGTTCATCCATTTATGGTTATTCCTCCTGCTCTTGCTGAAATTTCTTTTAGCACATGAATTTACTGTACAGGGTAGTGGTACTAAAAATGTTACTGAAAAAAAATCATAATTCTGAATACAATTACCAAGAGATTCTAAATCTGATCCCAGGTTTCTGAAATTATTGATGGAATTCTTTTTTTTTGTCTTCAAATAGAGCAAGAGTGTGTGTTATTGTCTGGTCTCACCTTTGCAAATATGGATTTATGCTGTATTTCTTCTTTGTCACAGATAATATGCTTTATAAAGTTAGGAAAATGTTGAGGGTGGGGCGGAAACATACAATTGCAACCACGTGGTGATATATACTTTTTACACCAGAAAATACAGAATGTTACAAAACTGTTGCATTACACTCATAATTCTTAACTTTTTAGGATAGGTGAGTCACAGAAACTCATTGCTGAAATAAGGAGTGAGTAACAAAGCACGTCTGATATTGAATGCAGATCTTTACAGTTCAAGTTTGGGGAGAGAAAAGTATAGCATCAGTCTTCATTAGACATCAGCACTTTATATGCTGAAATGTCATATATATCTCTACATGACTTGTAGCAATACAAAGATTGCATTGTCTACATGTACTCATGCTGGCAAACACTTTCTAATGGAAATACCACAGAACTTTTTCTTAAGTGTTTCTGAGGAAGGAAAAGCAAGATAACAACTTCAATCATACAGCAATTTGCTAATTCAGTAACATAATCTTGTTTTACTCTGAATGCACAGATTAAAATATAACTGTACTCTGCAGCAAACCTAAGTTTTAAATACTCAGTGGAGCTGTGGTTGCAGAATATCTTGGTTGCTCAGAGGTCAATTATCTTATAAAAGTACTCACAAGCTTCTGGAGAACAGAAGAGTTCTTTTTGCGTACACCCAACCATAAAGGCATGTGTGGAAGGCTGAGAAACTCTGCTGAATAGTGCTTATTATTTTATATGCTGGATATCCAGAATGGTTCCACAGCAAAAGTAATACATGATTTTGATGGGAAGTGAAATAGGAGATCTAATTAACTTCTGTTACACAGATAGTAATAACAGTCTTATATGGAGTGCAGCGTGAAAAATTATATTTTTAATTTTTAATATGTTAAAAATGGCTTTGCACTCTACAGTTTTATTTTTCAAATAGAAGGAAACAACTCCTGTCAATATCTCCCAGATTGTACATAAAAATTCAGTATTTCCCTAATCCTAGCTCTGTATGCTGACGCAGTGCTAAATGCTTCAAATCTAGTGATAAAAAGTGCACCATATTTAGCAAATGGATGCATCTCTCTCTTTCAAAGCTTCCTTGAAGGACATCTTTTTCAAAAATACATTGAAATTATATAATTATATTTAATTTTTAAACCTGCAAAATAGCATCAGTGTAATCACGTTCACAGCTTCACCTTTTCAATGTTAAGTTCTGAAAATTTTCTAAAATGTAGAATTAAAATCCTATTTACATTCAAAATTCCCAATAAAACAGAATTAATTCTAATACTATTCAAAATTACTCGAGACATCTTTTTTCCTCATTGCTTATATTTGTCTTGGCATATATGCAATTTAAAATCATATTCATATTTTAATATTTCTAAAATCTCTAGAGCTTATTTGGGCCACTCGGTGGCTCATATGTACCAGCTATAAAACAAATAATTCTGCACAAGAACTATTTGCTAATATATTAGATTTAAAAAAAGATATGGAAGTAATAGTTTCTGTGTGTACATTAAGGAAAACAAAGTATAATTATTTAAATTATGTTAATAGTTTTACTTTTTTTTAGTAGCAAATGCAGTACAAAAGGTGTATTAATTCAGTATACATTTTCTGTATTTTTTCAGGCAAAAAGGAAGAAAGAATTTGCCAAAAAATGACAATCAGGACAACCATAAGAAAAAATGACTGTATAAGTCAAAGCCCGGTAAGCATAAAAGAGCTGTTTTGATGCTGGGCCTGTGGCATGCCAAATCAAGTACTAAGAAATCGGTTATAATGAACAACAAGCAAAAAAAATGCTACTGTCTTCTTAAAAGCAGACCTTTCATCCTAGGAATGTTATCCTACTCATAAATACAGTAGAACTAGCTGTTCCAATGACTGAAACACTGAACCCTCCTACTAGAAAAACATCTGGCTTCAAATGAAAAATACACACCATAATTGCTTGTGACTAATGAAAGCATTGAACTCTTCGGCACAAAAAAACCATCCCACTCTAAAAGAGGACTAGAATGTTTCAACTTACAATGTGATGGAAACACTGCTCCATTCCCCTTTGAGGACCTTTACGCTCTGTGTATCTTCTCCTGCACATAGCATGGGTCTCCATATCATAAATTCTTGATCCCATTTATTTATGTGTCTACTTAAGACATCCTATTTCTCAGCTTTTGTGTAGCCCCATCTGCAGAACCCTGGATATTTCCGAGTAGCAAATGTATTTCTCACGTAGCACTTAAAAGAGAAGCATTTGACAAAGTAGCTTAAGACTTCCAAAAGGCCTCTGGTAAGATTCTATTGAAGAACCTAAACAATCGTTAGGGAAGAGGCAAAATATCATCACATGTTAAAAGACATCCTCTAGAAGTTCAACAGTGATATGTTCAAATTTTAATAGTAGGGGGGTGTGGTGTATTTATTTAGTTTTAGAAGAAGGGTTGGTAAGGAGGGAGTATAAATATATAGATGAAATTACAGTAATTTTCCAGTTAAGAGAAGATGCTGGAGAGCTTCACAGTTACTTTAGTAACTGTAGTACAATTTAGGTTAAGGGACAGCAATATGACAAAATAAAGACATGGTATTGACTAAATGAAGAATATTAAAATGAAAGATTTTGTCAAACCTCAAAGGTTTTTTAAGCTAGTTGAAAAGATCCTTGCTCTGTTGTCCAGTTCTTTGAAAATCTCTGCTTTCCTGCTGACAGAAAGGCTAACTAAGAGCTACATTTAGGGAAGTGGATAGGCAGTGGAAACAAGCTCATTCTAGAGTATCTTATGATTCAATGCTGCAGTACTAATGAGAGTACTCTGTGGAGCTGTGGTGCTTCTGCATTGCTGCAGAACTACAATGTTCAGAGAGGAGCAATAAGAATGTTGGCCAAGTTATGACTTGAATGACACAACAAATGAAGCCTTCCTTTTTATGACTTTCTGTTGTAGATCATATTTCCTTCCCTCTCTAACCACCTCTGAAAAAGACTCACCACCATCCCACTTCTATTTGTATTACAACCCCCTTCTCCCAGTATTTTCTTACTCCTGATTTCCTTGATAGCTGCACACCCTTTGCACAGTCCAGATTCCCTTACCCTTCACCCAGAAGTACCTCCAGATTTTCATGTCCTCAGAATTCCTATTCATACCCTTAGCTCCAATTCCTTTCCTCTTCAGCTCCCCTACTGGCACTCTTTTTCAACTGCGTGATTTTGACCAATCAAATGGTGGTGTCTGTTCTGACTGGTTTAGAACTACATACACGTAGTAATCTCTAGCCAGATTAATACTGTCAAACTTTGGAAAGGGCAGAGTATGATTACATTTCTTTAATTAATAAGTGGGACTATTAGTGGTTAGGACAAAGTCTTTTTTTACCCCTGTTAAATTTCAGAAAACTTAAAAGCTGTCAGAGTAACTTTTTGGTCTAATTTTTATGGATATGGCACATTTCATCACAGGCTGCTTGGAAGGGAGTGGATCAAAACATCTTTCATATGCCCCACCTGCATAAGAAATCAGATTTAAAACTATCACAGAAAGAACTAGATCTATTATAGCCATTCTCAATTTCCCAGCTATTAACACTGCTTGTTTTAATTAAAAATTATTTTTTTTTCTGTCAGATTATCAGATAAGAAAATTCCTCAGATAATGTAGTAGTGAGAGAAAGTGACTTCAGTCTAGAGCACACATAATTTTCTAGCCACTCTGTGCCCTTGTTGATTTGTTACTGCATCTACTTTTTGGATACATTTCTTAGAGTGATAACACAACCCTCAATCACAAGCGATATGAATAAGAAATGGGAAAGCCTTTCCACTGCTATGCTTTTCCTCTTGAACCTTCAAGGAGAAAGATAGACTTCCCTTCATTTTCCTTAGAAGAATTTAACACATGATTAAACAATAAAGAATAGTTTAATTAAAAAAAAATATTTTAAATGTGGCTAAACTTAGAATGAATGACTTTTAGAAGTTAAAACAATTTTTTAGACCAGAGTCCTTCTCAAATGTAAAAATGGGTTTTAATCACAGAGAAGTTTGAAATGTAATATTTTTACAACAAAATTTAAGATGTCTAATTTCAGTTCTTATTTTACTTATAGATAAACGTGGCTTCTTGTGATGGAAAATGCCCATCTGCAACAATTTTCAATGTCAATATTGATAGCCATTTAAGATTCTGTAAATGTTGTCGAGAAATTGGAACACGTAATCTGACTGTACCACTGCGCTGCTCAGGAAATGGCACTGAAATTATGTACGTCCTTCAGGAGCCTGTAGACTGCTCATGCCAATGGAACTGAACATTACTGTGGATACAATTTAATCTGAATAAATAAAATGAGTTTCCTTTCACCAGACATGATTTTTTGACTGTGGATGGTTGTAGTAGTCTGCAGGGATAAAAAAAGTCCTCAGTTATGCTTTATAATGTAACTTTTCACAAATTTAGTAAAGATGTTGTTTGTTATTCTTCAAATTGTCTTTTAAAATATTGGCGTGTATAGAAAGAAAACGTAAATCCTTTTGGACAAGGTGTAATCATCATTTATTTCTACTCAGTGGCTTTCTGATGAGCTGTGTTTCCAGTCTTTTAAAATTTTGAATTGTGGCTACCTATCAAAGTTGAGAATTTCTCAATGGTTCATTTGCTTTGAGAACTCCAGTGGAAAACTATCACTGGTCCCATGTTTAAATGGGAAAGAAGCATATTAGCATTTTGAGAATGACTGAATTATTTATTTAAAAAATAGAAAGTTCAGCTGCAACACTTTTTTTCTTGTTTAAAAATCTATCTTTTGTCCATAAAGCTGTTATCAATGATTCTACTCTGCTTACACTGTAAGTCACTGAGAAACAACACAACTATGATCTGTAAGTACTTGTAGGAAATCTTCAGAGTACACAGCAGAATCATAATAATATCTTTAAACCTTAGACATATATTTAATTTTTTATGTATATTATAAATATGAAGCATGACTAGGCAAAGGCTCAAGATTTCAAGCTTTTGTGCCTTTATGAAAATATCTAAAAGCTGTTTCTGCTATGAAAAATTCTATTTTATATCCATTTTTCACTTTTCACAGAAAAGAAATTGGCTGTCTGCTAGTTATAGAGTAAGATTCCATGTATATATTTATTAGAAAATACCAGAACATTTTAACTATTCATAATGGGTTTCTTCCTTTGTTTTCCAGTCTGAAGATTTGTATTCAGTATATTTTTATAAAATGCATTTTTAAAAAAATACTGAGATTTGGATTGAATTTACGCTTCACAACTTTTGAGTCCAGGTAAAAAAAATCAAGTAAAATAAATGTTTTGAAGGGCTTAGGTGAGTTATTCATGCTCAATCAAGCTGTGAATGTCCATGATTCAGCGCCTTAGGCTGAATGTAATCTCCCCTTTATTAAATATACTCTATAACCTTCTCTTAAAAATTAAGGATACAATTTTAGGCTTGTTTTTATAAGATTACTTTGCTTTATGAACTCACTGAATGAAAATCGTTTAAAGTATAACAATATTTTCCTTATCATCAAAATTGATTCAGAATTAAAATTCTTGTCTAAAACTCTGAAAACCTTTTGACAAACAGTTTTAATTTCAAGCTGTTGTCATTTAGTTACAAAAAGGTTGGATTATCACATAGATTATTACAATGAAAAGTAAGTAGTATAAAATTTAAAAACCCCTTTAATATCCAAGGCTATTTTGCTACTTCGTGTGACAAATCTTTAAATGTTTGTTATATTCAGTTTGATGGCTTATAAAGAAAAATAGCTTATCTAGGGAAATCTGTCTTTACTAACAAGACTCATCTACTCATCCATATCCTTAAAAATAGTGACTTGGTTTAAAAACTAAGGAAGAATCCATTGTATTATCAGTAAAATATTTAGCCATTCTGAGGAAATAATGATAACCCAGTGATCAAAATAAAGTGACGCTTTGAGAAAACATATGCTTCATTTGCACATTTTTATAATTTGTATGGCAGATGTTTCAAGTTGTATTAGATACCAGGGCCTAGAACCAAAATGTTCTCTGATACTGCTGTCAGAATTTGTATACAGAAACTTTTCACGTGGGCAAGAAATGAAATTTAAATCATAATAATAGCCATAGTTTATTTACTCTTAGAGAAATTAAAAGAACAACTTTTAAAAGAAAAATATATCCTTAGAGCCTTTTGATTTTTTTAACACAGAGATAGGAATCCTATATTTGCATTAAGAGAGTTTGGCCCAAAACTTATTAATGAATTTAGCATTTGATAAAAAGGAAGCTCTCACAATACAGCATTTTTTCCATATAATCACTGAACACTTTATGTGTTTTGATTGAACAGCTGTGTGTTTTATAAGATGTGCTTTTCTAAGATTTAGAACTGTATTTGTAATTAAAAAGAATTTAATAAGCATCATTTTGCAGAGTGATAATAAATCAGTGTTGATGCAATAATTTACCTTTGCCACAAAAAAGAATGCTAATGCAAAATCTTGGGCAAACCTGGAAATTAAAAAAGCAGTTATGTTTAAAATTAACTTCATGACAACCTGTAATGATATCAAAATGGTGTTAAAATATTTTTTTTCCCACTCACCCAATTTTGTTTTTTAAAATGCAACTGTAGGGACTGAAGCCTATGGCAGAATCATACATCTTCAGTGTGGCTGGATAGGGTGGCTCTAAGGTCGCCTTTCATTTTACAATTAAACTTCAAACTTGGGCTGCTTTGGCCTGGTCAGAAAATGAACAAGATTGAAACCCATGAACCATTTCCTAGACAGCCAACCCACCACTGTTACCTCCATGAAGATGACATTGGCACAATGTGGTACATTTTATACAGTGTGAACTAACCCTTGCAGGCCTTGCAGCTGATAGAAGATTTGAATGAGCCTGCAGTGTGGCAGGACTGTTCTGCTCTAAATGTTTCCTCTGTCTGCAACTTAAATATGAATGTAGATGCAGTTTGTTGTTCCGTCTGGGTTTTCTCATCTCTCTTCAACTCTGCATTCCTGCCTCAGATTGTGTGTAACCCTATTTGCACAGATGTCATGTGAGCTGCTTTGGAAAACTGAGCCAACTTGAATCTTACTTAGTTAAATATGAAAATTAATGCCTGTTTATTATTGACTAAAAGACCTTTAATACACAGAGTTCCCTCTCTCCTACCCTCTCTGGAACAAAGACTCAAATAATTTCTACTCCTCTAAAAGAAAGGCTGAGAATGCATGCTTCTGAAACTCCCACACTGTCATTGAAAAATGTGAGGAGCTGGGGAGAAGTGTGCATGATGGAGTGCAGCCCTGCTGCAGTCCTGCCATGCCTTGGCATTTCTCCCATTTGTAGCTGCTTCCACAGGCCCTTCATTCCTACATTGCCACTGCTTTCTTCTACCTGTGCTTGCAGAAGAAGTTCTGCAATATAAAGGAATGCGCATAAAACTATGCAGATATTTTAGGGATTAACATAAATAAATCTCTATACTTAGAATCAGATTGTACCTGAATATACCTCTATAAAATAGTAAGTCTTTGCCTGTATTATTTATATTTGACTTTTATAATTCCATTGCCTTATTACTAGGCCATTTGTTAAGACCAATTCTTGCCTCAGTATGCAATTAGAATTTGAAACACAGCTTTTAAAATTAGGTTTAAACCACTTATTTTGTGCTTTTATTAATAAAATCTGAGAGTATAACTATACAAGCACCTAATATTCTCCTTTTTTGGCTAGCCAAATCTGTATACTAAAAATAAGAAGTAAAACTTAATACATTTATGTGATTTATTTCCACATTGTAGGCAAAGCTCTTCCCAAATACATGAACCTGTGCATTGGTGAAATTTTCAGGCAGGATCAGGCCCGAAGTTTCATGTTTGAACATAGTTACAAACCACATAATATACTGAAAGGTGGAGGCATTACAGGAACACACTCTGAGGTTAAAAATGGTCACTGAACTATTCACAGTGCTTAAGCAGTGACAAAGCACTGTTTCAGATGTAGCTTCTTTCCCCTTTCTTTCTCCTTTCTCTCTTTCTTCACCATTTTTCCTGACACTATTTTTTTTTCTCTTGACCTTCTGCACTGCTGATAAACTGAGTTTACAGAGCCTGGATAATTATTTTTTTAATTATTATTATGCATTGGTTCTATATAGTTCTTTCCATCTCTTTTTCTTCCATCTCTCCTTTTATAAGAATTCAAAGGAAAAATCGAATTTCCAATTATTACAGAGACTCAACTTTGTGTGAAAACTTACCGCCAAATAAACATGAAGGTACCACTTGGGAATAGTGTGGCAATGGAAAACATTAACTTGAACTGATTTTTTTGAGTTCTGTTCCATCAAATCCTTTTCCAGATGTTACCTTGAGGTGATGCTGTTGCTGTAATCATGTGTGGGTGTATGTCCTATGGAAAAATCCCACAGTGGTATGATCTAGTACAGGGGACAAAACATAAATGAGTTGTCACACATAGCCATAGCAATATAGCAATCGTGGAGGGACAACATGAAGGCCAGAACAGTAGCAGAAAATTTGTATAGTTACAGTGAGGTATTGGTTGGATTTCACACTGCTAACTATTTTGGGGAATATATTTTCAAAAAACATTCACATGAACATAAAAAGTCTTCTGAGGGATAGACTTCAGCACTTAACATTAATGCAAAAGAAAAAAGGCTTTTATTAAAAAAAAGGTTATGGTTGAGAGGGTCTGTACATAACATCATGTACTAAATTTTCTCTAACCTTTCTTTAAGTGCCAAGTGGAATATGCAAGCTACCTATAAAACAAGGAAACTTAGAAATTATCTATCCATTATCATTAACAGGTCACCACAGCTTAGGGTGGAAAGGCATATTCAGAGCTGAAGGACAATGAACTGTAGCAACTGCAAATACGATACATTGACCAGATCTTAGCAGCCGCATACTGATCATTTAAGAACTGTAATTTTTGCCTATTTGGAAAAATAATTCTACATATAGACCAAATAGGTGGTCATATACCTATTGAAATCAGTGGTAAAATATTCCCTAAGATCCAAGATTTGAGAATCTCACTGCAAGGAGGTAGTCTGAAGAAATGTCTTATACGTGTAGTTTCTACTTTCACAAGTAGTTTTTGTATGAGGGAACTTGAAATGCTTTCGTACTGATGTTGCATTCTGGAGAAAACCAATAGTGGATGATGTTAAAACTTAATCACTAGAAATGCTGAATAAAAGGGAGTGGTTGTGTTTTGGGGAGTGTTCTTTTGATTAAGGTGGAATGTGCACACACACTTAATTTGATGAAGTTAATGCAGAGAGGGCTTCTGCTGGTGTCTTGAAAATTGCTTAGTTAATAAAGCCTCCCTTTGTGCTCAATGGCTACAAATTTCTCTGGGAAAAAATGAGTATGTCTGCTTTGCAAAACAGCTGAATAGGCAGTAGCTAACTTTTGTCATTGATAGGTAAAACAGCACTCAGGTGATTACACTCGTGTGTGCTCTGTATGTGTGTGCTTCTCAGAGAGGGAGATTGACTCAGTGTTTTGAGATCAGGGGTTTCGCTGAGGCAGCTTTTGATTTACTATGTGTGTCCTTGAACCAGAGTAACATAAAAGCTCCAAAATGGTATTTTTCTGGTGAGAGTAAGCCTACCTTGTTTACTACAAGTTATAAATAAAGCTTTAGTTAAAAATTTTATTCCTTATTTCACAATTCACAGTTCAGTTGCATACAGTTTTAGTAAAAATCAGGAACAACCCACTGAGAAACAAGACACTATCTCAATGTAGAAATATGATGTGATGATAGCACCTAAGAAAATACACAGTAAATAATATGAGTGCTTCTCATTTTTATGGTACATATATGGTGGCACTGATTTTTATTTATTCTATTATTAGTAAATAATTTTTATCGGCTTATTAAGCTAATTTAATTGCAAAGAACACAGTGCAAAACTAATTTTCTATTTAAAAGGTTAATTTGGGGAGGGTTAAGACACTGGGAATTATATTGAGGTAGGTTTAACTCTGAAATTGCTGCTTCAGATCTGGCCAAAGGTGGAGATCACCCAATATATTTTTCTGAGCTGAGTTCTTGTTCAGGAGCCTGAATAGATCAGTAAAATAGATCAGTGGCCCTACCACTATACGTTGTTTCCTATTCTTTGTTTATAGATTTTTATACTGGTAACTTTTTGTGGGACCTCTGTAAGATCATAATACATATAAATGGACTCTGCAGCTGTGCTTAGTGCTTCCATGGAAAAGTGTTTTAAGGCTTATTTTAAACACTGACAAAGGGGCATCTGGCTAGAAATGTGTATTGTAGAAAACAATCAGAGTCTGGAGAAAAGTAAGTAAGGGGTTACACTGATTTTAATGAAGTTTGATCTGGTAATCACATAGAAACTGAAAAAACCCTGACATTTTTTACACTGAGTTTTTTTAAATTACTACAAACAACAGTCACATCCACAGTTCAGTGAAGTTAAAGGAAGGCCATCTGATCTCAGAAAACTTTATATGAGGCTTGGGAAAAGGCAGGGCCAGAGCAAACACGCAAATCTCGGGCCCATCATTGGCTGATGCTGTATCCATGTGAAGTATAAATATGTGTATTCGTTTTTCCTTTGTATCTTAGATATTCTAACATGATTTTGCTTTGAAGCTGTGGTGATACAAGCACTTCAGAAACACGGGGACTATAACATTTCTTTCTCTATGGATCAAGCAATTCTTCTTCTGCTTTTATTAAAATATTTATTTAAGGTAAGAAAAATACTCTGTGTTTTGACGGTGGATAGCTATTCTAATTGAATGTTGAAAATAAATGGTTTGTGATTTGGACTGTTTTTTTTTCCTGTTGTTTTAGCAGTCACAGGGGGCTCTCATTAGTGCTACTGAACATTCTCAGTCTTCCTTCTAAGTTGTTGGAAGCTCTTTTGAGATCCTTAGTCTCTTTTATTTCCTGCTGCTTTGGATTTAATGTTGTTCCCCAGAAGAAGTAACATCTTTAAGTAACCTTTTAAACAGGTGTGGGGTGAAGTAAAAACTTTGGTGAGTACAATATCATACCTCTGATAGTGGTAAAAAGCAGATCTTTGGGGAGGACTGTAAGAATAGCATATGAGAATTATCTATACTGTTTTAGTTTCCCACCATTTGCAGCTTAAGGACTTCTTGAAATGGATGTATTTGCAGTGCATTTTGTTAGCTTCATTGTAGTTCACTTCTATGAACTTCTATGAACATGAATGGGCCTTCTCTGACACCCCTTGAAATTTTTATTACTTGTTTTAGCTTTGTCAGATAAATTATTTATTTTGTGAAGAACTACCTTTTTTTGGTTGTTGTTTACTTTGAATCTGGAGCATACTAGCTATGCTTCATCCTTTTCAGTGCTTGTACTTGAAGAGCAAATGAAAATCAATCTCTGCTCAATTCTGGCTACTTAAGACCTCTGCTGTATTTTCCCTCAAGTGCCTCTTTTTCAGACTGAGAAGCCTACTTGAATCTTGTGTTGAGAAGCAGTCGATAGCAGAAGTCAATAAGTGTTTGGGTTTTTTTAGGTCTCCCGACTGATGTGTAGCTAACCTGAAAATAGATTTGAACCTTAGGTATTTGTGCTCAATTTAATAATATTTTTTTTCTTTTTTTAAATTACTGCAGTCTTTGGACAAGGGCCTAAAAATTACTGACAAGGTGCTGAAAAAAAAGGGACATTCTAAATCCCTCTCATTGGATATAAGTATGGAGCAATGTCTGTGTACACTTGAAAATGTGGTTCTTGTCTTTTAGCTCTAAGGAGCTTGTATTTATGTACAGTAAAATGGCATACATTATTGCTGATGGTGGAAAATTATTTTAAATGGTTAATTCAATTATTGCCAAATATATATTTTTTATCTTTCAAAACAGATTTTCTTACTGTTTGGATTCTCTGCAGTAGATTGTTTACAGGGAACGCAAGTCAGCTATACACCCCTTAATTAAAAGCCTACAACTTTTCGAGAAAAAATGTTCCTCAAAAGACTTGTGTGTATGCCATCAATACTAGTCTAGTGTGTCGGTTCATCCCAGTGGTTTTATGTAACCTCTTCTAAAGAATTTATAGAAGTTAAAGGCTTTATAACCTTTATAAAGTATATACTTCAAAAAGTATAATCCAAACTCTGAACGCTAGATCTTGATAGATTTATAGTTACGTTAGTTTGTCATTAGTTAAAGGAAGTTATGGTAAGCTAAACTGAATTCCAGGGTATGTTTATTAAAAAAAAAGAAAAAAGCTGAATGTTTTTGCTTTTTATATATATGGGTTTTTTGTTTACTTGTTTTGTTTGGGGGGGGGTTGTACAGGGAAGATTACTTTATAGGACAACACAAAGTAATACAATAATAAAACTCCTAACTTTTATTTTAGTGTCCTAGGGGTTCCTATTTGATTTTTATTTCTGTTTAGTTTTTTTGAACAGGATTTTGAGTTCATTGCTAAATGATGGCATTTGTCATCTCAATTCATAAAGAAAATAAAAATGGAACTTAAAAGGCAGAACTGCATCTTTTATAAATGCTATGTGATAGGGATTGGCATTGCATGCACCAATTTATCTGAATTTGAGAGGTGTCATTCAGATTATATTAGGTAGAAGAAGTCCATAAATTTCTGATTCCAAATGAAATTCAAATAGAGAAGGAACCTGTTTCTCTGATATGTTAATCCAACTCTTTCAAAGGCAGGTAAAGTTATCAAAAAGGTAGTATCAAAAATACAGAAGAGTTTTGTCTAGAATGAGTTGACCTCTGTAAGAATTTGAAACAGAATCATAAAATCACTTAGGCTGGAAAAGGTCTCTGAGATCATCAAGACCCAACACCACCATGTCAACTAGACCATGGAACTAAGTGCCACATCCAGTCTTAAGACTGTGCCCCCTTGTCCTACTGCTGGTTGCCTGGGAGAAGAACCTGACCCCCACCTGGCTACAACCTTGTTTCAGGTAGTTGTAGAGAGTGATGAGGTCTCCCCTGAGCCTCCTCTTCTCCAGCCTGAACAACCCCACCTCCCTCAGCCTCTCCTCATAGGACTCCAGTCCCTTCACTACCTTGTTGCCCTTTTTAGGACTCACTCCAACACCTCAACATCCTTCCTAAACTGAGGGGCCCAGAACTGGACACAGTACTCCAAGTGTGGCCTCACCAGTGCTGAGTACAGGGGCAGAATCACTTCCCTGGTCCTGCTGGCCACACTGTTCCTGATACGGGCCAGGATGCCATTGGCCTTCTTGGCCACCTGGGCACACTGCTGGCTCCTGTTCAACCTGCTGTCAGTCAGAACCCCCAAGTCCCTTTCTACCTGGCTGCTCTTCAACCACTCTGTCCCCAGCCTGGAGCGCTGCAGGGGGTTGTTGTGGCCAAAACAAAATGAAGTTTGTACTGCCATGGCTAAATTGGATTGGTAGGGAGGTGCGTGTTTAATAAATTATTTCTTTACATCTTGAACATTGTTGTTTCTTATTCTGAGGCATTTGAAAATTGTGAAAGTGATGCCACTAAAGTCTTTAATTCGTAATGGAAGAATAGGACTGAGACCTCCAGACTGTCTGTTGTGATTACAGCATGTACATTGCAAGTGAAATCTCTGACCTTGTTTCTAAAATGATGACAGATTTCTGTCATATTTGGGTCAACTGACATGGTTTGGCCACCTCTAGAGAGAGAAAGAAAACTAGAACCTGTACCTGCAGAACTTGTAAAAAATTATGAAACCTCTGTATGTCACACAGTAGGGCTGGTGAATACTGGTCCATATAAAAACTGTTGCTAGCTGAAAAGCTATAGTTAAAACCAGTTAAAATTGACAGAATTTAATTATTTAGTTTAGAGGTACATTTTCTGCATTTTCTGCTAAGTTGCATTCCTGTATGTTTCTGTTACAGGGTTCAGAGTGTCTCGACTGTGACCAAGGGAAAATGCCTGCTAGAGCAGTTTCGATAGAGTGGACTGAATTGCCCAAAGGGGAGGATCCAGACTACTATATTGTGACATGCCAGCAAACAGATGCTTTCAGTCAAAAAGTAAATTTCATCGGTCTAAGCACTGAGTAGTTCCATATGTTTTTAAGCTGTAAATAACAGTAACTAGTAGCATTGTGTTTGCTTTTTTTTTTCTAATTCAAAATAGCAAATCAAGAGAAAGTTTTAAAAAATTTTACGGAATTTTGTAATTCATGTTGTTTATGTGCACTCTTACAGAGTCCTCCTTAAGCCAGTGGAACTTAAAAGACCTTCAAGTATTCTGTTGAATAAGGATAGATAGGCATATGTTCAAAATTAAGGATATGCAAGATCTTCAAGGAGAAAAACCCTTTGAATGAGGAGTCTAACTTCTCCAGGAGAGGCACAGACACTACTCCTACCTCTCTGTGGGAGGGTGTTGTTCTTATTTTGAGTACAGGATGTTCTGGAACATAAAGAAAATGAGAGGATTTCAATATGAAGGTGTTTGTTAATAGTGTGATTTCTAAAAGGTTTTGTTTTAAATATTGGGTATTTTGCAGTTTAAATGAAGCCTTAAGTTTGATATGCTGCAATATCAGCTGCCCTTTTAAAAACTTTATAGATAATTTATGAATTGCATTTTTATTAATTTCACTATATTCAGAAATTCTTTTAACTTGCAGATTGTAAGAAACATTTCTAAAGTTGAACAGGAACCTGTTAGTACTACAGTTCTGCTTGAGGAAAATAAGAAGTATGATATAACAATAGAATCTCTAAAGAATGGCCAAATCTTAAGTGTAAAATCATTTAAGACACGTAAGTAGAGTAGTACAAAAATATATTGGTATCTTTATAGTTAATCTAACATTGAAGATTAGAGAAGCAGGGGTTTAAATCTAGAGGTTAGTCATGTATTTAGAAACTTTGAATTGATATATATTTTCAACCATGAGGGGTAGTAGGAATAATTTCATATAACATATTTGTTCAGTGTAACAATTCTGAAATATGGGACTGATGTAAAAGTTAATGAGACTTTTAAATACCATAGCTTTTGCTATGCTACTGTAATTCTAGGAGAAAAGATTTATAAAAGAAGATCATGGAGAAAGTTACTTAAAGCCTGGCAATTTCATATCATCATAGGGTTGTGATTTTTTTTCTTTTATAACTTAAAAAAATATTTTTGTTTTTGCTTCATGATATTCCCACTTTAAAAAGGGTTAATTAGCAGCTTGAAGGCCTTAGCATTGTGACTCACTGGAACAGACTTTTAGTATAAGAATTTGTGAGTCTGGTCACTGAGCTTATAAAAATATCCTCTACAGCTGTAAATCTGTTTAGGACCATAAGTCCCACCAATTATTAAAATGAAAGGGCTTTCTAATCTTAATTTCATTAATTAAAATAGTTTATAGCATTACCTTTGTACACATTAGCTTTGGAATACAGACTAGGATATGAATGCAAACAACATAATTGGGAAAAGTACACAGTTGAAAACATTGCAGCAGCTGTTGAATGCTGAAAGTACATTCAGCAAGCTACAGAAAATGGTTCATGGTTATACTACTAATGTGTTACTGCACTGGACATCTATTACTGAACTGCTATTCTATAAAAGTATGTACTTTTACAGCTAAACACTCCTTAAACCGTGCACTTTTATTTCTTTTTGCTTCAGCCATAAGTTTACATACCGTGACAATGATTAAACCATGACTTTTTTAATGACATTACCTTTCTTTCCTTGCTGTGTGTATCGCTTATCACTTCTCAAAAGAAAAACATAATAATGTTAATGGAACTCTGAGTTAATTATTCCTTTGTGGTAAAGACAGTGTCTATTTTTCTTGTTATACTAGGTGGAATTTCAGAAAATTGCATAAAAACATTTGTAACAGCTACTACAGTGTCTTTTAACTGGAGTATGGTGACCAAAGAATTTTCAGTTTCTGTTTTACTGAATGGTACTTCTGAGATTATAAAAAGACCCAGTGGATTCTTTGTATGGAGAAATTTGACACCTGCCACCTTATATACATTCAAGTTTATATTTGAACAATTACATCTTGAATTTGTAAATGTGTCTCAGTCACTGGATGTTCAAGCCGAAACAGGTATATATTAGAGTTTCTTGTAGTCACAATGAATGCAGGTTAGTACTGCACATTTTCTAGATAAGTTAAGAGTAAACTGTAAAATCCTGTATTCCATTTTACAGTTTATAGTAGATATGGATTGTTTTAGTTCTGGAAAGTGGAAAGAAATTGAATGTTACTGACATAGAAAAGTTATTTCTACTTACTATTTCTTAGTATTTTTAGTAGGAATAATTCGGATTTTTATGTGCAAATATTTTAAGCTAGCTGTATTTTTGCAGTCTAAAATAGAGTCAAGGCAATGTTGAAGTTGAGTTGTAATTATTTGAGTGTATGTATTGAATTTGCTACATAATTTCAAGGAAAAAGCAATGAAAATCCTGAATTTGATAAGCATTTGGAACACTTTTTACAGCATTCAAAATACTGCTGAATGGCTAGCCTAGCTGTGCAGTTTTGTTAGAAGTGCTGTAAAAGAGGCAGGATTCTGAGGATGTTACAGCTTAGTTGTGTAATTTTAATGTAATTTTAAACATGCTACTCTGATAATGCAACTTAAAATCTTTAAAATTAGAAAAAAAAAGAATAATATACACTCGAAGTCAAGGGAATAATTATTTTCCTAAACTCAGGAAGCTATTAAAAGCAGGTTATTTGTTAACTTCATTTTTAATGTTTAAAAAAATGAACCATCGGAAACTAAGTTTAAAGAATGATATTTTTTCTTGAGTAGGATTGAAAATTAGTGAATATCTTTCTTTCTTTTTTTCCCCCCTTCACTGGCTTGTAGTTGATATTCTTCTAATTCAGTCAATCAGATTTTTAAGACATTCAAGATTTTGAAGGACTGTTGACTCATAATTACTGAATATTTGGGGGGTTGAAATCATGAATTAATTAAATGCTATTGTCATCAAAATGTGTAATTATAAGAAATCTTGCACTGTACCACTGACATGAATGATACAGCATCTCTTTAAAATCCTGTCCTTCACCTATAGGCACCTGTTCCCAAGGGTGGGTGGCATTCCAAAGCAGCTGCTATCGAATGGGTAAGGAGAGCAAACCATGGAAATCAGCACAACAAACCTGTCAAACGTCTTCCCAAGGGGCACATCTTCTTGACATAGGGAGTGAAGAAGAATATGGTTTTATGTTGTCATATCTCCAGAAAATTAGTCGAATAATCATGATATGGACAGGCCTTAATGACTTAAAGGTCAGTCTATTTTATCTTCTTTGCTATTACACATATGGAAGCAAAAACATTTTGATATGTAGAGCCCGATTGCTTGGAATAAAAGTTGCTAAACAGTACATTGGTTATTTGTTTATATAGTTATTAGTAATGAGAAGAGGAATCATTATTTCTTCCTGTTTAGAAATACTGAAAATAGCTGTGGAAAAAACCATGTAGTTTATACATAACCTGTTTAACTTTCCTCTATTTTGTGTATGTGTGTGTGTGTATTTCCCTGGGATATTGTTTTGTCTGTAGGTGGTGCTGTATTACCAGATTTTAAATCTTAATCTACACAAACGTTGCTTACTATGGTTACCAAAGTCCGGTATTGGTTTACTCGGTTTTGATGCAGGTCTGAAATGTTGAGTGTTGAGCTTAGGGATGTCAATCCAGTATAGATGCTGGATAGGCCAGTGGAGAAGGAATTGGAGCAAGGTATTTCTTGTAAAAGGTTTCCTGTTCCTCATATTTGAGATATGAAGGTTCTTAATGTTGCATCTGCTGTTACAATATGATTCACCGTGGTGTGGTGTCTGATGGTGGTCTGATTTGGGGACGACTACAGACATAAATAAAAATATTGGGAAAGTGTTTAGAAGGATGGAGGCATTTGCCAGAACAGTGGGATCCAGTCTTCTGTAATTTGGTTTAGTGAAAACTTCTTTTAAGTACCAGGAGGTTGGGAGAAAGCCACTGTTTTTCGGTTTAAAAAATCTGCACTTTGAAATTTAATTTTAATATTGTTTTGATCAAATTATTTTAAAAGAAATGCTGTGAAAACAGTAAAACCAAAGCAAACCTTATGTGTAAGAGCAAGAGTGGTGTCATACCACCTCAAAGACAGAAAAAATATTTTTTACTGGCTGGGGCTACACAAACATGTCAGAGTGGGATAACATACAGACTGAAGAAACACAAATCTGTCTAGGTTTGTGGTTAGTGAAGCGCTAACCATCCTGGTTAGTAAAGCACTATTAATATATGCATTTTACACGTAATATTATTTTGTATATGACACTGTAGAGTCGCTTCTCAAATGGCTGTAATTTTTACACCATGGTGATATTCATCATAACCAACTTGGTATTTTAGAAATATAGGTATTTGTAAGTGGCTGCCAGAAATAGATGTCCCATGGAAGCATAATATTCTGGTGTGTTGGAAAGAGTACTAGAAATTTGGGGTGTTTTAACTCTGATTACACAGAAAAGAGTTAATTACCAATTTGGAATTTGACTGTTAGTCAACTGTTTAATCATTACATGCATTTTTATGTTTGTAGGAGTCAGACAGTTAAATGAACTAGATGAGTACCATGTCTTAAGAATAGCAAGGGATTATAATAAAATGCTTGTTTTTCGAGCACTTCTTTCCTAATTATTTGTACTTAATTAGTGTGTTCAAGTACTGTTTCATTCTGAAGTGTCATTGTTGTCATTTGTTCTCATTTTATGAGAACTCTAAATTGTACTTGCATCAAATTGTACTTACCTCAGGAGCTCAAAGATCATGGGACATACACCAGGAGCTGCAGGATTTGTTTAAAATCTGAATAAAAAATACAGATTAAATTATTTTTCTTTCTCATTCATATTTGAAGCACTAGGGAGTTAAATTTCTGTTTTCAAGTGTTTTTCTCTCTGAGTACCCATGGGACTTGTGCCCCCTGGTGGTCTAGTGGTTAGGATGCAGCGCTCTCACTGCCGTGGCCCGGGTTCGATTCCTGGTCAGGGAACCCCTCCGGGCAGATGGAGCTCGTCAGCCCTGTAAGGCCATCCATCTAAGAGAAGGTCACTCTAAACAAACCTACGTCCTGAGGACCTCGCTGCCACCGTCCAAGCTCGTTTGGCCCCGGCAGATGAACCTCAGTATTAAAGGGTGGGCTCAGTTCAGCGCACACTGTGTCTCACCTAAAAAATCCACTGCGCAGGCTCGAAGGGTAATGACCTTTCCCAAATCTTCGTTCGCGAAGACTGGCCATGATGACCCATGGGACTTGAAATACTTAATGAGAAGAAGTTGAGACTATAACCTACTCAGAAGATTTCAGCAGCCTTCAGTGCCAAGCACTGTGACACTGATAAAAATTAGCGATGTTGTGAGCAACATTAGTTCTGTAGCATTTGTATTCTCACAGTGTCTTCTTCTTTAACCCTACTTTGATCTGTATCTGAATTAAAATCATTCCTGATGAGGCTGAACATTCTTGTGAAAAGTTACAGAGACTCTGGAGAGGTAGGTCTGTGCCCTGGATAAGAATGAATGGAATGCTTTGGTGGTACCATCATGTCCCTCCTGACATGTGCAGTTCTTCAGAGCTAGGAAGTGGTAAAGGTAGCCAAAGATTGTTCACTGAGGTTTCTCTTACAAACCTTGCTGCAGAGGTTTGCATCATAGTAGTATCTTGTGATTTCCTGTGCTTGTTGTTAACTCCGGTGACCAAGAAGATCAGTATAAACAAATTTTGATCTATATAGAGTTTCTGAAATGGCAGAGTATACTCACAAGTCCTCCTGAAAGTCAAGTTGAATTATTTCATACCACTGAAAATCTTCTTTACTTTCCTGGGGAAATGAATGATATCACAATATTTCATTTGATTTTTTTTTTCAATACAACAAATTAATTAAAAAAATAGTCACAGTCTCAACAAACATGAGTTTTTATTGTTTTCCCAGAGCAATGGAAAAAATCCTTTTTTCTCCTCCTCCTCCCCACTTTTGAACATCTTTAATAAAAGAGTAAACAACAGAAGACTTAAAATGATGGTGGTACCTCAACTTTTCTCCATTACAGTACTTAAAGCATTTACTTAGGCTGTAGGACCATGGACTTGCTATGCCTGAAAGCACTTTATGCAAGTTTACTACCTGAGAGTGCCTCAATGCCATGCAGAAATGTGCTGGGTTTTCTATTAAGCCCTTGTAGATGTTAGTATATGTTAGTGCAGTGCAGACTGAAACCTGTCTCCCACTAGAGGGATCTGTGTTGCAATGCTGTAAGCATATTCTACAGGCATCTTTCCTCCAAAATATCATGTTGCCCCAGTCTAGTACCTGTAGAGCTCTGCTAGAAAAACTGAAAGTACCTCAAAGGTAAGAAACTTGGAGGGAGGTGTGAGTGTGTCCTAAATGCTGAGCGATCAGTAAACAGGAGAAAGGAGAAAGATAACATTTTCTCATCCGGTTGTGAATCTAGCCATGTTTTTTTTTCAGCTAAATATTTTTGCTTTCAGACGGAATTTATGATTATTTTACACTGTTTTGTTTTTTTTTTTAAAGTGAATGACATTTTTAGACAATTATCCATACAAGATTATTAAATTATTTGATTAATAGTGATTTTTAAAGGCTTGTTTGTAATGATGAAACATACTCATGTGGCTTATATTATGTTATGTTATTAGCTTGTAATCTTTTGTAATAGAAGAGATAGAATTTTACACCGAAACATTTACTTTATTCCTATATAATTAATTTGTATAAATGAAGTACGTAAGTTTTGTATATTTGGGAAATATGCTTGCAATGAGGAAAGCCTTAATAATTCATCATTATAATCTAAAAATACATGTTTTTCTAAATTTTTTTTTGAATCCAGGAAGAAGGTCAGCTCTTGTGGACAGATGGATCTCCCTATCTTCTAAAAGCTGGTATCTCATCTTTGTCAATGATACCAGAAAACCAAACTGACTGCTATGCCCTTCAGAGAGATCCTACTGGTCCAGATTATTTCTTCACAGGATTTTTCTGCTATGTACAGCTGCCATATATTTGTGAATATGAATGTAACTATATTTTTTCAATCTTTTGCATTTATTTTTAAAAACCTTCCCCTGATTGCATTTATATTTGAAGATACAAATATATATAAAAAAAAGGCTTTAATGAATTTTTTTTCACTTTTACTTTTCTTTTTCAGTACCTTTGGTACCAGAGAACATCACGTTTAGTGTGCATGATGTCAAGACAACTGAAGCTGTATTTATGTGGAGTGATATGGGCATGTGGCTTAAGTCAGGCTTTGCACTTATAATCAAGTACTATTTTGATCAGTGGAAACCATACATTCTGAACTTGCCTGTTAATACAACTCAAACAGAAATTGTGCACTTGTCTCCTGGCCTTCACTATAGTTTTTTATTAGCAGCAAGGAACTCAGAAGGAGCACAGTCTATCTTAAGTCCAATTCTGAAGGTAGAAACAAGTAAGTAACAAAAATAAGTAGCAGTAATAACAAAACCATACAAATTTTGTTTCTGTGAAGTATATTTTAAAATCTCATTATTACAATAATTTTACTCACAGAGTTTCTACTGATGTCCAAAGGTAAAGCTGGATGTCAGAGTAGCAGTAAAGTATTTTTTGGCTATGCTGATGAAATTCAGAAACATATTTTCAAATCGGAAGTAAAAGATTATGTCAGAACAAGCAGAGGTATCCCTGTTTATCTGCAGTTAAGATTAAGATGATCTCTATGGTTTAAAAATCCATTGTATTTTGACCTGCTGTGTGATGCAATATGTCCTAAGTAAAATTCATTCACAATTGACTTGTATTCTGGTAAAGTCTAGCTGAATGAAGCCAAATGAAACCTACCAGCTGGTAGACATGAAAAATGCCTTTTCACCTAAAGGTGATCAAGTGGAGATGTCCTGTTTTGGTGATGCTGGGGAAGTTTTCTCATTTTCAGAAGTTAAAGAAAACGTACTGCCCTAATGTTTTTACCAATCCTGGCAAGGCAGTTCAAATGTAGATAGAGGTCTATTTTCTTAGAGTTAGAATAAAATACAGGTTAATCCTTAGGTGAAAGAAGCTATTCTTTTTCTCCATCATATGTGTTTTGTACAGTTCACTTCCTCCTCTGGGCTTTGGTGCACTTGGAAGTTCTGTCATATCCTGTGCCTACCAAACTCTCTTCTCTATAATCTGATTGTTTGGTTTCTGTTTAAAAGACCTTGTAATGCAAGTTGCCTCTATAATGAAGAAAATATATTCCTGCTTTCTCCTATGCAAAGCAACTGTAAGAGGTGGGCTTGTGTGAACTTAGTGAAGTTCAACAAGGCCAAGGGCAAGGTTCTGCAGCTGGGTTGGGGACAATCCCAAGCACAAATACAGGCTGGGCAGAGAATGGGTCAAGACTAGCCCTAGGCAGAAAGACTGGGGGGTCTTTGTGGATGAAAAGCTCAATATGACTTTGCAATGTGCACTTGCAGCCCTGAAAGCCAACTGCATCCTGGACTGCATCAAAAAAAGAGTGACCAGCATATCAAAAGAGGTGACTCTGCCCCTCAACTCTGCTCTTGTGAGAGACCCCACCTGGAGTATTGTGTCCAGACCTGGGGCTCCCAGCACAGGAAAGATACTGACCTGTTGGAATGAGTCCAGAGGAGAGCCACTATGTTAATCAGAGGGCTGGAGCACCCCTCCTGTGGAGACAGGCCTTAACTGAGAGAGTTGGGGCTGTCAGCCTGGGGAAGAGAAAGCTCCAGGGAGACCTTTTAGTACCTTCCAGTGCCTAAAGGGAGCCTACAAGAGAGCTGGAAAGGGACTTTTCGTGAGGGCATGTAGTGATAGGACAAGGGGGAATGGCCTTATGTTGAAGGAGAGTGGGTTTAGATTAGGTAATAGGAAGAAACAGTGGTGAGGCACTGGAACTGTTTGTCCAGAGAGGTTGATTCTCCATCATTGGAAGTGTTCAAGACCAGGCTAGTCTTGACGGAACTTTGAGTAATTCGGTCTAGTGGAAGGTGATCCTACCCATGTAAGGGGGGTAAGAACTAGATGATCTTTAAAGTCCCTCCCAACCCAAACCACTCTACGATTCTGTGATTCCATGAACTTGGGTAATGCATACCATTTGTCTTAGATGGTATTTCTGAACGGACTGAAATATAAGAGATGACCTAAATTCAGAGACTGAGTTCTACATGAAGATCTAGGTGATTCAGAAAAAACCTCAATTAGAGAGTAGGAGTATTCTCTATGTGTCAATATTCACTGTCACTAATACGCTGTCAAGGTTGCCTTGTTAGATTTGCTCTAATACTCTTGAGCCTGTGTGTAAGCATGTATTGTGAGGTTTTCAGGCTCTATTTAAAAGAAACAAAGAAACAAACAAGCAAAAAGACCCCCAAAATATCCCACAGTTATTGGTGAAAGGCATGAGTCACTATTGTCTTGTTTCTATTCCTAATCTTATTCAATAGGGCCCTTGCACTCCCAGAAGTTAGAGGCTACATATGTTTCATCTGCAGAAATACATTTAAAATGGAATCCTCCACAGCATTCATCCAGTGCTTCTTTTCATTACTACCTTGTCAACGTGTTGGATACTGAAACCAACATCTGGGAACGGTTACCAGTTGAAAAAAGCAAGACTTCAATAGTCATACGAAATACAAAACCTTATCATCATTATCAGGTATATTTACAGAACGTAGCAGAGAAAGGAACTCTCAGCTGCCATGAGAAGCCTATATTAGTCACAACAGGTGATGTATCCATTTTTTTAAGATGTTTTATTTTGCTAGACAGAGTTTCAATTGAAAATACAAGGCATAAAGGTATTTTTAAGGCCTTGTACAGATTGTGGTTGTTGGGATATTCTTCAGAACCTTCCAGAATTGTGAATATACCAATACCCTTATTTATTTATTCATTTACCTACTTACAGCATATTAGTATGAGATAAAGAAGTGACATTCTGCTTGAGAAATACTGATTTATAGTTTATGTCTTTAATTTGAGCAAAGTAGAAACATTAGAGTGATTTCTTAATTTTTTTTTAGGTGAAAACAGATTAATTTATTCTTCTAATAATAGATACAGTGACTCAGATTGTGTCATCTTTTTACTCTGTATATATCCAGTGGAATGGAATATGCTTGCAAAATAAGTCTCTATTTGTTATGAGAAAACAGAAAACAGAATCTGCCTGTAAATCATTTTAAGAAATAAGTAAATGAATCAGTAGTTCTAAAATCATGACATTTTAGAAGAAAAAAATAAACCAGAGACATTGGGAAGTGATTGTAAATTGATTGTAAGTTTGATATATGGTTTTATACTGACATCTTTTTCTTTAATCAAGCTGTCAGTCCACCGACAGCTGTTTATATTCACCCAGAGGATGTACAAGAAGAGAGTGTGATCCTTCGCTGGAAGCTGCCACAAGAGTGTCAGGAATCCTATGTTCAAGTAAAACCTAATGCAGACATGGGTGAAACTAAAAAGTTTATATTAAACAATACAGAAGAATTTAAGATTGATCTCCTAATTCCTGGAACGACTTATGAAATAGCAGTGGCAAGTGTGAATAATGGAGCTATGAGTGAACTGAAGACCATTCAATGCACTTTAAGTAAGATATTGTTTATGGTGGAAACTACAGACTATAGCCCACATTGGTCTAACTATTGTTGCTACGTCTAACAGATTTTGTAGATCAAATCAATTTGCTAAATACCCAAGGATCAAAACTAAAATATAAAATGTTCAGATCCAATCCTAGTTGTTAACAGAAAAGTTAACAATTTTCGCAAGGAGGGTACAGCCTTGGAAAATGCATTGGTAATAGTGACAACTGCAATGAGGACCATAGCTGGAAATCCTGTTACAAATGGCAAAAGAAACTGGGTGAATCATTGATTTGCATTGAAATAGGAAAATACTGGAATGGTTGAAACAGCCTATTTATTTTTGGAGATACATTAGTTGTTCTGTGAACTGTGAGAAAGAAATTGCCCTACCATTAGTGAGAGGGCAGTAGGAAAGGAGTAGAAAGAGTTAGAAGTAGTAGTAGGTGAAAAGTAAAAGCTTTACATTGTTTATCAAAGGGTCTTCCCCATCCATAGGGAAAGGTTTATTGAAGGGTCTTAGTTTACCAAAATGTTGAAATGCTTTTGGTGCAGTTTAAATTTTTTGCATATGTGAAAGGAATGGGCAAGATTCACTTGGTATTCAAGTGGTATTTAAAGGCTACAGCTGTCAGATTATAGATACATGAAATGCTGCATTGTAATTTTTTTTTTCTAAACGATTACAGTATTTTGGAGGGTAGCAGTCTTAATCTTTTTTCAGAATTTTTTTTATAGGATTAGATTTAATACCTCATTCATGACACAGATGACAAAATTCTAGATGAGATATTTCACAGCTGTCAGAGTCAACTGTAAGGGAAGAAAACTAGACACGTCAATGTTATATCCATCAAACCTATCTCATTCTCCATGGTCATCTCCCTGTCCATATTCACATTTCTGTATATTTTTCCAGCTATCCTCCTTACCTTCTTAGTGCAGTTCTGGTTGAGAAGACAATTCCAGTAATAAAAACTTAAAAGATCAGGTTGTTCTTTGTTTCTGAGAAGTGATGTTTTACTGTGATAGCTATTAGTTTTTGCACTGGGCAAGCATCTTTCTCAGCAACTCAGGGTAGTTGCTTCAGATTCATTATGTGGTTTTTATTTAATTTATTTTCAACTGATTTAACATGTGGCAATTTCTTTTTTCTTTTTTTTCTTTTAGAGCCCAAGCCTGTTCAAATTGTAGTTCCTTATGGGCTTTATAGCAATGCTGTGGTACTATTTGTTCGCATGCCTGATATTGGAGTATTTGATGGCATTTATGTTACAAGTAAAGAAGGACCTAATGCAACATTCACTTTAAAAAGTGATGGTAAAATAACAATTGAAAACCTTACTGCAGGAACAGAATATGATTTCTGTGTTTCCACAAAAAGTGGAAAAATGTTGAGCTCCTGTCACCATATATATGGTGTAAAAACATGTAAGTATTTTAAGTTCTTATAAAATTGCACCATATAAAATCCTGATTTTTGAACCTTTTTAACTTTATTTTTACTTCAGTGCGATAGAAAAGACATCCTATTCACAAATCATCTTGATATATCTGTAAGCAATTTGTAGTTGTTCTAACATTAGCTGATTTTTAAACAAGACTATAACAATACCTTATAATTTCTAAAGTTGCTAAATTGTGGTTTTTATATTGTCTATAAAATGTCTAGCAAGTATTTCAGGATTTGGGGCTGTATTAAATTGTTGTCCTTATAGGAAGCAAAACATATTTTGACAGCTTACTTTAAACAAGCAGATGAGTATCAATGGAGTTACTTCTGTGTCTTGAAATTATGAAGCTCATTCCTCCTGATGCATCTTTAAGCAAGTAATAAAAACCCTGAGATTCTCCAAGATAATAAATTCAATAACAAAGACATTAAAAAAAATTCTAGCAAAGGTTTTAAAAACAAAATTTTAGTAGGAACTTCAAAACTGTTTAAAAATACCTGCTGAAATTCTGGTTTGACTTTCCTATTTTTTATTATCTTTATACTTCCATAAGATTTTCTTTTCCCATTTTATAATTTTCCTTTGAAATTCTTTTCTGCTCTGTTTCTTTCAGAGTAGAAATTTTATACAAGGAAAAATTAAGATAGGATAGGAAGAATTAAGGAAGAAAGAAGAGGAGAATGATGGCAAGACAGAAAAATCTTTCCTAGATTGTGTAAGACTAGAAAGCTGATTTTTTAAGAAAAATCAGCTTTCAAGGATTTTCACAATAAAAACTTTGTGTTTGATCAATCCTGTGACAGGATTTTATAAATTTAGTGGCAAACTGCCTTAGAAAACCCAATTTTTGTCTATCTCTTCTGAGGCCCCAAAAACTTGGAAGAAAAAAAAAGTCCTGATCCCTCACATGTACACAGTTTTTCTTGAAAAAAGTATACATTTTGGTATATTCCAGACAAAAACAGTTGTGATAGGAAGGAAATAGATGTAAAGAAGAGTGGATACTTCTCCTTAAAGTGATCTGAATTGTACCTGACAAGACTATACTAATTAGGGATAAAGTATATTTGTCTAACCTGATATACCCAGTTTTGCTGAGCTGTTTGACAAAATTTAAGTACGTTATGGCCGTTATGGGGGTGGTATTGGAGGGATCAACTTAATTCTGGAGCACTTTCCCACCTTGGAGTGCCAGCTCTGTCCTTGGAGATGTGCGTGTTCAGCCTCATGTAATTTTAAGATAAAGAAGCAAGTAATTTTACTATATCTTTTTTCTTTCCCCATTTTTCCTTTCTCAATTTTGGAATTGCTGTGTGTCTGCATGCCTGAGATCAGATTTTGCCCTCTAATTGTTTGAATCTATTACTGGTTATCTTCGCTTTTATGTCTACACAGGAGATATAAAAAGTGTTAGACTGAACAAAGTATTGGATTGAACTGTAATGTGTTTTATGTTTTTCTGTAGGTCTGGCAGCTCCGCTCAATGTACGAGAAGGTGATGTTACTGACACTTCAATACAGATTACTTGGGATCGGGCTGATGGAGATTTTGAGCAATATGAAGTTATATGCACAAATTGTGCAAGTGCTTTCAGGGTATATTTTTTAGAACACCACTTGTGTATAAGCAATGCAGTTATTTGTCAGTCTTCTCTTAAGAAGAAGCTATATCCACCATTAAAATCGTTGGATATACCATTTACATAAGATAAGAAAATTTTTTAAGCAATTTTGTGAAAACTGTATTTGTATTTCTAGGTCCAGAAGGTTAAGCAAGAAACAGCAATGTTTTCCAACCTTAGTCCTGGTAAGCTGTACAATTTTGCAATTCGAACAGAGAAAGAGGGTTTCAGAGACAGTATTTTTGTGACAAAGGAAATAGACACAGGTGAGACCACAATGTTGTCAAATTTAGTATTTGTTTTACTCCTTATATATGTCTTACTTTCTTTCTGAATTTCCTTTTTGTCTCAGAGAAAAGTAATTCAACCATCTTCATAATTTTCTTACAAATTTTTCTTATTTTCTTATAATTATTCACTTACATTGTTAGTTTTCTTATTCTTTGTCTGCAAGTGACTTTTAAGAATCTGAATATGGTTCCTGTGTACGATGAACTACCAATGTTGACTTCCTGTTGACTCAACAAGCCGTACAGTCCAGTAACTGATACTTGCGCACCAGCACTGGCTACCAGCACTACAGAAAACAATTTTTTTTTCTTAGACTTCTCTTTAATTCTTCATTTTTCACTTCAGTGCTGAGTTTGAACATGCTTAAATGTTCAGAGCTAAATTAGTTTTATGATGTTTTCTCATTGGCCTCCCTGTATATCACAAGGAAATTTGGGCTTTTCTACATTTAGGACATTTGATTCTCAGCAGTGTAGTTCTCCTCTATTCTAATACTGCTAACTGCTTGAACCTAAGAACATGGCCTCTCAAGCTATTAGATCTGGCATGTTATGTTTTCCTCTAACCTAATGTGGAAAAATAAAGCATAGTAGATGTGATTGAAATGGTTCAACATCTGTGATCGAAGATACGTAATGTGTTGCATTTAAGGTACCAGTGAGGTAGAACTGATACAGGAATATAAAGTGTGATGTAAAATAATTTCTGAGAGGACAAGTCATGGAGAGGCAAATATGGAGCAAGTAAATGATAATTCACTGGCATTTCCTTTTCAAGAACTAAGGACTTGAAACTAGAAGAGAGAAAGTAGAAAACAAACAAATGCAAATGATTGTTTACTAAATTTGCAGATAAATTGCAGAACTTCTGGCCCCAAGATATTTTATGTCATGGTTGTGATCATATGTTCAAGTGGAGACCAAAGACATTTACAAAAGAAAAATCTGCTGAGGTTTACTAAATTAAAAAAAATCACCTTTGGCTCATGAAGTTCTTGGGCTGCAAACTGCAGTTTGGGAGATTAAGAAGGGGATTACCATTCTATGCAATTCTTGCTTTTCTGGAGACATATGCTTTTGGTCACTGTTGAATAAGAGACACTGTGCTACTCATGACTTTGGTCTCTGTCCAGTATGCTACCTCTTATACTGACATTTCTTTTCTTGAGGAATTGTCCATTTTTGAGGAACTCCACATCAGTGATATCAGAACTGCACTATGTAGCATTACAGAGCAGCAAACAGTTGGCTCTGGATCTCCTGGATAACTAAAGTCCCTGTACACGTTACCACAGTTGTAGTAGTCTGTATGTCCTTGAGATAAGGAGGGACATGACATAAATTTTGTGGAGTTTGCATTGCATTCTGATGATGAGAGGCCTGTCAAAAAGAAATGTGTTTAAAATGCTTTTTTGAATCAATGTATTTTGTTGTATTGTCTCACAGTACCAAGTGCAGCTAAATATCTGAACTATAGCAGAGACTCTGAATCAATAACTGTCACCTGGCCACCAGCCCAAAATATATTTGATGGATATGTTCTTTCAATAAATAGTAAAGACTTCAATGAGAAGAAAATGTTACCTTCTGATGTAAGGTATGATGATTATATTTAAAAAATAACTGATATGAACTCAAAGCAGCTGTTTCACTATATATTTAAAATAAGTAGCCTGTCCTGTTATTTATATGTGTATTTGATAATTTAGTTGACATATGGTACTATACCATGTACTTTAAGAATTGCATTTTTTTAACAAATTGGAGGTCTCATATGATGTGCTTGTGCAAAGAAGACCAAACAAAATACTGCATTGAAGTGAGCAGTAGTAGAACCTGTGTGCAATTCTGGATGTTTAATTTAATACTTCAGGACTTTCTAGTACTTGAACTTACTGTGAACCATAGTGTAATGCAGCCTATTTAAGATTTCATAATACTAAAATATTTTTTGAGTGACAACATATAAACATGTGTATACACATAATGTGTAAATAATATCCATAAAACTATAAAAATTAAATATATGAAGAAATGTGCATTTCTAGAATCCTAAAGAACACAATCTCTTCTTTTAATCTTTGTAGAATGTACAAATTTGAACATCTTCTGCCAGGCACTGATTTCCTAATCAGTATTGTGACAACGAACGGATTAAAAAGGAGTCACCCTACCGTCCTCAAGATTAACACCTGTAGGTTCAGTTTATTAATGACTTTTCACAGTTTCAAATAACTAAGGTTGTTACATTTTAAGGTATTGTCTTAGAAAAGCTATTCCTTATTAAATCAATGCATCTTAATAATGTCTGGATTAATTCATGTAAGTCTTTCTTTTCAATCTAAACATATTTGAAAGCTACTAAGCATATAAAAGCTTTTAAAACACAAACAAGTTTCATCTGTATTTAATGGGGTTCTGCCAGTAACTGAATCAGCAGTAGTATTAGGACGATAAAATTTTCCATAAAAATTTACAAATTTTTATTTTATTTCTGATTCTATTGCTAATATGTGGAGACAATTTTCATTTATTTGAAGGTCTTCTTAAGTGCAAAATGAAATCTATTACTACATGGAACTATAAAATAATGAATTACAGTAGTGTATTCTGCAAATGACAATTTCCTTAAAATTAATATAGATAATTTTAAATTTAAATTTTGCATTCTCAGATCCTGGTCCACCATCAGATTTACAGGTGTTTGGACAAGAAGAAAATACAGTCTATCTTTCTTGGAAACTACCAAGAGGAGGATTTGATATGTTTCAGGTGAGATAAGGATGGGAAGAAACAAATGTAATTTTTTTTTTGGTAATTTCTCAATGAAGTTATCATTCTGCACGTACTGCAAACCCAGTAATAAACATTTGTCTGTATAACCCGTGGAAGTATGAGAGGGAATACTGCTATGGGGAAAGGCCAGCTAAATACATACTTCCTATTGCATAACAATTTAAAAAAAAGAATATTCTAAAATTATACTTTTCATAGCTTTCAAAAATTGATTTTTCAGCTAGTGTGCAATAAAAAAAATTACAGATCACGGGTTGAATGCAACTGCAATGTAATCTTTTTTCCTTAGCTTTCCAAATTTGTAATACAAATTCGTTTAATTACAGTGAAAGATAAAAAATACATTCCATATAGAAGAATCTAAATGTTTTGTTTAGAAAGTTACAGAATAAAACTTTTTTTTTTTTAATACAGCAATTTATTAAACAAAACTGGAAACATCTGATACCGCCCATACCCTCCTGGCCTTGGGCATTAAGAAGTTTAAGGATTTGGTTATATGTAAATAAAACTAGTTACTATTCCTGACTTTGTTCAATCATTTATACTTTAGAATTTTTTTATGCCCTGTTTAAAAAAGTATTAGAAATAGCTGGTACTTCCCTGTTCACCATACCCATACTTTACATTTTATAAACTTCAATTTTCTCAATTGTCTTTTAAGCAGCATTCTTTTATGGAAGATGTTCTACATCTCTTATTATCTTTTTCTTTAGTTTTTCTAAGCCTTTGATATCCTTCTTGAGATTGGTTGTTCACATAGGTGTGGGTACACAGTGGAGTAATCAGATGATTAATAGCGTTTTCTGTTTTGCTTCCTATTTCTTTCCTAGGCAATAGCATGCTGTCTACCTTTCTGACTACTGTCAGACTATTTTTAAAACCTCTTCTGTGAACATTTCAGTTCAAGACTACTCAATTTGACTGAGAATTCATAGTTCATTAATAATGATTCTGTGTAAACCATTGAAACAAATAGTTCAGTTACTATTTCTCAGATGCCTTGTCTACACTGAGTCTTCACTTTGTATTTTGGTCTGCTAGTGGTCTCTCCAACATCCAGATAAGCTCATTGTGTGTTTAAATCACTGGTTTTATAAGTTATGACACCCTTTTCAATTTTCTTTTCAGTCTCTTTTGGCCCACTAACCTGTGTTTCTGCTCTGCCTTGCTTCCTTGTGCTTCTTAAGTTAGCTTGCATAAATTACATAAGCGTAGAGACTTTATTTTTCTTGTATAGACAAGGTCTGCAGTTTTTAATGATATCATTCTCGAAGTAATACTTTTTACTGTTCAAATGGTTTTGCTCTTTCTGCGTTCCCTCTACAAAGTTTTGAGTCATATTATGTGTCAAAGTTGCATTTCTATGTTTTTTTATACCATGACAGTTTTGGATACTCTCCATAATTTTCTTTTAATTTGCTTGATCATTGTTCAGTAACTCTCCTTTTATAATTAAATTTCACTACACTGGACTTTTAATTTTTTTCTCACAAAGAAGCTGATATAACAGCGTGGCTCTTCAACATTTGTAGTTTGAATCATATCACTTGCAAAAAAATCTAGAGTTATTTTGCTTCTCTCACTTCTCTTTCAGAAAAAATCCAGTATGACATCTAAATACTTCGTACATGGATCATATTTCACTATGACATGCAACCAGTCTCCCTTTCGTGTCCTGGCTTTTGCAATCTGTCTTGAATCATCCTTTGCATTTTGCAGCTACTGTGTTGGTACAATAATGTGGTCAATAAAACTTTGTGATAGTGTAGTGTTGTTTTAAACATGTCATTTGAATCAATATAGATTTAGAGACATAATCTTGTACAGTTAACTTACTAGTCTAGGATATTTTTTAGTATACAATGAGACAAAGTACTTTCCTTAAAAGGTCTACACGGTTTATACTCTGGTACTACAGTGTTCAATTATTTTACTCTCTCTCTCCCATGACTTCAATTATATCCTTACCTAAACCTTGAAATCTAAGTATCCTTAGGATAGTTCCTTGATATTTCTTCTCTCTTCAGTAGTGTAAAGTTGCATTGATCTGAATGGATAAGAGTAGCCAGTTAACCTCTCAACACTGTTTGCTGGTGTAGCCTGGCATATTTTTACAAATTTTAAAATTAAATTCAACTATCTTGTTCCTGTTTTGAAACTGTTCAGATACACTTTTGAATGTGGTCATGCTATTTTTACCATCCTGTGGAAAATAATTGTCATCTGTAATATTGATCTTTATGGCATGGTATTATTGCTCAGGATCTCATAGAGCAAGCAGCCAGTCACATTAGACAGTGTTTTGTTTGCATAAATGAGCTTATCTTTAAATCTTTAATGAGAAAGGCTTCCGTAGACTGGTTGCTTAGTAAGGTGCACCTGCATAAAAGGGATCATTTTACTAATCATTTAAAATTAATTATCTCTGATCAGCAACTCTCTATGCAATATATTGTAGTTTGTAGAGCGAAGAGTTCACAAAAGGTACTTTCCTAACTTGTTTATACTAGATGTAAATCTTTAATCTATAGCTTTGCTTCTAGCATCTTGCAGTGCTGTAATTCTAATAAGGTGATGACAGTTTCCAAGATTCAGTTTGCATGAATAGGCACCATGCTGGTAAAATACACAGGGGGGAAGTGGATTGTTCTTCCATAAATGAATAGCAGCTAAACCAAAGTGCTTTCAGGTCACTGCCATGTGTATAATATCCCCCTTCTGTTGGAGGAAATAACATGTGCCAGGACAGGACTTGCTGATGTAGGCAGTTGCAAACCTTGATCTCTTAGTATCAACAGCCATGCCTGAGAAACCCATGTGTGCATGTTGGAGATGCTTGTCTAGTGCCCTCCTCTGAAGGGCAGGCACAATCTGCATCTTGCCTTTCACTAGTGCCTCTATGAAGCAGTCTGCAGTTTTCTATGCCCCCACAAAGGACTGTCACAGGAATTTTTTTAGTCACCTTAGAGTTGTCTGGGAGGTCAGAAGGAATCCTCACAGCCTCTAGGAGTTAAGTGCTCAAATTTCAATTACTTGGTATCTCCAGCACTTTTATTCTCTGCAGTGGCTGTAAACAAAAGAATTTTCAAGGCATAACAGTGAACAGAGTTGAGTGACTGATTCCTTGGGATTCTTTTTAGAATCTCAGCTCTGAAGAGTGCATGGGTGGAATTTTTAGTTGAATGGTTTTGGGTGGGGTCTTTTTGGTCTTTTTTTCCCCTTTGTTTTGTTTGGTTTTTTTGTTTTGTTGGCTTTTTTTTGCCAGAAAGGTACAGAGTTAGTTAACTGTACAGTTCATCAGTACAGCTGTGTGACTGAGCAGTCAGAGTATACTTTATTATCCTTTCTCCAAGAGCAAAAACCTGTAAACCATGACTTAACTTTGATTCCTACATCTACTTTCAAAGTCATTGCTTTCACCACTGTCTGTTCACTGGGCTATTAATGAATCTTAGAGTAATTGTGGATCAACCTTGTGGAACATAATACCAAGCTTCTTGATTTTTTTTGTCTTTAAAATATTGAAAATATTCTAAATATTTTTATATTTACAGGTAGTTGCAATCTCTTTTATGAAGTTAAATGGTCTAATATAAGAAATTCTTTTTCTTCAATAGCTTTCATATTGTCCAATGAATAATGAAAAGCTGATTATCAGAACTATTTATGACAGCAGAGCTGTAGTGCAAAATCTGGCTCCTGGGACAGAATATGTTTTTCATTTAAGGACAGTTAAAGGCTTGGATTCCTCTGTGGCTGTGGAGAAAAAAGCCATCACAAGTAAGAAAATACCTTACGTCGTTTTGAAAACGTAAATATTCAGAGACATTTAAATCATTGTTTGTAAGTGACTGAAAAGGGTCACGCATTTCAAAATGAAACTTTATCTTTGGGAGGCAAGTTCTGCTTCTTCTTTAGATACTTGTTTAAACAGGACCCTTCCACATAACACACTGGATTCAAGTTGAGGAGTGTAGACATAGCTGAAGATAGCTCTTTGAAAAACAAGGTGAACTCAAAATCCTTTCAGCTCTAACAGAGCCAGAATAGCTTCCTATACTTTGAGAAACACCTTGAATTTCGTTTACAATTGTTTCTGCATCTCTTAAGTTCTTGCAAGCCCGTAGTCTCAGATTGCAGGATTTTTCCTGTACAAGGCCACAGAATGCTTAATATAGTAAGAGAAATTGTGTTTCAGATAGCTTAGCAAGGTCCAGAAACCAGTATCTTGCACTCATTTTCTGTCTCTGAGCAAGCATGTTTTCCAATACCCCTGTGATACAACATAAAAAGAGGGAAATTTTTTTTGGAAGAGTTTTGAAGAAAAAGATTTATATAGGATTCTGACTTGCCAAAGGGGATAAAAAGCAGCTAATTGTAATCAGAAAATAAATCAACTCCCACATTTATGTACATGCACATCGTAGACCTCCTCCCTTTTTCAGTGGACTTTCTATGGCTTTTTTGGGCTATAACTCCTTAACTGAGTAAATAGTCAAGGGGGCTCTGTTTAGTTATTCAAAGATGAATGAATCTCTAAAAAAAGCCCCAGATCTAGTTCTACAGATTCTTGATAATGAAAAGTGAAGCACAATAATCATTATCATGGTCCTAAACGTGATTTTTATCCTCAAGTAAATATTTTCAAGAGAATTGTGGATGAGTACAATGTATGGCAAAATTATGGAGAGTTTACTATATAATTTTAACGGTAAATCTTTAGGATTTTCTTTCATGTCGAATAATAAGAACATGTTAATTAATATTTTTTGGGAAAGTTTCAAGCAAGATAAATTGATAATTTAGATGATTCACTTTTTAGGAGGAATGGAAACATTTTTCTTTCCTAACTGCAGCTGTGCTGCAGAGGTTAATGGAGGTGTTATTTGTAAATTATCTGCAATTTAGGAATCTTAATATAATCAAAAGGATTATTTGAAAAGGAACAAAGCAGTAATCACTGAGACTATGCTATTTACTGTGTTCCTAAGTGAACAGATGAACAGTTTTCCAAATTTATATGGCCTATGATGTATTTTAGAAAACTTTAAACTGAATAAAATCTCTACTTCTGCTTAAAAAGTGTTCCCATTCTCATTCTGTTTTACCAGTGAGCAGTGTTAGTGTTCTTACGGAAGATCTGATAAATTTGGAATTTCCTTCTGTAAATTACATAATGCACACAGGGGATACATTCCCAGGTTTTACTCTGTGCAACATTATGGCACTGTTTACTACATAGCCATACAAACATAGTTCTAAAATTTGTATCAATATTTCACAATGCTATGAACTCTCAATTAGTTTAAATAAAAAATATCTATTTTTAAAAACTAGTATTTTCTTATATTTTAAGGACTAGTGATTAAATTTTTCGTTATTAATCTGAATAATTTTTATGTAGAACCTGCTGGGATATGTGGTCTGACATTAAAAATGGTAAATAGTTCATCTGCAACTGTAATGTGGAATCCAACCAAGACAAACTTCACTTCTTATAAAGCATCTTTATCAAATGACACCTTTATAAAAACGTTAAGGATTCCAGGAACACTGACTGACTTCACTGTTATGGACTTGACTGCTGGTGGCATTTACAACTTCACACTGCAAAGAGTGAAAGGAAATACTGAAGGAACTTCTTCTTTCATTGAATTTGTAACAGGTCTGTAATGGTTTCTTGCTTTCTCTTTGCCAATGAATGGTAGCTGCCACTAACAATTCATGTTTAACTTTTTACATCTCACTTCATAGAATAACACTGAAATTTCAGGAGATCTTGCATGTAATAGTGTGCTGTCATTCTGGACATACATTACTTATACCCTATCCAACCTGCATGTAGAGATACACTACCAGAAACATATTGTCTTTAGCTGTGTTGCATTTCTTTTGGCCAATTTCAGGTCTTATCCTGCAAGGAGTTACACATGAGCTGTGTTTTACCTTACCTCATTTCAGTAGGTTTTTTGCAGTGAGTGAAGTTAAACAGGTTTAGAAATGTTTGTAGAATTAAGGCTTTAGATTGTAAACTACACTGAGATTAATCCTGGGTTGTATAAAAAGACCTCTAAAAGCATAAAATCCAGCTTTAAAGGAAGTTGAGATCCATGGAAATAGTAGCACTGATGACAGCAACAGGACTTAAAATTTATAGGTATATACTAAAAAGAAGAAACTATGCTCTCAGTTAAACTTGTCCACCTCCACTATTATTCTTATATTTTTTTTCTGTTAGTGTTAAAATAAAGCAATGAGTTAAAAATGAAAATGAGACAATACAGACTGAATATAACATCTAAAGTTAATATTTGTATATTTTAATATTTTAGATTATTTTATGGCAGAACTGGAGTAATCTGTTTGAAACAATTCTGCAACTTTGAATAGTCAGTGCAAAGAGTTTGTGAAAGATATATAATCTAAGCAGATTTAGAGCAAATAAAAAAGGAGTGGAAGCAATATGATATTCAGACTGCGCAGTATGATACTAATGTGTAAACAGTGTTAGAAGATTTAGTCTGAATTCTGGAGAGCCATATTAGTAAAGCAGACAGAGAACTGAGTGCAAGGGTAGTGGTGAATTTGAAATGTGGCAAATAGCATCACTGACTGGGCTTGCTCTGAGAGATAAGCATAGGGAAAGCTGTTAGTTGTGCATATGTTCCAGAGTAGAAAGGAGACAGATACACAAGGCTACATTTTAATGGCCTATTGAAGAACTTAATATTTGATTCATTATTAGGCTTAGAGTGGATGATTCATATTTAAAGATGCATTTAAAGGCAGATGAAAATGAGATAGTGTGACAGGAGCAGGTGGGAACTTGACTTTAATAAAAGGAACAGACCACCCAAATTTTGGGGACTTAACTCACTAGAGTTCATGGAATTACTAGGATTACATATACATGAAATGTATAAAAGAGTTAAGAACCTGCTAACAGCAGAACAAGCACCAGCTATATGTTGAATTTCAACAGCAACTCCACTTATGTCAGTAGTAGTAGTGCTAACTTTAAGGCTGAGGGCAGCAGAAACAGCAGGACTGTTCAGCAGTGTTAACTGAACACTGGGCAGAGATCCTTCAGCTTGCTCTCTGGGAATGGAGATTTCCACACAGTGTACTTGGGAGCCTATCAGCCAAGTCTCAGAGCTAGTACAGCAACAGCAGTACCCAGACTAATTAGCAATTATCCTTCATGTAGCAAGTAAACTCTTCTTGGATGCTTGGATTTAGTCGTACCTACTAATATATTTTTCAAGGGCGTTAATGTCTTTTATTCCAAAATTCTCTTTCAGAACCTGCAAAGCCAGAAGGACTTAGATTCTTCAATGTTTCATCATATTTTTTTTCACTGTATTGGAGACTACCATATGGACTTGTAGACAGATTTCATGTGGATCTTATTCCTGATCATGCTTCTGTTGTTATCCTAGATCTTGGAGTTAGGAAGTATCAAGTATGTGCTTTTATTACAGGACTTGCATGGCCAGCTTTTCATTATGCACTGTGCTGGTGAGAAATTGAAGCTTTCCCCCTTAACTGTTTAATGCGAATACGAATATGAAAGTGTTAATGAAAAATTGGTGAGAGCAGATTTCAGCAAACAGAGTTTGTTACTTAACAACAAGTAGTGAATTTACTTTTTTTTTTTAAAGTCTACTAGAAGGATACAACCAGTCATCCAAGGGTTCATGAATAGTTTAACAAGGGAAGGGCAGAGCTATTGAGTAATACAGACTCATTAATTGTGCACTTGCCAGGAAGATCTGCGCTTAAATCATTAATGCAGGCAACACTTCACTGCTAAGCCATCAAAAAGATATAGGAGCACTTTTTGATTCTGCGGTCTGGAAATTATAACAGTATTAACAGAAATAATGGTTGTTCTGGCTATTTTGCTTTTTTTTTTCATTGGAACTGCAAAGATACAGGTATTTTATATAGCAGCTTGCTAAAAGAAATTAATTATATTGTTTTCAAAGGATGGGCTAACTTAAGGGTCAAAAACTTGTTTTTCGGGTTGCTTTTTTGTTCATTCTTTCCAAGAGGAATTTTATAATGCCTCTGTTTTGATAATGATAACACAGAAAAACCTGTATAGATACATTGATAAGTGATTCTCTGATAAAATTAATAGTTAATTTTGTTGTTCTTTAATATTGAATGTTATACTTATTTTAGGGAGGATAGTTAAATAAGATAGCAAAATACTGTAGTGTAGCTAACAGATGTAACCTACTATCTTTTACTGTTGCAAATTCTGTTATATCTCTAAAAGCTTATTAACAGATCACTGTCAGTAATGAAATGATTACATTTTTCTGTGATTTTTTTTCTGTTTTGTTTTCTGTTTTCTGTTTGTTTGTTTCTTCATTTTTATGTTGCTTGGTAAAAGACTTAAATCTATGTCCTATTTCAGGCTGATTTTTCTAATACTATTCCTGGAACAACATACAATGTTACAGTGTCTGCAGTTTCTTCTTCACTTTATAGTTCACCTGCAAGTAGAACAGTGACAACAAATGTGACAAGTGAGTTAAAAATGACTGATGAAATTTCGTTGATTTTTTTTAAACTAAACTTTTTTGTGTTATTATATGCACAGTAGTATCCAAGAAATTATAATCAGTTTTGAACAGTGATTAAAATCTTTCATCTTCTTTAACTGTTTAAAAATACACTGAATCTGATCTGTTCTATGAGAGCATGAGAATTTTCAAGCTTTTGAAAAATTAACTATTGTGTTATGTAGTAATATCCATACCCCAATTTATATGTATAGTGGCACATACAGAAATGTTCAGAGATATTTAAAAAAAAAAGTAGCCATATCAGATGTGTTTTTTAAGACAGTGAATTTGCTTTTGACATGTGTCATGGAAAAGAACTTTAATTAAGAATGCTGGAATATGTCGAATATCAAACTGTCATTAAAGTGTGTTTTTAAGACAAAGATCTTGAGCATTACATTTTTTACATTCTTACAGGAGAATAGTTCCAGTGCTCCAAAATTCATTTAATCATTTTTGTAATAGGACTCTAACCAGAAAAAGTTTTTTTTTCAAAAGTACATCAGTTTTCAGTAGTTTTATGAGTTTATGCTGGCAGATGATTTAATTTCTCTATAGAATCTGTGAATGTCTCCACTATTAGGAAAATTAATTACCAACTGGTTTATATGTGTATGGTTTTTTTTAGATCCTGGACCCCCTGTGTACCTTGCAGGTGAAAGAGTGGGCTCTGCTGGGATTCTGCTGTCATGGAATACACCGCTGCATCCAAATGGCAGAATTCTCTCCTATATTGTTAAATATAAAGAAGTCTGCCCATGGAGGCAAACAGCTTATACACAGGTCACAACAAAGCCAGATAGTTTGGAAGTTCTTCTCACCAATCTTAATCCTGGAACAACTTATGAAATTATGGTAAAAGCTTTACAAATGACTCTTAGTATTTTGAATTCTGATTAATTGTAAATTGTGTAAGTTTATAGTAGGTCCCTATAGAGTTTTCAGAGGGACATTGCTAATAAATTGTTGCCATATTACAAAATACACTAGTTAGGTGTTTGTTTGCAGTAATGTTTTTGAATGTACTTAAAAATATTTCCAACCAAAATTGTATTGAAATGTAGTTTCTTCTATTGATATTCTTATTGAAATATGGCATTATGTGCTAAAATATGAAAAGCAAAGGGTAGAATTTTCAGAAACATCTAAATCCATCCTCATCTTCGTTGAGTTTTAATCTTTCAAATGACTGGTGCACTTTGGATATTACATATAGATTTCTAAATCATCTCAGCCAGATCCAGAAAAGCAGGTCTTCTATGTATGGAACTTGTTTACATTGAGATTAGGCACTCCTGATCCATCTCTGAACTCTTCAACAATACATGACTTCAAGTGGACAGAAATTAACTGCTATTCTCTTGGCAGTAGTTGCCAAGCAATTCTTTGCCTGACTTACTGTTTCACAAGAACCTCGGAGAGGTTCCTCTTTTCAAAATCAAGAATGAAATGAAATTATGTTTTTGATTTGCTTCATTCCATATCATGACCCTGAGATTAGCTCAGCTGGTTAAAGCAGGATGCTAATAAAGCCAAGGTTGTAGGTTTGATCCCTGTTGGGCCCTTTATTTAAGAGCTGGACTTGATGATCCTCCTTGGGTCTCTTCCAACTTAGAATATTCTCTGATTCTGTGATGTAATTTCATACAGCACAAACCTATAAAGAAAATTGAAGTTGACCAGGCTAGGAATAAGGCTGTGCAAGGATCCTTCGTAAGGGTGGTGTGTCTATGTATGAAAGTAAAAAATGTAATTATGCCTGCCATTGTGGGAAAGTTGCTCGCTGTCAATCTAGTGCTGATGACTGTGCTGATAAAGCCAGTATATCCACAGCTTGAGAAATTTTTATCATTTAAACTCCTGCCTCCGGTCATCTGCTAAAAAACCCCACCCCCCAAAAAGAAAAAAGTTTTTCTGCTGCTTGATAAAAGCATTAACACTTGGGATCTAAGCAGATCAATCTCCTCAGATAAATGACATTATTAAGAGAACTCAATTTGCAATCAGGAGTACCACCAGAGCTCTTCTGTGGGGTTCATTATTAAAGGTTTTGGAAATTACATTCTTTGCTCAATATATAAATCTTCCTTGGGAAAACTGTGAGGCATTTTAAATAATTTGTTTTACTTAGCAGTAATTTGCCTTTTCTTGATATATATGGGAAGAAATTTTTCCCATTCCTGATGCCTGAAACATTTATCTTAGAGCAGAATTTGATTCAATGATTTGTGACCCACTAATAACCACTAAGGTGTAACACTTTCTACTTCGTATATGTGTACAAAAAGAAATATGACTTGTTTTCCTTCTCTTGAGGAATTTCTTGTGGTTCTTTGGTTGATGTTTGGGGTCTATTGTATCATTAGAAGTAGCTCTTGAATTTTGTATAAGTGAAAATTCTTCACTGTTTTAGGGTACCTGGCTTGATCCTTTTGTGAAATTCTTTCTGGTAAATAATGTGACATTACAGTTCATCAGAGCTTATAAGATTTGAATATAGGTTTCCAACCTGTTTGTAACAGTCCAGTCTTAATTTCTTTACATCTAATAAAAAACCAAACCAAAACACTTTTAAAGGAATAGCAGTTACAAGAGTTAATTCTCTAAATGCTGGAGAGCTATGGATAATTTTGAACATCTGATCATCGATAATTTTGTGAAATTATGCATGGAATATTTTTTTTTCTAAACTTAAATAATCGGTGACAACATAAGTCAAAGCATAAAAATTAACCTGCCTTCCAAATGTAAACTGCAGCTACTTGAACCTTGGATAGTACTTTGTTATCTGCGCAGTAAAATTGTCCTTTTTAAATGTTTCCAAGACTTTTTGTACAATGACTCTTTGTGGCAGTGGTGTCTAGAAGTTACCAGCACATTGTGTAAGCATTTATTTTGATTTCTCTTCACAGCTTATCAGTGCTTGTAGCTAAAACCTTTACCATGCAAATTTTTGCATACTTATGTCATAGTGACTTTGAGTTGTCTTGAAACTACACATATGAAATAGGAGTTTCCATGTCTATCTTAATGCTAATTTTTCTTTCTGAACCCTTTTTTTTTGAGATGAGATAAACCCCAGTGTTTAGGTGAGCACTGTAAATACTGTCAGAATTTTCTGACTGCCTGTCAGTCCCCTGAAACTCTCCAGTCAATTTCCTCAGCTACTGCAATTACTGTAGAATTCACCAATGCTTAAGGATGTTTCAAGTCATTGCCTCTGTGATGCACAAGTAGGTAGGGTTGGCTATAATCATGAGGTGTGTGTGCATGGGGGGCATCTTTGTATGGCTTAGGAAGGAGCTAGCAAGTGACACAGATTCTCCTTTACATCCTAGATGTAAAGAATACACTACCTTGTATTTCTTTGCTGTGTTTTTCTACTAGGGCTTAGTCCTTTTGTTTAAACAACTTTACAGTCTTTGAAAGATGCACTGTTTAGTGCTGAGAAGTGATTAGAACAAGTTTCCCTGTCTGACCTCTGGGCTCCCTCTGCTTTTTTTTCCCCTTCCTGTGTGCTGTCTGTCACTTCTATAGTGATCCACACTTAGTTTTGCACATCTGTCCCTTCTCACCCTGTGTTCCCCTAGGTCTGTGCTGTCAGGTCCCTCAGTGCCACTGCCATACCTTTGTTGCTTGATGTTGGCAGGAGGGAATGACCCTGGAGGAAGCTGGAGAGCTTTTCACTTTGCTTCTTCTTTCACACACCTCTCAGCAACACTCTTGGAATTTTGCTCATGTTTTATCTTTTGTTGTTTCTTTCACTTATCAAAATAAGAAGTTAGACTTCATTCCTCTTTATTTGTAAGTAATGCATGCTATGGCCCATCACTGCATCGAGTTGTCACTAAATCCTGTATTGTGGAGCGAACAGCATTGTTGTTTTGTTTATCTTCACAAAATCTCAATGTAGTGCCCTTCTGAGCACTACATTGAGCACTGAAGCACATCTACCATAAAGTGCATTCACAGTTCCCTGACATATTGTCTTTCCACAAAAAGACATGTTTTCCTTGGGTTTCTTCTCTGAGGGAGGTTGACCTGCTCTTGCTATTCTTCAGGAGATAGAGAAATAAAAGAGAACATATATTCCTTTTTACTCTTTTAACTCATGGTAAGTAAAATAGGATTGTGAAAGCTGGTTTAAGTGAATTATGTTAAGGAACAAGAGTGTCACTGATGTTATTCCTGTGGTTGAGTGCCATAAAATAGGGACTCAGCACTTCTGATGAAAATCACACGTGATTTCCTCCATTTCTTATTCTGTTTCCTACTTTCTCCCTTTTATTTTTCTACATTTATATATTGAATATAAATTTAAACAATGCAACTAGAAAAGGCATGGTCGTTTGTATATTTACAGTTTAAAAGCTAGAAGTTGAATCTCTGTGTATCCTTGAGATTTTCAGATTCCTAAAACTATATATTCTACAGATTCTCTAATGTGAATTCTTTTTTTTTTTTCTGTAGGTTGCTGCTGAGAACAGTGCTGGTATTGGAGTATTTAGTGATCTTTTCCTTTTTCAGACTGCAGAAAGTGGTAATTTTAATAAAGCTGCTAGTTATTTTAATTAAATCTGCTCCAATTTGTTCAAATAAACTATCCATGGCAAAATTCATACTTGAAAAAATTCTAATGCATTTAGAACAAAATCATAATTTTTTTCTTATTCTCTCACTCGGTGGCAAAGATTTATTTTGTTCTATTTGCTAATAACAGCATTTAAGGTGTGCACATATGGGTGTCTCTTGTATGCAAGGTCTGTTTCTGTTAGACTTTTCCTATACCAGTTTCTAGGTAGGCTGCTTCCAGAAAGTAAGGTCACAGGAGAGCAGAGCTACGTATTAAGTGGACCCATCTGTTGTTGCCTGCAATAGTACCAGGAGATAGATTTTGTTGTGGGATCAGCTCTGGCATTGCCTACTTAAATCAATCTGTATTGGTTTAGTGCTGGGTTCTAAGAAACCTTGCACAGAAACTATTGTACTAAATTTTTATGTCTTAATTCTGAAAAAAAAAATCTGAAATGAAAATAAAAATTAGAGGGTTTTTTTAAGATTAAAAAAACATAGTTTGAGTTTGCATAATCTTGCTCCTGCTCCAGGAGCACTTGTGCCTTGGCTGAAGAGCTGGCACCAGTCCAATTACGTCAGGATGAACCAGTCTCAGTGGAATACAGAATTCATGCTGCCATGGCAGTGACTGTCCCTCTGTGTTTAGGCTGCTTTCTGTTTCTGTGCAAGCTACAGAGTGAGATATCTCAATTAATGTCAGAAAATCATTGCTCTGCATGAGATTTCTAAGATAATGCAATAATATATGAAACCAAATATGAGAAGGAGTAGTAAACTTGCCACATGGAGCTATGAAAAATTATTCTTCTTCACTATTCTAAGTACATTATTGCTGGTGGAAAACCATATTTCTGTGAGCTTTATAATTTACTCATCTTTGACAGAGGACAACACTTAACATTTTCCATATAAGAACATAAGCTTTTTACTTTTTGATGCATTTCTGACTACATTTTTATTAAAGCTAAAATCACTTATTATGAATGTAATTGTAAGGTTTCTTCAAATTCTAGGTGAGTTATGTGTCACTTATATTACATTTGTACTTTTACCTTCTTAATCTTTTTTTTTGTTTTAACTCTTGCTTTGATGGCTAAAGAAAGCCAAACATCTTGATTAACATGCAGATGTGCAGTTTGAAGTAAGAAAGTTAACCAGAAAATAAAATTATTTAAATTTAAAGGCTGTGGTCTGGGAAAGGGGAAAAGAGATGAAAGGTCTGGAAAAGACTTAGCAGGACTAAAAGCACTAAATGGGAAGCTTGGAGGAGCTGTCTTAATTCACCCATGGAAGATCTGCAATTTTGGAATGCTGTTTTTTTTTAAATAGTGTAAAAAGCTAACCCTTTTCTCCGTAGTATCAAGGCTACCTATTATAGGACTTGCTGCAGACTGTGCTACAAGTAGGCAGGACTAAGAGAGAGGGACTACTCTAATTTGCAGGAAAGTCCAGATAGCATGTAAAATCTCATTTAGATGCTGCATGTCATTCTTTTGTGCTATGATTAATACAGATACTCTGACAAAAGGCCACAGAAACTGTCACTGATACAAAGAACACCATTTCTGCAGTAATAGTGAATAGTCTGTTTAAAGTGAGTTATTTAAAGCTACCGTAAATCTATATGCAGCTGAAAAGATGACACAGGTAAAGTGAAATAAAATGCCCAGTGTTGTCAGATGCTCTTAAACAAACAAAAATGGACAAAATTTTGCTACTTTTGGAATAGTAGGTGACTTTCTTCTAGAAAGAATATTTTTAAGCTGACCAAACCAATTACTATATTATTATGAGACTGAAATAGTTATATTTCTTACTTAAACTATATAGGGAAAGAGCTGGTTGTATATCAGCTGCTTTACATGTGTTTGTGAATGATTGTTATCTATTTGCTCCAGGGTTTGGAAACTAGAAATGGAATTACCAAAAAAAAAAAAAAAAAAAAGAGGAATTTTCTTTTTTTCAATGCTGAGAAGAAAAGTTTATCTTACTGCTTTTGTTTGTTTTGTTTTCAAGCTCCAGGTAAAGTAGTGAATCTCACTGTTGAAGCCTTAAATTCTTCAGCTGTAAATCTGGTCTGGTTTCTACCTCGGCAACCAAATGGAAAGATAACTAGTTTCAAGATTAGTGTGAAACACGCAAGAAGTGGAATTGTAGTGAAAGATGTCTTGGTTAAAGTAGAGGACCTTCTGTCTGGGAGGTTGCCAGAATGTAATGTAAGTGCTGTAAACCTTTTAAACTAGAAATAGACTTATCCCACTGAATATAGTTTTACATTGAATATGGTTATACATTTGAATTTTGAGACATAAAAAGTGGAGAGGCTTGCTTTTCAGAACAATTACAAATGCCTTACAAACTTAGACCCAAGGCAGGATATAATGGTTGAAGAAAAATCATTCTGTTCAAAATCATTTAAACGGAATGCTTTTCCTTGAAAAACTCGGTTTAATCAAAGTAAAAATGTTAAGAAAGGTTAAATTTGGTATCCATTTAACAAAAAATCGCAAAATAGATCATTTTTGTTCAGCTTTCAATTTTTAATTTTTTTGTTTGTTTGTTTTATAGGATATTCAGTTAGAAAAAAAACAAGAACTCAAGGAATTTTTTTGGTCAGTGAAGACATAGAGTAATATTAATGTCCTATTTTTTATGTAGCATGATAATGCTTTTTATATTTCGAAAATATGCTTTATTCTATCGCATTTCAATATTTTTGAAATACTTCTCATATCAAAATGAAAAGATGCATGATTATCAGAGTGATTTTCAAAAATACATTTGTAGTCCAAGTTGTTCTTAAAATAAGCATTCATTGAAAATTTTCTGAATTTTGACTATTCATTGCATTCAGACTTGTAACCACTGTATACCTTTCAGAATTTCTTGATGAAAGTTCTCTTTTCTACCATTTATTCTCCTTTTCCTTCTTACTCTGAGGACAGTGTTGCAACTACTCAAACTTTTTTCCTTTTTTCTTTTTTTTCCCCTCCAATTTTTTAGGCTTAATATTTTAATGAAAAATGTAGATGAATGAAAAAGTATGATAACTTTGGTTTCAGATTTTATTTGGAAAATCATCTTAGGCATTGTGAAGGTTCCTGACACCAGGCTGATTTAATTCAGCACTGAGAAGGCAGACTGCCACCTACTGAATCATAAGTATCGGTTACCATAATGTTTAACAGTTTTCCAGAGTTGTCTCCTGGCAGTGTGTACTAAGAAATTCTTGTCTGGTTTTGTCCATGATATATGGATATATGTATTCTATATATGTATATATACATACATATATAGAACATATATGTGATGTAAAAGGACCTCATTACAGAACTTTTTTTCATGAGGGAGACTGAACACTGAAAAAGGAATCTGGGAATAATTAAATGAATCCTAGAGAGATGCTTCTGTTCAGTCAGATATGAGATCTTTTTAAATAAGACAGGAAACTATAATACTGTCACTAACAGATGTACCATCACTGTCAATCTAAATTTGGAAATGGAGTGTAAAAAGGAGAACCAATTCAAACTAATATTTTTTCAAAGGTGGTCTGCCTTTTTTTGATCTACATATATTTACAATTATAGGTTATAGATACAGCTTATCATGTTTCATATTTTGTCTTTATAGGATAAGAGTGAATCATTTCTGTGGAGTACTACCACTCCTTCAACTACTTTTGGGAAATCCACAATTCCTTCACAGACTACAGTTACACCAAATACAGAGGCACCAAGTCAGATGAGCTCTGTTTGGAATGAACCGATTAGCTTTGTTATAACTAACCTCAGGCCATATACCACCTATCTTTTTGAAGTTTCTGCAGTTACCACTGAAGCAGGCTACATTGACAGCGCAATTGTCCGGACACCAGAATCAGGTAAATACTGCTTTCAAATGGAAATAAAGTTCTCAGATTTAGGTAAAAACTTCAAAATATCAATTTGAATTTTTGTTGCAAAATACTTCAGTCTGAATCTGTCTTTATCTGTATCATACTTTTGTATTTACATGATTACTTAATTTTACCCGACGGAATCAACTGATAATGTATGTAACAATGTATCTATTAATATACAGTGAGTGGGAGTTCAGTTATTATTAGGAGTCAAAGGTACCAAAGATATGGTCAGGACAGATCAAATTTTATGAAAAACTGAAGGTAATTTAAGAACTGCAATTAATAGTACAACGGAAGGAGAATTAAAAATAAAGATGGAGGGAAAAGGTGTCAGTCATAGTATTCAAAAAGTATGTGTATTGTGTACATAGCAATGCTCTTAAAGCTTCTTTGCCTTTGTAGAGAAATAAGCAGTATAAAGAAAACTCCTGTCATGTGGTTCCCAATCTGGAGCTATTGCAGAAATTTGTTCAGTAATGAAGAAATCTTTAAGTACTTGGTGAAGTTGATTTTGGATTACTTGCAATGCACTGAGAAGTTAGAATTGGAAACAAAGGTCCAGGAGATGGAGTTTTATAATGGCTTAGGTAGTGGACAGCACTGTTAGTAGAGCTATACCATAAAGGCATTCTAGAAGAATCATTCTGACTCTCTGTTTGCTAATACATCATTCTTTTGCTTAACTCGAGTTGATATTACTCAATTCCCTTTCTACATACAATATTCATAGCACTGTTCAGATGAAAAGAAATTTTATTCCCTTCTAAAGCAGTTAATTTGCATTGCTTTGATAGAATCTGAATAGCCTTAGTTTGCTGCTCTGTTCAGGTTAATGAAATTTTGGACAGTTTCTCTTCTAATGATATCAGGGCTAATCTCCAGTATTTATTTCACCCTCTTAACATCCTAGGATAGACGCACTGGTAGTAAGAAAACCCTGGAAAGTGATGAAAAGCTTACGGAATGGGATTTAGTTTCACCACATGCATAGAAATTGTCAACTGTTTGAAAGATAAGGCTTTCTCTCCTTGCATAGAGCCAGGGTCTGTGAAAAGGGAGGTGGGCTTACTGGTCAGTGTGAGTGTGCACAGGGCCAAAGGCACAGTCAGTCCTTCTGGTCCCAGTCTCAGTAAGTCCTTCCTCTTAGCGGCACACCGGTACACCCAAGCTCGTTGGTGCTCCATGCTGAAAATTATTTCTGTTTCCTCTTGCTAGAACTTTCTGAGCCATGCTTCAGCTCTCCTGTGTTTCTGACAAAAAGATATTTTTCTTGCTTTCATTTTTGGAAAGGAGGCTACTTCTTTAAAGTGTTTTAAAATGCTAGATTTTTTTTTAAAAATCTGCATGGAAATACTCCCTTTGCCAGGATGACTGTCAGTTGGAGGACACATTTACAAAGAGAAAACAATTAAAACTTGGGAAAAATAGTGGACTTCTGAGATGATGCTTCAGAAATATGTGCAGTTTTAACTTATGCAATTTGCAAAACTAAGGATGATTAAGTAGTCACTACTGACTAATCTATAGCACACATTTTAGAAATGACAGGATTTTTAATTTCTTTCATTTGTACAATAGTTTTTACAGAAGACAATAGTACTTTATAATAGCAGTATATTAGTTAAATTGTGTATTTGTTTACAGCATCAGTTATTGTCTCCATATTGGCTTAGATATCAGACATGACTCATCAAGACTGATTTTCATAGAAATTTATGTCAAACATTTTCCATATGTTTACTTCTGTATGCAGCATTTTTGAAAACTGGGTTTGATTTCACTCTATGTGGATGTAAACAATTCCATCTCCTTTAATTGGATTCTGATTTTAATATCAATAATAATCTCTCATTGCTTTATAACTGCAGTAAGGGGTACTTTAGAGAGAGCAGGGGTTGCATCCCATAATCACTTGAGTGTTGGGTTCATTTAATTTGCACAAATAGTGTCATGAAAATGGAAAATTACTCATGTATGAAATGTTTTAACAAACTTCATTGGTTACAGGTTTAGCTTTCAGGATAGTAATATGTATCATAAGAACTGCAAGAAATCTTCAATATGAAGTATTGTCTATGTGAAAAATGAACATATTCAAGGAAGGAAAACTTACCTAATGTGAGCCCTGTATTACTGAGCCTCACAATCATATTTGAGCATCTTCTGTATGTAATCTACAGCATGGTAAAATCCATGCTAAACTTGGTAGAATCCCTGCCATCTTTGTCTCTTAACGACTATTTGCATGCTACCAGTTCTCTTGATACCTTTTCTGAGCGTTAACTTAAAAGAGAAATTTAGTAATTTTAATGACATATACTTTTCCCTTCAGAATATTTTATGTTTAAAATGAATTGTCTGATATGTGGGTTTGGAAATCCTAATATAAATTATTTTATGTTCAAAGACTTTTTCCAATATTGTTTAAGTTCCAGAAGACCCACCACAAAATTTTGCCAAGAGCAACGTTACAGCAAAGTCTTTCTCAGTAATGTGGGAACCCCCAGCCATAGTAACAGGAAAGTTTAGTTACAGAGTTGAGCTGTATGGACCATCTGGTAAGTCAGAGCTGATGTTACCATTTCTTTTTCTTTTTTTGTGATTGTTTCCTTACACTTGTATTCTTACTGTGCCTGTCAATCAAAAATGAATATTTGAAAGCAGTGTTATGTATCCTTTTTACTATTAGATGTTTTAATAGTTTTTAGATTACTTTTAAGGGAAAAGTCCATCATGAAGAGGAGTATAAAATTAAATTCATATTAGATATTCTTAAGAATGGAGAAAAACAATTTTTCCTCAGTCTTTCAGGGCTAAGGTTGCAGCTGAATTACTGTGCTTATACATCCAAATCCTCCAATCGGGAGGTCTGGAGACACACTGTCTATAACGCTACCGCTTCTTTTGAGAACGCACGCGGGATCATTCTTGAGGAGAAAAGACAATGCAGAAAGAACCATGTCCTGTCAATACCACCTAAGGAGTCCTTCTGCTGCACCTTTTGCAACCAGTCTTGCTATCTCGCATTGGCTGTTTTAGCCACCAACGCGCTTGTAGCAAGTGTGGGTAGAGCCCTTCCCAAATCTTCGTTCGCAAAGCCCAGCCATGACATCCAAAGAATTCTCTATCTTACCTTTGCTCTTTTCTCTTTCTGTTAAAGATTTCTAGAGGATTTTCGTTCTTGTGCAGTATGCAATCAAATGTTTGAGTCTGTTTTGACGTTTTTGGAATTTTTTTGAACACAGAGAAATTATAGAACTGCCTGTAGTTAAGTAATAAGTTTATGAGCTGTATTCTAATGTTTTTATGAGACCACACAGAAAAAGCAGTAGAAATTATTTTTTTTAAAAAAAATCCCTTCCTCTTAAAACCCACACCTTCTTGAAGTGGCTTGTTGGTTGATTGGTTTGTTAGTTTTTTCCCCATACGTTCAGTATTATTCCACTGAAGTTTGTTCAAAATTAGCTTTTCCCCAAAGAAATTTGGCTTTTCATCGTTCATCATCCTGAAAAGTAGCCCTGGACTGTTTTTATTTTTGAGCTAGAATCTCTTCATTTTTAATTCCAGGTCATATTCTGGATAACAGCACAAAAGACCATAAGTTTGTATTTAGTAACCTTGTGCCGTTTACAACATACGATGTGTACGTCGGTGCTGAAACAAGTGCTGGGGTGGGGCCAAAGACTAACCTTACAGTTTTCACTCCTCCAGATGGTAAGTAATCATAGAGAAGCAAAATATATGGGCTGACTGTACATGACAAAGGGTTTCAGTTTTCCCTTCAGAGCCTTTCTCTGGTTTTGTCCAGTTCATACACTGTCACTACATTTATCCGTCTCTCAGAGATTGTGCAAGACATGAAGTCTCTTTCTGAATGAAGATGGTTATTTTTAGATACGGTAATTAAGTTGCAGGTCCCCCCTCTTCCCCGTTAGATGGCAGCAAGTGGAAACGAAAAACAGCACAGGATTTCCCACGGCTGTTCAGCCCTAATGTTTCTTATGAAACCTCTGGTTTGACTAATTCTCACCAAATCAAAGGCTCCATACCAGGGTGAACACCCTGGAACTTACCAGGGAACTTAGCTTTGAGGCAGACCCAACATCGAGGTCTTGTCCTTGTGCAGTCAAATGGTTGGTTCTGTCTGTGAACACTCTACTCTGTGGTTTAGAAGTTTTGGCTCCCAATAGTCAAGTCACCACATTAGAGTGCTGCATAGAAATGCAGTTTTATCTTAGATATATGTGAGATTGTGCAGGATTTTTTGTCAGCATCTGAGGATGCAAACAGAAAAAAACAAGATTCTGTGTGTGATGGGCAGTTTCAAGATAGTTATTTCTGTCTTATTCTAACTTTGTGTTGTGTGGCATAAACATATCTCTCAATCAGTGATTTCTGGCAATGTTTGTTTTCAAGGTATAACACTGGGAGGAACACCTATCCTTATTTATTTTATTATTTCCTGAAGTAGCTGCTTTTGGCAGCTCTCAGAGACAATTTCCAGAGGTAGCATGCCTGAGTACAGTCCTTCTCATCTTGTGTCAAAATGCACTGTCAAAAGCCAAAGGAAATTTTGGTGGGTTTGATATTTCTTTTAGTGTAATATATAATTTCCTGTCTTAATGGCAAATCTACAAATCCTCATTATGCAAGTAATTTCAAGATTGTGTTTTACTGAAGTGTATCAAATCTGAATATCATTCTATTGAATAGAAATGTATTTTGTCTCTGGAAGTCCTATGGAAAGTACAGTATCATTAAGACTAAATAGTTAATGAAGAAATTGAAACAAAACCTGTTATAAAAGAGAAATGAACTAGATGTTTTACTTTAATTTTTTTTCAAGCTGTTTACTTGTATGGTTTTAATAATTTTAAAACTAACCTTTCATTTTCAAATATACTTCAGATTCCATATAGGAAGACAGCAAAGATCTGCTTGATTCCAATACACTGACTTCAGCAGAACCATCCTGATTTACGTCATCTTAGTGTCTGACCATATGCATACATATGTCATATATGTTAAAAAAGCCAACTCAAAAGTAAAGGATGTGAAATTTGACTAGATGCCTGTTGTGCCTTGCATGCAGGACTGAAAAAGCTTGTAATAATCACAGGTGTTTAATCAAATCAATTTTCTTCTTTAATATTTAGTCCCAGGTGCTGTATCAGATTTACACTTAGCAGAAGTGGAAGCCACATATATAAAAATTGTTTGGAGGAAGCCACGACAACCAAATGGAATCATTACCCAGTACAGAGTTAAAGTACATGTGCAGAAAACACTCATGACTCTGGAAAACATTATTCTTGGAGATAAAAATACGGTATTCTTTTTTTTTAACATGGATTTTTTTTTTGTTAGATTAAATTTGCTCTCTGCCTTATCTGATAGTTATAGAATGTGGAATTAGCCACCACAGATGAGTTGTTAAGGCTTTTAAAAGCCACCTTCCTCATTCCACTCTCTCTGACTGGGTTTCAAAAAGATTCTCATAATGCTCTCACCATAACATGAAAAAAAAATGATTCTGGCAGAATGATCCAGACTGTCTTAGCTACTGAAGACAGGAAGTCATAGCCTACAGTCTTGTCCTTCTGAGTCCTTGAGTTCTTTTCTGCATAGGGTGACCTAACTGTAAGAGTTAGGTGCCTAGATTGATATACAGCCTGTAAGAGTTGCCTAGACTGATACACATATTTATGTGCCTAGATTGATACACAACCACTCAGCAAAACCTCTAGAAGATGTGGGTGTGAATCCTGTGCAGAAGTGAATTCAGCAGAAGTGTCACAAGGCTGGTTAAGTGTTCTACTAGCAAGGCAGACACACCTAGACTTTCTCCCTCCATTTGCATCCTTAAATTTACATGTGTGATACTACATGCTGAACTCCATGCTATGGTTGCTAACTAAGGATATCTGCACGCATCTATGGGATTATCTCTCTCTGGAGACTCACGCTGTCAATCAGTCCAGCTTCTGGATTTTGAGTGCTGATGTGCTTTACAGTCTTAGAGGAGAAGCTCTGAGTACACAGCACAGAAGCGCAGACTCCTAGTAAACATTCAGCTCAGGATTGAGTTCTTTCTGAGGTAGGGCTTTTCGGTTTGAATTTTCAATATAGGTGCCCAAAGTTTGCATAATTCCTTTTTTTATTTCAGACAATGATATCTTTCACTGGATCTGAATCGGAATCTAAGTTTTTGATGTAGAGCTCAATGAAGGAGTTCACTTTCAAGTTGAATGATATACATTATATAGAGCCCTGGAGGCAAACATTAAGTAAGGAGTAAGGGAAAAAAAAATTGGGATAAGGATCCATTCATTAAACCAGACAGGCGTCCTTGGAAAATTAAGTATGTAACTTTATAATTAAAGATTGTATCATAGTACAGACACAGAAAAATTAGAATTATCTGCACAGAAATATTTCAATGATGGAATTTCCTAGTTTCTGAGTTCTTAGTATAGCATCATTGCTGCTTTATTATAGTTTATTGAATTTTCTAATTAAAAACCAAAGCAAATAATAATAAATCTTTCTTTATTTAGAACCCCATTGACCAAACCTTAGAGCATCTATGGGATTTGAACTGTCAGATCCGCAGTGCTAATTATACTCAATAACTAGTAGCAATAAAATGTTGTTGTCTTATATGTGGAAAACACTTATAAGCAAAAAGTATCTCAATGTGAGTTACTACTTTGCTATAAAAAGCTGGTGAAGATGAGTCATATGTTGCTTTTACCTCTTGATACTTAGGTGAGATTGATGCTGTATCTCTGCCTGTGGCTAATGCACCCCTAGTTAAAGGAGTAAAAAAGCTGCTTTGCCATCTCTCCACCCAGAGTCCATAGGGAAAGGACTAATGTGTATTAGTTACGTCACTGTAAAACCATCTCTTTCTGGCTATGAGGTGGCTCATATATGTGAGTGGGGAGTGCTCCAGATGGCAGCAGAACAATTTAGAGACACTGGAGTCCTGGATTTGGTTCCAGATTCTGAAGGGGCATAATGATTTGGTGCTTACACACCATTTTGTACCTATGTTCCAGCCTCTCTCTTTTCTATTATGCTTTTGTTTATCCTCTCCTTTCTGTTCTTGATCCCCTTATATCTGCTGCCATCCCTTTCCAACATTTGTTCTCTGTCCCTTCTCTCCTATGGGAGTCTATATCACTTACCTTCCTTTCACTCTTCCTTTTTACATACTCCCTAATTTTTCCCTCCCCTCCAATTAATTAGCTTCTGTTTTTCTTCCTCTCTACTTATCACGTCTTAGTGACCTAGTCAACCTGTTAATCCTTTTCTTCAGGGCCTGGTAGGGATATCTAAAGTCCTCTTGCTTTCATTGCCTGCTACTCTCTTTCAAAACATGCTTAATACAAATTTAATCTCCCAAGTTCAAATGTGTATCTGTTCACTATAGCTCCAAGGATACAGCATTACAGTTAAAGGCCTTACTCTAAAATTGCCACCTTACTATAATATCCATATTTTAAGAAATAAAAAAAAGTGGTGTTTGATTAAACAGTAATCAGAATAAAAGGTTGTAGGCTACTGGCAACTGAGCTTTTTTATTATAAAGATTGCATTTTGCAATGTTAATTACTGTAGTGAATGATAAGGTTTGTATGCCAGCATTTATATAGTATGCTTATATATATATGCACAGATATACAAACACTATTTCTATATCTTATATAAAATTAATTATATAATTTAATGATGACAAGATTTGTGATTTACTTTTGTATTTCTAATTTTTAGTATTTGATTGATTCTTTGGAGCCATACACAATAAATGAAAACATAAACCCTTCTTCTCCCACTTGGAATTCATTGGAAACAGCCAATGATTTATATGAAGGTTCAGCTGAAATGTTTTCCAGCATTCAGACAGCTTCCCCAGTAGTATTTACAAGTGTATCTGGTGATAATTTGCCTGCTATAAATGGAGCTGCAGAATTACATTCTGCTTTGGGTAAGGTATTTTAGGATATTTTTCTACCTGTTTCTTTGTTCTGAAGGACCCTCATCACTGTCCCAGATATGATTTCTAGCACATGGTTCAAGCAAATTATAAATGGGTCATTGGCTGGAGTCAGATTTTTTTACTACCAAATAACCTTCTGAAGCAAATGAGAATGCCACACAGGCAGGAACTAGCCCCTTGTCACCCAGCTGACCTTCTTCCTAGTGAAAGAAGCACCCGAAAGCCATCAGCCAAGCTGCATAGACAATCAGTTATTACAGTTGCCAAAGCAGGTGTGATTGTCAGGGATTAACATATCTCCAAGCCCTTCAGAGACCTTGATTTCTCTAAGCTGTTTGACTAATAGGTTTTCAAATGTCAGTGAAGGTAAATAGGTCAAAAAGTTACAACTTTGCTATATGGGTTACAAACAGGTGGAGATGACCCCATGACATGGCGATGTCATTAGTGAGTACACTTGTTCTGTATTATCAATGGGCCACTGTTTCTTTTCCAAGTATGGATATTTACAAATCATTAAGCAGGCTTCAGCTGACAGGCAGGGATTTCAAATACCTCTCTACATTTTTACGGTGTTTGAACAGTGGGGAGAAACTAAAGTTTTTATTTTTTTTTTTAAGTTTTAAATTAATTTAATGAAGTCACTGAATTCCTCTGTATACACCAGTATCTAATACCAGAATTCAATCCATTATTTTAAACTATAGTGGTTATTTTCTGTACTTAGTTAATCCTGAAGAATCTTCCTTGTTATACACAGAAAACATACAGTGTTTTAAATGAAAATCTTCTTTTTATGGCCTCATTCATCTTGAGGTATTGAGTTGCTTAAAGATGTCTGTGTTGCTGAAAAATTGATTTCAGACAATGTCTGTTGTGATCCAGCATAAGAGTATTATTTTATAGGAGTTACAGTAGTTAAAGCTGTTGACAGCCAAATTTTCTTCAGGGTCTGCTGATTTTTCAATGCCTTCACAAAACTCTGAGCCTGATACGGAGATATGAGAAGGACCCACACTTTTTCATTTGCACTGGCATAATGACTGCTTTATAACAAATGATTTTGGCTATCGCAGTTGGATTGTGACTGACTTTGAACTTTATTGGAGATGCACCAAAAAACTCTTTGTGGTTGCATGTCTTCTTCATTCTACTGACCACAACTCTTTTGCTAAAAGTCTCGGTGTGAAGGGGTCTGTGAAGGCAGCCTTTCCAAGTATGGTTCTTTTAGCACCATTGGGAGGGGGAGGGCAAGGAAGAGGGAGTCTATCTTTCTCAATTTAAAATATTTTAAAAACCTCAAAAATTGTATCAATCCAGAAGTCATGGTTCTGAAATCACTGGAGAGACCAGGCCATATACAAAGCTACCTTTTCCTAGTTTCTGGGGGATTTCTCACAAACCTCACAATTCTACTTGTGGCCTATTCATTCTTTTACCTAGACCAATCTATCTGTTGTACACATGAAAATGGACCTATAATAGACTCTCCTTTGTGTAGTTAAGAGATGGAGTGTAGACTTTTCTTTATATTTCTGTAATTGTCATGAAAGTTAATTATTTTACAATGAAACAGTTGCAGGTTGCCCTGCCAAAGTGAGTTCAGAATGCATAAGAAAAAAAATGAGTTTATGAGTAAGTAGCTATTTCTCTCCGTTTACTCACAGATAATCAGTATACCATCAACATTTTGGCTGAAGAGCTGTCATATGTTATAAAGAGCCTCACACCTTTCACAGATTACACAATTAGTGTGTCTGCTTTCACTGCTGTTGGAGAAGGACCACCATCAGTTCTTACGGTCAGGACATGTGAACAAGGTAAAGTTTTGTAACTCTGATATTATCAAGGCTAATATACATGACTTTTTTCACTGAACATTTGAATTATTTTTTAGTAATTTATTTGCTTATTGTTATATTTTTATGTTTTTGTTGCAGTTCCAAGCTCAGTACAAAATATATCTTACAAGAATATTAGCTCCTCCTCTGTTTTGCTGTATTGGGATCCTCCAGCAAATCCCAATGGGAAAATCATCCATTATACAGTTTATGCAATGGAACTGGATACAAAAAGAGCATTCCACACAACAACTTCAAACAACAGCTTACTTATGACAGGTATAGTGTCATTTTATTAAAAAAAGATAAAAATTTAAACTTGCAAATGCATTATACAAAATTAATTTTTCCAACTTTATATAATATAGCCATTTGCAAAGAAGATGGATCAAGTCTCACATATTCACACACATCCACACGCACACAACATAACTGCACGTAAAAACAAGGTTGGTACACTACTGTTAGAGCTGTCTACTGTGGAGAAATATGTAGGGAATATGAGATGGGAGCAGAGGGAGAAGATAAGCAGTAATTTGAGAAAGGGTATGAGTAGTAATTTGTGAAATGGATTTCTCCTTGGAATTTTTGTCTAAGCATCTTCTGTCCACATAGAAAAATATTCCTAAATTGTCTATTATTTTTTAGACTTGAATTTTTTTCACAGTATTTGTCTAACATTAATAATAATTTTCTTATTTTAAGATGATAATTTTTATAGTAATTGAAGTAAATCCATTCTTAATAGGGTTTCAGACACTTATTTGTGCTAATCAGAGTAATGCATATAGAATAAACCCACATATTTGGATGTACATATACGCATCCTTTACTTTGACAAATAAATTCTTTAAGCTAGTTACAGGGTTAAAGCTAGTTGACTTATTTCAAAGTCTGTTGGTTTAACTGCATGCCCATTTGGCTGTCCCCACATAAATGGTATTATACGTATTCTATCTTTTAGGTAACAAATGTGCGTCAAAAAATCTTAGAACAGTATTCAGTTTTATAGTTTCATAAGTAGCTATGACAAAATAAATATGTTTAAGAAGTAAACAGTCAAGATTGTTTTACTTAATCTTTTCAGGCTTAAAAAAGTACACAAATTATAAAATGAGAGTGGCAGCCTCTACTGCAATTGGAGAAAGTGCTTTGTCTGAAAAGAATGATGTTTTCGTGAGAACCCCTGAAGATGGTAAGTACATTGATTGCAATGATGATTTGTCTTCTGTACTGAAGTTTGCATTTGTTTAGAAAGAAGACCGGGCATGTACATAAAGGGAAAAGAAAGTGCAGAAATAAAATCAATGTTTGTTGAAATTATTAATCTTCTATCAGTCGGTGACTTCATTCAGACTGTTTTTAGGTAAGTGCTGAAAATAATAACGAAAGCTGCAGGAATCAACGAATTTCAGTTGTGATCGACAAATGGAAGGAAAGCTGCAGAGCTGAGCTTGCCTCACTGAAACCGTGTCCCTAGCACCCACCTAAACTGTAATATTTGTGACTTCATCTTATTTTCTTTTTCTTTTTATGTTATCATGTGGAAATCAGGTTGGTTTTGAAGCATCCAAACATGGCACCTTCCACTATTCATAGGTCATGTTGCTATCTGCTATGCTGATGAAGTGAAGATTTTTTACACTGAATGATATTACATGCAATTGTTTCTGTAGTGTTTTGGGGGCTTTATTAATTTTAAGACTGATCAATAGTTCTAGCATAGTGTTTAATGCTACTTTTTGAAGATTTCTGGATCTTCCTTAATTGCTTGCAAGGCAGTCTCATCCCATGAAGGCACTGGGACCGTAGCTGAAGTTGTCATTGGCTTCTGCAAAGAAAACACATGAATTTGATTTACAGAGCAGAGTCATGAGTATTAATCTTTACTCATTTGTATCAAGTTTGCTTTTTCACTTGTTTCAGCAAAGTTATTTCTAATTTTTACCAAAGTAATACAGAAGGTGATTTTCCATTTGTCATTTATCTCTCTCCTTGAAAAATATGCTATAATACAAGAAAAATAATTGAGTGCCAATAAAGGAGAGGAAAGGATTATGGGATTAAAAATCATGGGGATTTATAAAGTTTAGGTGATTTGAATAACCACTCAAAATATCAAGTTCAACACTGAAACTTAAAGTACTTGCAAATATTTTTTAAAGTTGCATACTTCTATGCTATTAGTTTTGCAGAGGAAATGTATATCACAAGAACAGAAAATCACTTATCTAAATATTTTTTTCTCTGAAAGTTTACAATTCCTTTGCCTCTGAGTCTTAAAGAATTTTTTCAAAGTAGAGTTTCAGGCCAACAGTTCATCCATTTGTAAGAGAGGTGTGTAAGGCTTGAGGAAACTAATGAGAAAACCAACAATAATTCCTGCCTTTTTTGTGAGGTTATGCATAATTATTTGTCTTCTCCTTCTTGTTCTTTAGTTTTCCTGAGGTAATTCAGGCTGAGATTCGCGTCTCCTAACCAACCCCAGACTGACAATTTGTTTGATTCTTGAAAAGATAGATACCTCCAAATAAAAGATTCTCTACAACAGTTTTAGATAACCTGTGTTAGGATTGAAGGTACTAGGCTGTTGCATTGAAATATTGTACCATGCCAGATAAATTGCAAAATGTATTTCAATTAAAAATTAAACTTCTTCACATGGGAAATATCCATGTGGGCAGTCTTGTCATCCAGAGAACAGTGATCTGTTACAGTTAACGCTTTCCATTCATGCGTTCAGAAATCAGAAATGAAAGTGCTTTGTGAGACCTTTCAGACAAAAAAAAATTCATGATAAATTCTGAAATATCAGCATATAGGTAATTCGTACACAAACTGAATCCTATAATCCTGGGTTTGTAGTATTTTATTTTTTTAAAATTTTATAGACAGGTTATCTCAGGGGTGGAGTGATGAAGCCTTCAGAGGAATCAAAGTTGACATTCAGAGTTGATTTTATTCGTAAGTGCAGCCCACTCACTCCTTCAATGCTTCCATGCTTTATTAGCTTACTGGAGCCACATGAACTCATACATTGCCAGTAGATTTAGCCAACACACTATCCCAGAGCTGGACTTGTTTTGTGCATGACCTTCACACCAAGATTTACACCAGGGTCACAAAAGGGAATTTAGTTACAGTGCATACAGTCCCTTTTGTTGTTCAATAGTTGATTGAGTGAAATAAGAAGGGTGGCTATTTATGTAGAAAGCAGTAAGAGGGCATGAATCTAAATTTAAAGAACTGAATATGAGGAAGACAATGAGAGGATCTGAAGGATCAGTCTGCATGAGATCAGTAGAGAGAAGAGATTTTTTTTCCTAAAAAAATGTAGTTTTAGATAGATTTAAAAGTGGATGAGAAAAGAAATTCTTGAAAAGCAAAAGTGTTGTGACTCAGAAAGACACCTAGTTTTATTAGTGGAAAAGAAGACATACTGAAATGAACTGAGATAAAAAGTGGTAAGGCTTTGAGGAGAGTGAGAGAGTGAGTGTAGTCCTTTTGGTACAATTAGCTAATTTAAATGTTAGGATCCAATAGGTTTATGCTATTAGCCCTATATTCAGTTAATTTAAAGGGCTTTTTCCTGATTTCTGTATTGCAGAACCAGATTCCCCACCTCGAAACATAGAATTAATAAATGTAAGTGCAACAGAAATAAATCTGAAATGGTTACCACCTGAGCAGCCTAATGGTCTCATAACTCACTATGAAGTTCTGTACAGTGATTCCAATGATTTTTCTATTAAAAATGCCTCATCTACAAGTATATCACTGAGTGAAATGAAACCATATACTCTCTACAATATTTCTGTAAGGGCATTCACCAGACTTGGTCATGGGAATCAGTCATCTTTCCCACTTCTGGTCAGAACTTCTGAAACTGGTGAGTATATTATATTTTTTTTTAAATGAAAATTTTCCAGAATAAACTGCTTTATGATAACCTTTGATGCCCAGGAGATAAGAATAATTAGTTTTAGAAGTATTTGATTGCTTTGCAAAGCAGTAAGTTTGAATCCTGTTTTTTCTCTTTCATAAACCAAGCAAAACAGCAAGGCCAGCTGCTATTTAAGGGATGGGGAGCCAACGCTTCACATGTATGAGACAGGTCTGAGGTCAAGGCAGGTCTGAGGTCAAGCCAGGAAAGAAAGTTAGCAGGTGCAGTGGCACTAAGTCAGGCACAGTTCAGTGACAGCTGGGCAGGTCTGTAATGGTGGAGCCAACCCGAGGCCAGACTGCAATGTCAGTCTGCAAGTCAGGGAACTGATCAGGGGGTCCATGGTCAAGCGCAGCCATGACAGCGATGAAGCAGGAGCTGTAGCTCAAACAGGGGCAAAGCACAAGAGCCACCTCTGAAAGCAGCTCCCAGAGGCCAGTGGTCAGCCCCAGCTGCAGCCTCCCTGCAGCATTGCCTGGGAGCCTGTCGTAAGGAAGGAGGAGGCAGCCTTTGACAATATTGCTAAGCTGGCCCTGAGCCCCAACAGCCAAACCTCTGAGAGGACATGCTTTCAGGGCTCTTACAGCAGGCTTCCTTTTTTTCATACAAGGGTTTATACTGTTTGTATAGATGACCCGGGCAAAAGAAATAAAATGCATGTTGATGATGCAAGGTGTTAATTGTGGCAGCACAACATGGAAAACCTCGTAACAATAGCTAACATGAAGAATTGCAGGGATAGTTCTGGAGCATTAGAAGGAAAGTTTAGTGTCATGCTCCAGATTTTTTTAATCTCTCATATTAGGAGGATTTCTATCAATTATTTTTTTAAATGACCTTGTTGTTATGGTGTCTGTCTGTTATGCGTTTTTGATCTTCCAATTCAACCTCTTCTAAAATGTATTTTATACAAAAAAATATAATACAAGTCCAAAGGTTTGCAATGTTTCTTTTAAACCACTTTACAGAAATTCTTCACAAATCAATGAAACTAACTGAAATCTTGTATGAATATATTTTTTTTCTTCTAGTTCCTGATTCTGCACCAGAAAATATAACCTATAGGAACATTTCATCCATGGAAATTGAATTATCATTTTTTCCACCGTCCATTCCCAATGGAATTATACAGACCTACACAATATATCTCAAGAGGACTAATGGGACTGAGCAAAAAGTTATAAACACTACTCTTCTGACATTACGTATTACAGGTCAGCATATAATGATCTGGAACTTATGGCAACTGTAAATTGTTCTGGGAAGTGTTCAACAGACAGATTGAGATAAATTAGTTCATTGGTTGGACATGATCCTGCTTGTCCTTATATAAAGTTTTTTGCTGCCTGTCTGAGAAATAACCCACTGTGTAATGTGGTGAAATGGGCCATGAATGATATAAAGTCTAACGTATATCCATTCTATTTTAGATGTTTAAACTGCAAGGAACTTCAATAGATATCTTTGCAGATCTATCATTGTAACGAAGTAAACCCTCACGTCACCAACATATCTTTCTGATCTTAATTTGGGTAAAAATACTGGACAAAAAATTCTGGATAAAAACCTTCCCTTTCCACTCACCTTTGCTTCTTTTTCTAAGTTCTGTCACTATTGCTGAGGCATGATGCAGCAGTTAATGCTGGGAGCTTAATATCTTAACCACTACATTTTCAGAGTAAAACCAAGAACAAACTGAAAAGCATTCTAGGAATATGAAGTATAAACTGGTAATTAGAGCTTTGTCCCTACTTTTGCAAAATACTTTGTGTTCAAACTTTCTTAATGCTTATTTCCATCTCTAATGACACAGGTCAGTGTAAGTGATAGGCCTACTCAGCACTTCAAAAATACTTATGGTCCATTAAAAAACTGATTTGTTCCACTGAATGGTTGGTTCATTAAATTATTCTTTTTTATTTAGATTTAAATAAATATACAGAATATACTGTAGAAGTGTCTGCTAGTACCAGAATGGGGGAGGGCCTTCGTAGTTCACCTCTGCATATACTAACTGATGAAGACGGTAAGTCAGAACAGAAGTTGTAATGTATTCTTGTCTGCCTGTATTCTTAAATTACTCTTACACTTCATGTCAGTTATGTTTAAAATCCTATGCACTTTTTTGGCAGTTATGTCTCTCTATTGCTATCTGTGTCAGTCTGTCTACACACGAACATACTTTATGCCTCTCTCTCTCTCTCTCTCTCTCTCTCTCTCTCTCCATCTATCTATCAATATACTTACCAGTACAAGCAATGTGAAATGGCACAATTGCTGTACATGGACATTTGGTCTTACCAATATCTTATGAATTTGAAGAATCTAAATTTACTCATATTATTATAATCTAAGACACTGCACAGTAGAATTAAATATTGTGTTTGGTTTTTCGGACACATGAGAGCTGAGGAAAGGGAAAATCAGGAAAAGGCAGCTTGAATGGTCCAGGGACATTTATGCAGATTTTTTTTCTTTGGCGATTTTTGTATTCTTCTAAACAGATGCATGTACAGATACACATAGATACATGTAGAATTATTCACGTTATGAAAATGCTCAAAGTCCATAATCTGTAGCACTGGACTCCCAAAATGAGCAGGAGAGTGTTCTGCACTGCAGGCTGAGGATAGAACCCATTTGTTGCAACCCCTGCTAATTTGTACAGTAGGTCACAAATCAGCAGAGGAACCTTAGAACTATTTATACTTTCAGTACACAATTTAGTTATAGGAAGTTATCCTTGGTCACCTCTATAGTTTCTGCAGGGGGAATCATGAAAATAAATTCAAAGCAAAAATCTTAAATTAGGTGCTGTGACACATTTTGGAAAAGCCTGTGTCTCTCTCTATCCATTGTTTAAAGAGGAAGTCTCTGAAACTCTAAAGTGGCATTGACACAAACATCCCTCCAGCCATTCCTAGATTAAGTCTCTTTTCATGTTTTAGGAAACACTGATTTGCCTCAAATTCAGCTATTGATGATAATGGATCATTGCATATCTTCAAGATGTTGATGGGCTTACATTCACATTATGAGTAAAAAACATTTGCTCAAGAGTCATGTTGCTGGAGCAGACTGAAAACAGCTGAGTAATTTTATACAGAGCAATGTAGTTTCTATTCTTTAGCAAAAAAATATCCTCTGAATAAGAATTGTAGAATGAACTAGACATGCCAAAAAGACATGACATTCACCGTATGACAGATCTTTTATTATATAGTCACTAAGGATAATATAAAAAATAAAACACTAAATACAGCTGTCAAAATTTTTATCTAGTAAATACAGACACTCACTAAATACAGTGAACCTTTGTTCATGAAAAATACAAAATATTTTTTCATAAATGTAAGGAGTTATAAAATCTTTATGCCAATTTTCAAGATAGTGAAAGAAGGAACAAGAACTGAAAAACAACAATATTTATAATGCACCACATGTTCCTTATTCACAGGAACACAGTGTTCCAAGGTTCAGACCAAATGTTTCATAGATTTGCTAATAGTTATGCTCATATTCTCCATTTTCATGCATGACTACAGCTATGACCTGAATTTTTAGTGCATGATGCTCTTTGGTTTAATTTGAGAAAAACAAAAGTAATTCTAATATTACTTCATAGTGATACATAGGTCCATGAATCAAGATGAAGAAAAATATTTATTTTTTAATAACATGCTAATACAAAGCAATATCACTTATGCATACATGGGTATATTTTCCTCAGCAAACCTAACTTTAGAATAAAATCAAACATGGTCTAATATTTTTGTTTACTTACAATGTTTCCCCACGCAGTCGTGGTATGGTGTCATGTAGAGGTCAACTTAAAATTAATTTTAAGGGTCTCAGTAAATGCCTATCTTTTCATTTGCCACTATGATATGTTAAATGTATGAATGTGGTCCTTATTTGATGAGTAAATAAATTTTACTGCTGCTCAGTATCCCACAATTTTATTGTCTCTCAATGCTATGCTTATCCATTCTTCCACCTTTTGGTGCTTTGTATAATTCTTTACAGCACCTCTTTTTCCTCAGGGGAACTATTATGCTATATTTTACATGTGTTCATACTATAAAGCTTTTGCTTTTATTAGAATGGGGAAAAACTTTACAGCAATATACTTGGACAGTAGGGGAATCACTGTAACCTACCCATTACTCTGTTTTCTCATGAAGTGTTTTTTCCATTGAATCACAGAAACAGATGTTCTAACACCACCATGCAAAATCTTCTTTTATCATCTGTTAGAAAAAGGAAAAGAAGCTGCGCCTTAACATTAGCTGATGGATACTGTCCCAATGTGATACAAAGTTCACTTTCCATCACAAATAACTGAAAACCTATTTAAGGATGCTGCATATCCCATTGATCTTAACTGTTTAACAAGATGTTGTGTCCTTTTCTCTCATTTTATAGCTCCGAGTTCTCCTCCACAATCCCTCTCTGTAAAACAGTTGTTGGGTGTCACTGTGAAGTTGTCATGGAAACCTCCATTGGAGCCAAATGGAATTATCCTCTATTACACAGTTTATGTCTGGTAAGATTTTCTGGAAGTAGTTCTGAGAATAAATATTAATCTGTAACCCATCAGGAATGTGGGGGTTTTCTTACACAATGTGTTGATTACATGTTTTTGGAGAACGAATATTCATTCAGCACTTACAATACTAGACTTTTGTATATACAAATTTAGAGTAGATGAAAATTGGGGTATTAAATATTTTGTAAGCATTTTCCAAAGGTTATATTATAGTAAATGAATTAGATTTTATACTAGAGCATGGTGACTATTTTTATTATATTCTGATTAGACCTACTGCAAGGCAGGGCACAAGCCCATGCTGAATTGTCAAGGAGATTTGAAATAGGCTTAAAACTGAAAAATATTGCCCCTTTTTATAGAAAGTGTGTAAGAGCCATGTTCAGAGTCTTTGTATGTGCTATCAGTTATGTCTACTGCTATATTTTGTATTTATTACATTCATAGCAAATCAGTATTTTTAACAGATATTATTCATTTGCTGTGTTTTGTTTTTTTTCTATCTTTTCTTTTTTCCTATTTTTTCTCCATCATCCCTCCTGTGATATTTTTTCACCTCTAAAAAGGAATTTTGTCACTTTAAAACTTGCAGCTTCTGTCCTATTCTCTGTATAACATAGTTTGGTCTAGTGATGTGGCATCTCTTCAAAGGTCTATCTATAACTTCTACTAGGATTGAAAATATTTTGTTATTGATAGCTTTTGATATATTACATTCACGCTGTACCAATGTTATTGCCACTAGTAAGGTGCAGGAAGTAAATACTGAAGTGCACCTTATAAGATGTGCACCAGATGTGCAAATCCACAATTGTTATAAACACACTACTACTGAGCTTACATTTATTATTTTATTGTTACTTGGCAGTTTCAAGATAGGGTTTGGCCTCAGTTCCTACTGATTTTTTTTTTTTTTTTAAATTATAGGTTTAGTTAAGTTGGTGATAAAATGAACAGGAGCGAGCTCTTCTTCCCAGAAAAGTTAAATTTGTCTTCTCTTGTTACTTCTACTGTACTGGGAATGTCTGTTGCTCTTTAATGACAAACCCCATTTAAATTAATGACTGTCCTTGAGCTAGAGAAGAGTTACTTCATGATAAGGGCTATGGTTTTGATTCAAGCTGTGTTCAAAGACTTGAGGCTATACAATTTTTCATCCTTATATTCTCTTATAACTTACCGCTTTTGTTATTATGACAAAGGATTTAGCAAGAATTATTTTTTAAAAATACCTCTTAATTGATCCGACTAAATATTTTAATTAAGCAACCATGTAACTTTTTGCAGTAGACCTTGTCCCTCTTAATTCCATATTCTCCTTGCTCTCTCTTATTTGTCATACTGTGCCATATCTAAAATTAGAGGGGCTTTAGGTATCATGTTAAGACAAGGACATTGGAGAAAAACTCCCATTGCATTCAAAGGGGTCATAACTTCACTGCTTCCTTGAGGGGGAGGGAGGGGTGGAGGAAGGAGAGGAATTTTAAGTATTTAACAGAATTGTCTATATGATTCCATAAAATGCATTGCAGTGTGAGGTTTGACAAGATAAACTGCTGTGCCATGCAGTTGCTGCTTTTGGGAGGTATTTAATGTATTTTGGAGGAGATTGTTAATCCCAGTGCTTCTCAATAAAGCAGAATGATGAAGGTTACTACAGATGTTAAATAAACGTTCCTCCACTTCACTTAAATATTCTGCACAGTTACAGACAATTTGGTAACTTTTCTTTAGCTAATCCAGAACAAGTATCTACAACTACTAGAATAGAAAGAGTAACATCTGGAATGTTTTCAGTGTTGTATTCCATGGTATTTGTCACAGGGCAAGGTGGTTTTGGGTGCTAGCAGGTAGTAAAGCCTGTGTACCTTGAGCCTACAAACTCATACTGCCTAAGTCTGTAATTCTAGAGTATTAAAGGCATATTTACAAAATTGCCGAATTTTTATATAGCTGTTTTCTTTTGCCATTATCCTTTTCAGCAAACTTCTGTCAGATAATTATTGACTAGATCTACTTTGAGGTAAAGATTTTTAAGAAAATATGGTACCTGTCTTTGTCAACTGAAAGTATGCAATTTCTTAGAACCTCTGTTGCCTGCATTTCTGAAAGTTCTGATTTAAAATTTTTTATTATTTTTTCTTCAGTAAAATTCCTTGGCTTAGCTGATTCTGCTACGTACTTTCTCATTGTCTGCAAAGACTGCACTCACTTTGATCAGTGTTTTCTTATTTTTATACCAATCTCATTTGTTTCTAAGCAGAAAACCATCTTCTCTTGAAACACCTCAAGCTTTTGTTCTTCTTCCTATGTCTGGTTGTTGAAATGTTTTTTGCCAACTAAGATGTTGTAAGAATGCAGCTTCTGGGAGCAGAAATGTTTGCAGCACTAAGCAGTGGATTTTCTTCTTACCTGAATTATAACCAGATATGTTTTTCCATACTAAGAATATATTGGGCAAAGATCCAGGAAAAGATGTCTTTGTATAGAATTTGATAACTGCAGCTGCAACCTTTTGTATCTTTTTACAGACTATTAAAAGGTTAGAAGTTTGGGAAAAATGTAAATTTTAACTTTCTCTGTTACCAAGAAAATTTCCCATGTCAAGTGACATTCAATTCCACTCAAAATCTGAAAGGGTTAGAAAGAATTTTTTTTTTCATTCTCACACATTTTCTCATTCCAGTTGTTTTTATTTCAGATATATTAGATGGTGATCTTTGCTAATGGGACATTAATTCCTTATCAAAGGATGAAAATTGGCCCATCTAATAATTTTGCATCACCTTTCCCTTTTTGTTGTTTTTTGTTTTTTTTTTTAATTAGAACCCATTTTCATTTGTGAAGAGCTCCATAGTGATTGCTGGAGCAAGATATTTGATTTTAGTTATCAAATTATCATCCCTGTGTGAAATTCTACTGGGGACACAGAGCACCTACGCATGCAGAAATCTTTGCAGGAATGGAATGTTTGATAGTGGGATTTTTTTCCTCCTATTTTTTCTTAAAAGATTGCATTAACTTTACAAGGAATAGCAGACTTTTTGAATTCAAGTTAGTTATTTCTCGTATCTTATTTTACTTTCTGATAACCATTTCATACCTATGCTAATACCAGCATTTTATTAATGTTACATCTTACAGTCTTTCTAGGCGGGTTTTGACCTTACTGGAGTTCCATTCTGATCCCCTGCTACATTCCACCAGAATTAACTCAGCACCAGCTAATTCCTGTTCCATATCATCTTCTATTATTCCATTTATAACTTCAGCCTTCTGACCAATTTCACAGAGTCACAGTAGGGCATGCTCCCTGCTATAATCTTTTTATATTTCGCTATTCCTGTCCAGAGAGACAGTTTAGTTATGCCCTACTGTGTCCTTCCCAAGGGTACCACATAAAAATTTCATAGGAGTTAATAGATGGAAATGCTCCTCCTCAATATTCCATACAATCATTGTCTTTGTTGATTTTTTTGTTGTTGTAATTTGCAAATATATTTCTGTGGAGGTTTTGGGTGTTTTTTAAGAAACAACATTAGGAGCCCTCTTGTGATGCAAGGGTACAAAAGTGAGCTTTTCAATATAAAAGACAAAAAGAAAGACTAATATACTTGTATTTACCACAGTATTGCATTTTTCAATTTTATAACATACACTATAGTTGTATACATATGGAAACGGTGTGTGTATATTATTAATAAAACACTTTTTCTTCAGGAATAAAATGTCAAAAAGGAGTGTTAATGTAACAGAAACATCATTGGAGTTCACAGACCTAGAATATAACTATGAGTATAGTGCTTACCTAACAGCAAGTACAAGATTTGGAGATGGGAATATAAAAAGTGATACTATAACATTCAGAACTTCTGAAGGAGGTAAGTTTAAATATAGTATGAACCTCTATTTTCATTTAGCCTTATATTTCTCTCAGCCTTGTTTAAGCTAATAAAGCCTATCATCTATAATTGGAGTATAGAGATGTAACTTCATGAAGCTCCATGTCAGCAAATTAGACATCCAAAGCTGTAAGTACAGGAAAAATTCTATAAGAAAACACTATCTGTTTAAAAATGCAGCTAAATACAAATGTGTCTGAAAAAGTGTTTTAAAAATTCATTTACATATGCTTTTTTTCCCCATCATGTCCAAAAGCAGTTTTTATACCATAACCAGAAATACATTTAATTTGACATAGGATGCTGTCAGATCTATAGTGGATGTTTCTCAGGCACTAAAATGTACAAAAATCTTGAGGTACAACGCTTTAGGTATGCTAAAACTCAACATTTTTCCAGCACCAAGTGATCCACCGAAAGATGTTGCATACAGAAACCTTACTTCCACATCAATAATGCTATTCTGGTCTCCTCCCCAAAAGCCTAATGGAAATATACTGTACTACTCAGTTTATTTCAAAAATAATTCAGGAATATTCATACAGGTAAGTTTATTTTTATATTCTTCTTTTGTAGAAGTCAATGAAATGTTCTAATAGTTCATTAAAGATTAACTCAATTTTTCTTGCTACCAATATATGTTTTTTAATATTTCCTTTTACATTATGCAATTTTTTAACTTATAAAGACAGAAGCACATCTTGTAATCATATGCTACATTGAGCATCTCATAGAGCATTCATCTAATTAAACATTAAAGCCAATACATTTTGTGTAATATTTTATTATGCAAGACTTATGTATACATGTATGCACACATACATTTAATACATATATCCTCTTAAGATATCTAATGGATAGACACAAGACCTATTACAATCATGTCACACCTTATGAGTGTTTATTTTAGTCTAATCTATCAATTTGAATAAATTTCTGTAACAGTTCTGGTTTTAGTTTTTAAATAATGTTTGTACAGTCTTAAAAATAAGAAGTTAACGTGAAAGTAGGGAATACATTTTAATTTCATATTTGTCTTACTGTCAAAAGAAAATTATTGTTTAGTAGATTGATTCAAAGATATTGAGATTTTTATGTTAAAACTTAAAGGACAAAATGTTATAAGTAACATTTTGGTGATCCACACATTTCCTTGTAGGATTTTTTGTTCTGTTTACTTTCATTCTTATTTATGCACCACACTTATTAATTGTGTATATAATTTTTCTGTTCTCTTTTCTATGAATATATTATGGTACAAAAATATAATAAGAGAAATAAGCTTTCCTTACAGGTTTTTGATCACAAGTTTTACACATATGGAAGCAAAGAAAAAATATAAATTCATTAAGAAACTTATGCATGGAAAATAACCTCTACTGCATAACTTTATGCTCAAGATATGTCCAGGATGAGGTATACATGTATTTGAGAATAACTAGAAGAAATATTCACAAATATTACAAAAACCTGTGACTGAATAATTGCTAACATACTTCAGTGTTTACATTTCTCTGACTTCTGTGAAGCTGTGTGGTTGTCAAGCTCTGCATAGTTTCATATGCAAGCAAGATTGTGCCATGAATTCATATTCTGATATTAAAATCGGGGCTACAGTTCAGATGGCAGACTGTTTGCACAAACTGTGATAGCAACAGTGTTTTTTTGAAAAAATCCTTGGAGAAACCTTTATATCAGTGCATTACATGAAGTAGCCTATCCTATGAAGAACGTCTGCATTTATCTAATTCTTAGAAATCTCAGGAGATTTTAGAGGACCACTATGGACTTGGACTAGTCTTGCCTTTAGGAAGGTGGAAATCTGAGGTGAATGAGTAAGGTGAAACTGATACACTGAGAGCTAAAATCCCTCTGGATGGGCCCAAGACTCTGGAAATAAAGGAGGAAGATAGGGAAGATGAAGCAGAATAGTGTTGGCCCAGCCAGGTGAGGGCCCAGTTTCATTATCGTGTGATGTAGTCGGGCAGGGAAAAATGGTGGCACAAGTGGAAATTACCACTGCTCTGGCATACTGTGTAGTGGATGGCAGAAAAGTGCTGACAGTAGCTCTACTTCTGTGTGTGGAAACTACCTTTTTCATCCTTTTAACTTTGATTTTTTTATCCTATCCCTCTACCACCAGAAGATAGGTTTCAGCTGCTGTTGCATCTGTCTCTTACTGCCCATGGAATATGATCATAAATCTCTCAAATCATGATTGAATTTTAATCTGTCTGCTTCCCTTAACTTTTGCCCTTCACATCCTGTCTGTTCACTGTTTACACATGACAACTACCATATCTACATTGCAGTTCTATCCTATACCTTGGAATTCCTGTGGATGCAGGACAGATTTCAAACAGATGAAAAGAGGCAACTCATTTCTGTCAGATATTTTATATTTCTCTTTTTACAACAGAAAAATGCATGTGTGAATGTCAGTCTGATATGTGAATATATGTCATATATATATATATGACATATACAGACAGTTGTAAGCTACGTAAGTGTATGCAAACATGCAGCTTATGACCATCTGGAACTTAGAAATATAATCATGTATTTGTGAGTCTGTTGCTAAGTTTTTTATTGCACACATTTGGAAAGAAATAATCAGTTAGAACAGTCTACATCGAGGTCACCATTTTGCTTTTGTTTATCCAAACTGTATTTTCAGTTTTAGAAATTATCTATGACAATTGAAAAAGGAGATGATCTTTTCATATTTCAGGGAACCCAGACTTCTCAGATGTGTGGTTGAAGGCAGCCAAACACTACCAGTCTTTAATCTCCTTCTTTGTCAGGAAATAATGTCAGGGGTCCAAGTCTTAAACCATATCTTCTAGATGCCTGAAAAACTGCCCTTGTTGAAGAATATCAAGAAAATTAACATATACCAATGCTGGCATAATCTGAAGTAGCCACAAAAGTCATACCAAAACTGGTGTTATTCTGTTGTCTCAATTTCTCCCTTATCACACGTTCTCAAACTCCTCAGGAACATTAAAACCTAATTAATAAAAACCACAGAGTCTTAATATGATAAAACCAGGAAGTTAGTAGCTGCAGAGTGAAGCATTTTGTTTAGGGGAAAAACCCCACAAACAGCAAAATACCTGAGATTAAAAATGTGGTTTTCTCCTTGACATTATGCAGAAACTTGCAGGAAAACCAGTTTTTCTTTAAATAAGAAAATGTTATAAACCTTCATAGGTCAGAAAAATAATGTATAGTTTCTTTGCTCTATAGGTCTACATGAAAAATCACACTGCAGCTGCCCAGCCAGAAGGCCGGGGGTGCTCAGACCTAGCTTCAGAACCAGAACAGCAGAAGGAAATATTTAGTGATGGAGATTGGATTTGAGGATTTTGGTAGATGAGTGGGCTGTTTCTATGGGGATTCTGGTAGGTTGTAAAAGAAAATGTGTCAGAGAGGGAGGAATGACTACTAGCCAAGTAGAAGAAACCATTATATACACAGGGCTAGGTTCAAGTTCAGGTTTATCTTTTATCTTCTGCCGACATAGGTCTAGGGAAAGTGCTACCTTTTGGTATATGTTTACTGTTGTGTTCCAGTGCAGTAAAGATATAGCATGTATGCTGACAAAGAACACTTCACATTCAGATGACATGACACTGTACCTTTTCTTCACATCACTTCTCTGTGACACTTCTTTCACTGTTTGCAATAGCAGCTTTGCACATTTTGCTCCACAATGCCTTGCCTGGTGCTTGAAGCAATCATACTGCCCACATTCTCAGTCTTATTGAGGAAAAAAGTCAAAAAATCTATGGAAGTAATTATCTTATAGCTGAATACTGATCTATGAAAGATATCCTTGACTTGAATAAACTCTTTTATTCAATTTCTATGTACTTGTGTTTTGATTAGCAAGAAAGTGGGAAAGGTGCTAATTATGAATATAAAATTATGCTTGGATAAAGTTCCCCAGTGTAGGAATTTCAGTACAGATGACAATTGTCCTGCTCTGCCAGGGGAACCAGGAGCTAAGTATTGAAAAAATTTACAACCCTTTCAAGCAACTGAACATCAAAACCCAAATCATCCAATGTCTGCTTCAAACCAATTGAAGTCACCATGACTGGATACAGTTCAGAGTGAAATTCAACTTGGATTACCCTTGGGATGCAGAAAAAGGGATGCAAACAATGTGCTATATTAACAATCAAACATTTTCTTTCACCAGTATGACCACAGCAGGGATAAAAAGGGGAACTTCCCAAAAATACACTGCAAATACATGGCCTCAGAATAGTACAGCACACAAAAAGGAAATATCTTCGCTTAGGTTGCTACTGCAACAATGTGCATTATGCTCCTTGAAGGATGGCTTGGATTAGCCCTCACAGTGTCACCACTCTCATCTGATTGCCAGAGTCCAGTATGTGATCCTCTGACTCAAAACAAGAGTCAGATGAAATGAAAAAAGAAAGCAGAAGAGGGGAAAAAGGTTAACAGTGAAGAACAGCAGCACTGCATTTTCTGTGTGCAACTAATTACAGTTTTATGCCACTGGAAATATCTGCTGCTTCCTGAAGAATATACTGCTTTCTGCTGACACTTTCATGGCCTGTGTGTATTGCTTACACTTAGCTGCTTTTAATAATCTGATACTTTGCTATGTCAAAACTTCTTTCATGTATGGATGAAGAAAGGGACTGAAGGAAGAATTTCTTCAGCTGTAGCCAAAGATCCTAAGCTGTTTGCTTTCATCTGGAGCCACAGTTAATTGTAAAACTTCCTATAGTGTTCTATCCCCAGGGTACAATTAGTACAAGTTTTGTCTTTTCTCAGTTTGTACCCACACAGTTCTTCCTGCTCACTGTTACTCCTAATTATGTGTTCCTTTTTTTTTTCTAATATTTTGTCATATCAGAAGTTTGAGATAATCCCTGTTCCTTGGGCTCTTCATAGTAAAGGAACTCTCTCTTAAAATAGTTTTTGTTGAACCAACAAAACCCTGTTGTTATAATGTTCACATTGGTTCACTAAGTCCTTAACTGCCAGACAGCTGGCTAAATTGTAAAGGTATGCTTTTTAAACTAAGAGTTGAATTTTCAGCTGTTCATACCAATAAACTCCCATTAAATCTAGAATCAAAACTTGATGTGGTACCCTTGACATTTTTACCTTGAAAACTCAGATAATTATGTAAGGTCTTATTTAAAAAAATCTGATTGTTAGATATTGATATTATAAATTATTAATTATTTCTCATTACAATATCTAATAATATCTAATACAATATCTAATAATAATAACAACAGGTATTAGAATGCTTCTTCTGGGCTAGATGATATTTTCTGTCATATTGTGCTTAAGCATCAGAAAGTTTAATTAAATACCTTAGAATTCTATTTTCTGTTTCCCGTATCTTAAGCTATGCAAAGCTCTTCACAGCCTTTTCAGTTAGTTATGAAGACAGTGTGAGATTCAAACTACTTTTAGAAGAAAATCATATATTAAGGTGGAATGTTTTTGTATTTTAACTGATATTGATTTAACCTAATCTTTCAGACAAAACTAATGGTGTGCTTTAAGTCAGTTAATAAGAGTGGATATAGAAACTTATGCCACCAATTCATGCAGCTTCTGTTCTGCATTCTAAACAAAGGTTTAAATTTTCATTGCCAAACAAACTATTTACTTATTTATATTATCTAAGTACTGGTGACTGTAGGCAAAACTAGGTCTTCAGATATTAGCATGAAAATCACTGAATGAGAGTGTGACTTCTTGTTTTCTGCAAAAATAAAATGATCTTGTCTGTACAAAAAAACTGGTGAAGTGTTGCATTAGATGTATAATTGATATGTATTGGTGACAGAGATCAAAATTGGATACTGGACTATCAATTTGCACAGTACTGACTCAACTGCGTAGTAGAGCATATTACAGTGACTTCTTCAGTAGAAACTTTCCTCATGAGAAATATAACCCATTTTTTAGTATGCAGTTTCAGCATTCCTCTGTTCTTATGTGATGTTTTTGAATTGTAATACTCAAACATTACTGTTGCATTTTTCTGCTTTAGTAAGTCTTCTCTCATAGCCTCTCTCTTTTAGAAAAGAATTTAGTTGAAAGCTAGCTTTGATTTTAAAGAGGTGGGATGTGTGGATAAGATCTAACACCAAAAATAGGAAGCAGGCCAAATAACTGGAATGTGTACTAGTCAATTCATCAGGGCGTTGGGCGAAATCCAGTATCCCCTGAAAATATTGCTATGTAGAAAAATTAGGACTTTGGTCCTGAGGATTGCTGCCCATGCCATCTGCTCAATGGGGCAATGTGGCTACCACAGAGGAATAATACTGACACTCTCAATCAGGAGCAAAAATTTGACTTCCTGCACAATGCTGGAGCTGAATATGGTCATGGGCTACATAACCTCTCAACAATTTTCAAATCATGAACCAAATTGTGTTGGATCATCTAAATTAGATTCCCATAATGAGGTGGGTGATTCAACACATTCAGTTATGTGGTAAAGCTGACCTTACATAAATAATCTGATTTATATTTTTTCTTTTCATTTTCCCAAAGAGTTGATTCTAAAGAGGAATAGCTTCCTTGGAGGGGCTGATCTAAAGCACTAACCTGCTGATACAGTCACAGTTTTACTGATATTTTAGTATTGTGCAAAGGAAAATGGAATTAGATTCTGGTGCAATCCTTTCATTAGCAAGTAACTGAACAAAGAAAAATTTTCTGTTGATGTCTTGAGTTTAACATGGTCCACTGGGTATAGACATTTGCATTAGAGATAACAGCATGTTTTTATTGGAAGGGACAACTAACAAAAGGAACAGTTTATGAAGTGGTGCAGTAACATCTCTGCTGCTGGAAGTTTTAAATTTAAAATCTACTCTCATAAAAATAGAATAAAGTGAGAGAAGTCCTTTGATTTGCTTCATGATGATCAGGCAAGGCAGTAACATGTATGATCATTTAATCTATGAGCAATTAGTGGATGGTACATTCTTGATGCAATATGGATAAACACGTTATAATATTACAAATTTAATCTGTGAAGTGGCATTCAACAACTACAAAGAATAGGGGGAGTCATTACATACTCTATGTACTTACAAGGAGTAACAATAGGAGTCAAAGTGTAGGTTTATGTCTCCTGAAAGCTATGGTAAATCATAACTGGTGGTGGTGATGGTGGCAGCTAAATGGGGAACTAGAAAGAGAAATCAATGAATAAATAACATTTTCAATGGCAACATTATCCTTTTTTTTTTCCCTTTAGAATTTCACAGCTTATGGTAATGACAGCAACATCAGTATGCCCCCGTTTGTAGTTCTGGATGACTTGGGAAAATACAGCCATTATATTTTATGGTTAACTGCAAGTACAGCTTTTGGAGATGGAAACAAAACCAGTGAAAAGATAGATGTGTATACAGATCAGGATAGTAAGTTAATTACTTTTTTAACACTCAGTGTATATCAGTGCTTACATTTATTAAACATTCTCTAACTTGAAAATTATTTTACTGTTATGATGCCAATGTAAAAAAAAGAACAAACAAAACAGTAAGTGTGGTTTTCAATGCTGCAGTATTTTTTTTCAAGGAAGGCATTTTGATCTGAGTCTTCACTTTGTAATACTAAGAATGTAGTTCACAAGCAATAAAAATATTGTCTTAAACAATCATTAAGAAATTTTTCTTAAAAAAATTTAACATAAATGATTATTCATATATGCCTCCAAAGTATTTTATTTTTGATATTGAAACATAAGTTATTTTTATAAGTTGTAAAAAATATGACAAGTGACGTGACATTTTCAGACTAATCATATTTCGAAGAGTGATTTCTGGTTTGGGTTTGGATGTTTCATTACTGTAATCCATGCATTTCATTTTTTGTGTATTATCTCTCATAGTCCCAGAAGGTTTTGTTGAAAATCTGGTCTATCAAAACATTTCCTCATCTTCTGTGAATGTAAGCTGGCTTCCACCATCCCAGCCAAATGGCTTAGTCTTCTTTCATGTTTCTCTAAGTTTAATGCAACTGGGAACCAGCAAGGTTTTGTCTTTCCTTACTTACAACACAAGCATAATGTTTGACAATCTGGAGAAATATACCGATTACATTCTGAAAATCACACCAGCCACTGATAAAGGATCTTCTGAACAGCATACTCTAAGTCTGCATATAAGAACTGATGAAGATGGTAAGATAAAGATATTTTATTCATTTCTACGGAAATGTAGTAAAAAAACCAAACAATTTTCTAAAAGGAAACAAAAATATTGTTTATTTTTGTCATGTTAACTTGAAGCTTTTTGGGTATACAATGACACAAACGACTGCTACACATTTCTATTTTGACACCATGAAACAGAATTTTTCATTTTAACTTATATTTTCCTGACATTATCCCTATTTTTCTCTTTCTTATTTCTTCACGTAGTCCCAGAATCAGCACCTATAATCAAAACATTTTCAAATCTCTCAACTACCTCAGTTATGTTTTCATGGGACCCCCCTGTTAAGCCAAATGGTATCATAATAAGTTATGATTTAAAATTATTTGGACCAGAGAGGAATAACTCATTCTCTACCACCAATAATTTTATCGTCTTGGAAGACCTTCTTCCATTCACACTGTATAGCATTTATGCAGCTGCAAGAACAATAAAAGGACCTGGTCCATCTGCTGTGCTTCAATTTTACACAGATGAGTCAGGTAAGCAAATTCAGTTGTAACCAACTTTGAAATATCAGCTCTATGTTACTGCATCCATCTTAGGTCTGAACACCAGACCTGTTGAGATGAAGGATTAATTTTCCATTTGTCTATGAGTGAAGAGCTTTCAGAAGAAAACACTGCAAGGGAAGTGTTTTCTGAGTGCTCTTTCTCCTGCCACAGTGTGCAAGAGGAGGTCACATTTTGCATGGGATTACAAAAATAAGTCCAAGGAGAAATATATTTTGTTTTTGGAATGTGTTATAGTTTGCCAAGTCTCAGGGATTTTGAAGCAAGCAACAGCACTTTTCTCTTCATTCCCCTATATAACTGAAAAATTATAAAACATGGAAATATTTCTGACACGTTCACACAGGTCTCCTATGTATTGATCTCCCCTCCTCTGCATGGTAAATTACATATTTTGTAAATATATGTTGAGTTGTGCTCAATATAGGATGTAGGAAGCAAAGTATATCACATTCCAGTAAAATATGTAATATGACTTGCTAAATGTCTTAGTTCTGGCAATGGGGATGTCTAAATGATTAATATATTTTTTTAGATCTCTAAGATCCCTTGCTGAGTAAGATTATATTCTGCATTAATGGAATTTGTTGCATGTCAAAGAGAAAGGAAAAGATTGAAATAGCAATGAAGTAGTTAGCTTGAGTTTGTATAAAAATGTTAACAAAAATATCTATTTTCTCCTGCATCTCTAAACTGTTTTGTTTTGCCTGGATTGTTTTGTCATTTGGAAGTCAAAAGCATTTCTCTTTTGTAGTGCCATTAGCTCCACCCCAGAATCTGACTATTATCAACTATACGGCAGATTCCGTGTGGCTAAAATGGGATCCAAGTCCCCAGTCAAATGGTGTTATTATGAGATATAATTTTAAGATTTATCAAAACAACACAGAAAAACTAATTTATCAGGTATGTTTATAATAAAGTGTTTAATTTTTTTAAATATTTATTTTGTGCTTTAGGAACAAAATATATGAAAAATATTTTAAATGTCTGTTATGCCCCTAGAATTGTGAAGCTCCTCTAAATTCCTATTTGCTAAGACAGTTTACTTACCCTACCACCATAACTGTAATTCAGTTTTTAAAATTAGATAGAAAAAAATTGTTAGATTTTAATTTGCTTTGAACTTCTAATGTTTCATTAATGATGAGATTTATTAATATTTAGTTCATATTCCAGTGTAAGCTTGATGTTAGAAAATTACAGAAGTTACTTGTTTTGTGGCTATCTTTGTTTAGCTATTTAGTATCTATGGACTGCCAAGATTCAAAAAGACAGATAGTCATCTTGAAAAATAGTTAAAAACTGTTTAGAGGTTTGAAATTTTTTTTTAATTTTTGCAGAATAGGAATACTGAATAAATTTTAACTGAAATGGTTGCTATATGAATGTTCAGGGCTAAGCTCTGATTAATCTGGTCTAGTGGAAGGTTTCCTGCTCACAGCACTGAGTTTGGAACTGAATGGTCTTTAAGGTCCCTTCCAACCATTCTATGACTCTATGATTCTACGATATACAAAATTTGATCAAGGCATTTCTATCTGCTTAAATCTGGGTGGCATCAAGACGTGTGCCGTGAACTGCAAAGGCAGCAAGCTAAGGTCAGGATTGCATCTCAAGCAGAGAAACTATATAGTGAGTCCAGTTCACCCTAGGTGCTTGTAAAAGCTACAGGGAAAAGATATTACTGCAGTGAGATAGGAGTTTAAGACACGCAGTTTAAGGTACGTGTGTGACTATGAAGAGCTTCATTACTCCAACTCCCTCACCAATACAGTTCTTATTGCAGAGACTTAGCATGCAAGGAAACTGTGTGTGCTGTTAAGTGTATGCGCTGGAAATCAGTCCCCATGGAGCGGCCTACTTGGCTACCCCTTATGAGGTCTGCTGTTATTCCCCACTGTGGAATGAAGTGCTGGCATCACCCCAGTTTCTTCTATAATACTTGAAAGAGCACAATGAACCTATGAGAGAGGAGCTGTGAATTCTACAGCCAGCTACCTTTGGAAACACATTCTCTGGGTGTTCAAAGAGACCACTAAAGATTATTCTCCACTGTCCATGTGAGGCAGTCTCAAATCCAATTAGAATACAAAAACTATCTGGAGCACTTGAATGCATCTGCTTTGCCCTACATTCCTTCATGTTTTGTAATGTTATGTGGGCAAGAAATTAGATCTAGGTTGTGGCAGCAGGACAAGCAGAGCAACTTTTATAGAAATACTGTGTTTAGACACCATAATTCTCTGATAACTTGGATTCCACAAGATTTTCTTGCTGAAATTCAGCTTTCCCTGCTGTTATTATAATTCTCTCAATATTTGAATAAAATATGCCTTGCATGCTCTGGGAAAAACAGTTAAAAGGAATTGTGTTTTTAAACTTTTTTTTTGGTTTTGGTTTGTTTTTTGGTTTGTTTGTTTTGCTTTTTTGGTTTTGGTTTGGTTGGTTGGTTGGTTGGTTTTGGTTTGGTTTGGTTTTTTTGAAGCTCTTCGTCAATCTGTGTATCTAGTTCAGGTAAAGTAAAAGAAATAGGAAGCTATGACCCATGACGTCTTCTACTGCAGAGGTGTAGCAAGGAAGAAGAAGGTGAGAGAGATTGATGAAGTGGTGTGGAAGTGACAAAAGTTTTCAGTATTTGACTGAAATCTCCTCAGAGTAGAAGAGGCAAAAGTATGGCTGTAAATCTGTTCATTTCATTGGGTTCAAGCTGAGACCCACAAAGTTTCTAGAGATTATTTGTGTACTAGTAATTTTTCCTTCCTTAAGAACATTTCAGGTTCAAACCACGAGGCAAACCTTGTTGGATTAGAACCATTCAGCCCCTATTCTATCAGTGTCTCTGCATTTACCAAGCTTGGGAATGGCAATCAGTTCAGTAATGCTGTCCAGTTTACAACGATGGAGTCAGGTTAGATACGACTTTTTTTAAGCTACAGTTCTGTTTATATATATTAATGTATATTTTCCTTGTATGGCTGAACAACAGTGTTCATCTTGTCTCCAAAGAAAATGTAACATAACACTATCTCATTGCCTTCTGCCTGTGTAACACCTATTCACATTCTTATTGTAGGCTGGGTTTGAAGTTTGATGTCGGAAGTGTGGAATTAGAAATGTCCTCATCTGAAATGAGAGGCTTATATGGTTACTATAAATATTTTAATAGCATCACAGATAAAGGGAGGAAAATTAGAAAGATATCAGTCTTTGCAGATCAAAGCGATAATTCAGATCCCTGTGAAAATAACTGAAATGCTAGCAGTACCAAAAGCAGCTGGTCAAAATATTGGCAAATGAAAATTAAGCAAACAGAAATTTTTAACATTTTTAAAATAATTTAATTTAGGAAGGAAACTAGCCACTAAAAGTGAAATACTCAATATTCACTAAAGAAGAGCCCGTGAGAATGGTGGGTTTGTGACACCGACCATTGCGCAAAGCTGTAGCTCCTTTGCCAGGTCAGAGCAATCTCTGGGCTCCTGTGCTTTCTAAGGGCTGTCAGTGCCAGGGAACCGGCATGGCTCAGGGACTCTCAGCTTCCTTTATACTGTCGGCAAAGGGAGCAGACAAAGTATCGAAAGATGCCATATTACTATAGTTTCTCCAAGATCACATTTCCAGTGAAAGATTCCTGCTGGAACTGGTAAAACAGAATTTCTGGGGAAAATTATGCTGTTTATTATACCCAGGAGTTACCCACCATCAGAAATCTGGACCATCACTAAACTGGTTCAGTTTGACAGTTGGATCCCTGCAACTGAAGGCTGTTCTGCTATAAAGCCATGGTCATCATTCAGTTGTCTCATTTCACCACAAACATTCCATACTCATGGTACTTTCTTTGGAAGTGCTGGAGAGACATTTCTCTCAGGAGCATGATCTAGTAATATTATAGCTTTTTCTCAGACTTTATGCTTAGGTAGTTGCAGCATGTTTCCTTTCCCTCCAACCTAGATTTTGGGCAATTGCTGGATCAGTTCCTCACTGAGTTCCTCTAAGGATTCTGTCCCTAGTCTTTATTAAAAGTACCAGTTAATCTTCTTTATTCTGCAGATGTTGCTTCTTAAAAAGAAATTTTTTCTTTAAATTCTGAAAAGAAAATTAATCTTTTTAAAGAGATTAATTTACCTCTGTATAGTGATAATGAATATGTTTACCTCTATTTTAACTGCCTCACTGACAATCTTTTTACTATTTTATAGATTCCTCAACCTGTTTCAATAGAAGAAGTAGGTTGGGCCACCCCTCACTGTGTATTTGTTTTCTCTTATATGGTACAGCCAGTAATTTAGCCCTTTCAGAAATACTTTAATTCATTTTTCTCTTTAACCAATTGTTCACATATAATTGCTCTATTTTCAAAATTATTTTAATATTTGCTACAATTCATTAATTTTTTTAATAAGCATTTAAAAAAATTTCTCCTGCCAGAACCAACAAATAGATTGGGAACTGTAAGATAATAGCATTGATATGACAGCTCTGAAACCTGCCTCGTGACTTCTGTGCAGGTTGTACCTCTGCTGGAAGGACAGAGAGGAATGATAAAGTACCTAAAAGAAACAGAGCTAACATATAAATAAGGAACTTTTGCTGTTGATGCTGTTGTGGAGTATGTATATGGATTTCACACTACTGTGTATGTTTTACTACACTTTGTTTAAAAAAAGATGTGGAGAATATGAGCAGATGTGAAAACAAAATTGGATCACACAACCAGGGAAAAGCCAGATAGATGGCTTCTTCTATTTCAAGTACAATCATCAGTCACATTCATAGTAGTTGGAAATGAACCATTTAATGGGGACAAAGACATATTTTTGTTCTCTCAATGTGTTTCTTTTATTAATTCATCTGACACTGCAATGTTTGACTGTTCCTATGAACATTGGATCTGCTTCTCTAATGATATTATTCTGTGATTCCCACTTTAATTGTGTATGAATGTTAATCTTTGGTGCATGTGTATCTTTTAAGTACCAGACGCTGTCCAGAATGTTCGTTGTATTGCAATGAGCTGGCAATCAATCCTAGTGCAGTGGGACCCTCCTGCTTCATCCAACGGTGTAATTACGCATTACATCATAACAGTTGAAGGAAATTCTACAAATTTTTCATCTTATGATACACTGCATACTTTTAGAAATCTGCTTTCCAATATTACTTATCAAATTAAAATAAAAGCTGCAACGTCTGCTGGTGATGGTGAAGAACGGATATGCAATACCAGTACCCTTCCAGAAAAAGGTAAAAGTTTATTCAAGTTAATTTTTTTGCTCAATTGAAAAAATTACAATCAAACAAGCAGACCTGAAATAACTGTTTCAATACAGGCAATTAAATCCTTCTGTTATTTAAATTTCTTGCTAATAGTGAATGAAGAGAAACAGGATTTCCCCTTTCTCCTGTTTTAGAATAAACTTGGTGATGAGAATTAATTACCATTTTAAAAAGCACTTTATTCTGTGTGAGTTTGAAGAGTCATTTTATTAATTTATGATCACGTATTTTTTTTCTTATAATATCTGCCTTTAGCATATTTGGGACTGAAAGTCTGAAAAAATTTTTGAGAGCAAAATTTGTATTTTACTTTTACTAGCTGCTAGTGCTGTGACTTCATTGACAAAAAAGCTGTTCAAAATTAGTGCAATTGAGAAGAATTTAGGTTCTACAAGCAGACTTTGTCATTACTCTTGATGGATGGAATTTTTTAAACAAGAAAGAAAATTGTGAGTTAAATCCAAAGAAGAATGTGGGCAGGCTTTTTGGCATTGAAATGAAAAATTGTTACCCAAAGTCTGTCTTCCTTTCCACACACACTTCACACTTCACCTAATCTTGGCCATGCTTTCATTTGACATGGGGATGAATTTCTGGTCAAAATACAGTGTTAGTTCTGTGTAAATAGCTGTGTACCTACCTTCCAAATTAGCTAGGAACCCAACTCTAAATGCAGGAAGCAAAGGCCTGTTTCAGCTCTCTTCCCCAGTCAGGGGTGATTTCTACTCTTGGGACTGTTTATCTTTTTTTTTTCTTCTTTGGTGATAGTTTAATATAAATATAAAAAGTTATGTTCTGTGAGCAAGATCCAGAAAAGACTTCACCTTTCTACTGAATTACAGGAGCAATTACTGCATTTAGTTTCTTTTCCTATATTCTCTTCAGTGATGTCAATTTATGCAGTGGAGTTGAGGAGGTCTCTAGTTCAGAACATCTGGATAAGGAAACAGGGGATGGGATGGGGGAGCGCAACTCTACCCCCTGATGCTTAGAAACCAAACCTAGCTTTTGTAATAATTTAATTACTAAGTTATTGAATAATTTAAAAGATGAGTTGCAATGAGTTGCAGCACTCATTCTCATATGTATTTCAACTGAAAGAGTAAGTTTTCTCAAACTTAGTCAAATACTAAATACAGATTCTGTGTCAGCAAAAAGATTTATGCTCTGAATGACAAGTGAAGGGAAGTAACTCTGCTATGCAAACTTGAGTCAGACATCTGAACTTGGAGAAGATCAGACTTACCCTTATGCTTAGACTTCTTGTTGGTAACTTTCTGAGTGGCACGCACCTCCTTTGGATCCATCCTATTCACAAAGTCTTGGTGTCCCATTATGAGGTTTGATTTCCACACTTCTTAAAATTAGACATGGATGTGCATGTCTGGATGAATCTACATCACGTCTGTGTTGTCAGCTGAACTACTGCTGCTTTGGTTCCAGATCAAGTGGCTGAGCTCCAAATGAGGACAAGCAGGGCAGCCTCTTGCTAGTGTGATGTGGCCAACATTGTGAAAATAGCCAGGGTTGTACTTTGATGGCTACCTGTCCTCATGGTACAGTCCGTCCCACTACAGCCTCACCAAGTCCCTTATTTCAACTATGAGGTGTCACTCATACCTATTTCTGATGAAATTGTTCTCTCTAAATTGGTTTCCTCATCAGCATCTTCCCTACGAATGCTGCCATTTTGTGATCCCTGCTGGTGTCCTTCTGTCCAGCTCCTTGTCAATTTAAGACTTCCACCTGGGTAGTCTATTCTCTTGTTTGCTCAGAAACTTCTGTTTATCAGCAGCATTCAAAGTCCACTTTTGAAAAGGTATTGTTTAAGTATTAGACATGAGCATACTAATATCTGACAGTTGGCTGGAAGTAATTTAGTGAGCTTAGCTGCTGTGCTGGATGTGGATGCATGTGCTAATGCACTTCAGTACACTTCTTAAATGCAGTCATAACTCTCAAACCTTTCTTTTAAATTATGGCTGCTGAACAGCCAACTCAGAGCCTGAGCAAGACTGAATCTGGGAATGGTGTTCAGACTCGGAGTTAGTCTTATAGGAGGGTTGTTACCCTCTGGTAGGGAGGAGAACAGGAGACTTCCCTGGTGGTTTATATCTCGGAGGATGAGGGAAAGGCTTCTAGTAGTGTTAAAGAAACCTGGCACCTGAGAAAGTTAATTGTTGAGATTTCTGCAAAATTTGGTGTTGGCTGCTAATTAGTGCTTGAGGAAAGACTGAGAAAGCTGTGGATTAAGCCTAGGCTTGAGAGGGAGACTGGCAGTCTCTTGTGGTCTGTGTTATAAAGAGCTGTACTAGAAGGGAAAAAAAAAAAACAACCCACCAGTCTTTAGTGTGTAGCAACATGCGTCTTATGTGTTTTATCACTGGGAGTTTTCCCAAGTGAAGGATTTATGCTACAATACATGTAATTTTTATCACATATGCTGCACAGACCCTTTCTTGCTTTGTTGTTGCTTAGTCATATTTACAACAAACTAGTTATTATTAGGACATTTCCTTAACTGCGTGTTTGTATGAATTGTTTTGTGGTGACTGGATACTAGGAATTGGAAACTCATGGATGGGAATGGAAACAGTTTAATAGCTGTTGTCAGCTTCTTATTTATGGTGTCCTAAGATTAGTCACAGAATATGTAGCCAGAACTGAGTCACTGTCAATGCATTTGTTTCTGACATAAAGTGAAATCGAATTTGGCTCAGTGTCCCACTGCCTAGTGTTTGATCTTTAAATTCTTAGCAAGATTATTTGCCTTTTTTTGAGGTAAATTTGTTCATATCTGGGTACAATTAAACATGAATCATGAAGATTAAATTTATGAGGAGATTAGTAGTGTTTTGTACCCAGTCAAGTTCCATTGTCATGGTATACCACCTCTGCCAGGCCGCATGATGTTATAAAAACTGTCAGCTTTGTAGTGGTAGTATTAATTTGTGATTAAATATATTATAAAGGATTAAATACATTATAAAGGATATGAAAGATAATATATTATACATACACATGCATAATTGAGTTAGGATTTTATGACTGAATAGCTATCCTTGGATTATTTTCAAGATAAAGCACATATTAAAATGCAATTTTTTTAAGGTTGAGTGAATTTTTAGGGGGAGAAAGAGCCATAAAGTGGTAGGAAACTTCTCCAAAAGGAACACTAAAGCTGTGAAGATTCAGTTAACTCACAAGTCTGGGACATTCAGTTGACAATAAAAATAGAATAATTAAAAAGCCACTTGAGTGTGTTCAAAGTATGAATAATATAAAGAAAACTGCTTCTACTTCAATTTTTTTAATTTAGATTTTTCTTTATAGGCTTTTCATTATTCTCTGAGGATATTAATTGTATTGATTATAGTATTAAGACACACATCTCCCCTCCCCCCATCCCTTACTGCTAGTAATATTTAGTATTATAACTGACCACAAAGTCTTGGAAGAGTTTGAGGCCCCCTTCGTACTCTAGTGACAGTTCTTACCATTTGTTTTCTACTAAACAGAGATTCATTCATAGCTTACATTTAAAAGAAATATGGATAGAAATCTGTCCAGGAAACATTTTTAAATTTAGTCTGGGCTTAATTTTGCTGGCCAATACTAACTTGTAGCTATATACAGAAGTCTGCCTTGTGCAAGAAGGAGAGTTGTGCCTAAAAGAATTGGTAATGGGAAGGTCTCTTAGGTCTTTTGGTGTGAAGGTGGGAAATTAACACCATCTTTTGTTATGTGTGCACAAAATGTCTTTACTTTCTGCACAAGGGAAACTTTGAAGATTCTGGGTTTGTATCTCCAGTATGGAGATGTGGGATTTTTTTCATCAAGACCTGCAAGGAGCACAAAACATAGTAGGGGCTTAAAGCCTTCTGGATATCCAAGGAAATGCTGTTTCCTTCACCATAAATCCTTTTCTTAGTATATGGCAGCTCATGACATCTCTCAGTTGGAGTTACATGAATTTCCTCATTAGCCAGTGAAGAAAAGGATGTACTGGAATAATATTTAAACCTGTACCCTAAAGTGGTTCTTAGGGCTTCAAGCATGATGTGCAGTGCAGTATGTTGGCCTGGGTATCCTGAGGAATGAGCCTACTGCAGAGCCACAGTATTGGAAATGGCAGAGCTTCGGTGTCCCCTGTCACTAATGCAGATTAGAGCAGTGTGTTTCACATGTTCAATCAGTGCTGAAAAGTCATGTTTCCAAACATATTATAAAGTAAAATAATCAAAACATTGCAGAGTGAATCGTGACTAAGAATCTTTGAAACATTTCTTTCCAAGATCACTGATTTTTTTCCCCTACTCAATTTTCTTTATGTAATGTGGATTTTTTTTCATGTTTTCTGATTAGTTGTTTTGTCCAAATTTAAATTAATGACTTTCATGCGGATGGCAAATCTTCACTAGACAAATGCAATGATCACTCAGTTGCTGCCAGTGAAATTGTAATGATGTTATTTTTATAAGCAGGTTGACAAAAATAGATGAAGGAGTATTTTTGTGGGGACTAGGGCAACCGTACATTAATATATAAGAAATGGTGGTGGCATATAATACAAAGTTAACACAGAAAGCATTTACAGGTCAAATACGTTGTTTACTGAAAAGTAGGCTGTGGTTGAGTTTGATGGAAAACTGAACATTCTTATTTAATTCAAGACTTGAGTACGGACAGCTTTTCACTTCTCTTTTTAGCTTAAAGGAGTGCATTTCTCCCTAGATTTGTAGGATTTGATTTTTCAGTGCTTAGATCCCACAGTCAGGGACTGAGTTTTCTAATGGGCTAAGGTCTAAGAAACATGGTCCACAGAGGCTCTTTTACGAGCAACTGTGCAAGTTTCTCTAAAGCATGTCTGATAATGTCAGTTCTGAGTCATGGGAAAAATAGTCTACAGGTTTTTTGTATTTTTATGTTAGTAAGATAATTTGGGGCCTATTCATGATGTACTTATT